GGACAATTTTGTGAATAATAAAATTTAGTGTCAGTTCATCTTTGTGTTGAGAACTCTTTTAGTTGGTGAAACTCACTTTTTCTTTTTTCCAATTTGAAGCATCAAATTGATTGATACTTAAAGCACACAAAATATTTTGTGAGAATTCCATGTGGCATCTATAATGGTTACTATGCTATCATGAAAAACAAAAACAACAACGACTGAAAACTGCTTTTGTCACAATTGCTACCAAATTTGTGTCAGTTTTCTGGGTCTGCCATAATAAGTGAAAACTCTGAAGATACAGTGTCTTGGTTATTTTATTAAAAGCAATTACTTTCCAAGAGTTTCTCTGATAGGAGTGTTTTAGGCAAGCCATGTAGTAAACAGGTGAGCAGTACTGAACTTATTGTCTTACTGCCGCAATGAAAAAAAACTCTATCGAACTTAAAACAATTCAGGTACCTAATTGAAAGCTTGTACTAATTTTGCGACAATAGTCACCCTCATCCATAATTCACAGAGAATAAGATAAGTATAGAACGATAAATACTTAGCAAAAATACATGCCTCCGTGCGTAAACTTGAAGAAGTGAAAGCTCGTAGGCAAACCATTGGGGCCATAAAATATATTTGAACAACCAAAAGCGGCACACTGCTCTCCTTTCTTTTTGGGAGAAAAATTAGCTTTATCGAGATTTCGGCTAGGACCATCCATTTTCCTTAAAAACCGAACAATTTTACTGCCTAAGTATGAATTTCACCAAAAGCGCTCACAGAGATTTAACACGAGTCAACCCTAGCCTCCTTCTCACGTGTGCGCGGTTGCATTTCCAATATGGCGCTGGGAACTGTAAAAAGGTCTATTACTGCAGTCAGAAAAATGAAGTGTCCAGATCCATTTCCTTTGCCGGTGGAAGTGTCAAAGAATGTTTATTAAAGTTAATTTGATTGACAAGCCACACACTGATTTAGCTAATTGATTTGTTGGATAAGCGTCTCATCTTACATGCTAACATGTTGGAACTTGGGGGTTTAGTTATCGAGAAGACCGAAGTTGTATAAGTCGTTCCCTTACGTAGTTGTAAAAGTTACTTGCGGAATTGCAAGTTTTCATATCCAGAAAATGAAGTAGATCTTGTTTTGTCGCGTGCCGGCATCTACGAGACGCCAAAAGATATCGATGATTTTACAATTTGCCCCAATCATAGATCAAATTTTAAATTTTGCCGGACTTTGAGTTCGTCTCAAGATAGAACAACACAAATACACAAGGAAATTCATACAATAACTTTATAACCATCCTTTTGTCTTTTAAAAGCTAGAAGCTCAGTAGATTCTGTCATATCGGTCATTGTCAAAACTGTCTTTGTCTTACTGCTACTTTTCGACGTAGAAAAAGTATGTCGGACAAAAATATTCACCAAAAAATAAATATGTCTTTGCCAGCTTCAATAATGACAGAGGATTAAGTTTAGATGATAAAACAAAGGATTATGCTGACAGAAATACCGGAGGTCGAGGAAGTCTCTGAAGCATTTGTAATTTTTTATGGCGGTATTCTAGATATTTTAGTGCTGAACTTTGGAATTTTGTCTCAAAATATCCATCACTGCCGATGATATTCCCTTAGATATATGCCCACCTATATTGTACCTCCGGGAAGTTCATGCACGATCATAATTATTCAAAACCTAAGGTACGAAAAACGAAACAAAAACAATTGTACCACTCTATGACGCAACAAAATAGCAAAAATTTGATCAGAAGACAACCTGTTATGCTCTGAAATTTTGAGTTTAAGTTGAAAAATGCCGAAATCCCCTTTCTAGGCAGTCATATCCATTTGTTTGGCCGTATATCTTTATGTTAATAAAAATGGGTCGGCACGGTCCCCAGAGATTTCATAACAACCTCAATATTAAAAAGAGTCACTCTTTAGTAACTCTTTCATTTCATTTACTTTCCACCATTTTAGCTAGATTTACATGGCATTACTTCCGCGATTTCACGTCGGAACGTAATCGGCGGAATAATATGAATCAAGATATTTTAGTCACCTTTGTTCAGTTCCTCTCTGATTAGCTGGTTTGGTTACAGTAGGTGTAAGCAATAAATATTACGCGGTTTGCTTGCATTTAATCATATTTTATTTCAATGGAGTAATGACTAACCATTTTGCTGCGAGGACAATCCTAAATGAGATATCAGATTTCAACAGCACTCAAGCCTGGTTTTCACTAGCGACAAACACAAGGACAGCAACTCACTTTTCCCGTGAAAAAGGCCTCGACACAATCATAAGTACAAACACTAGTATCTGAATTTTTCCTTCTTGTTGTGCTTGGGCTTGTTGATGTTCGTTTTCGTTTAGCATATTTAACTTATGGGCGCGTTTGTGCTTGCGCTTAAGCTTGCATTGCGAGTGAAAACCAAGCTTTATTCTACCCCTTATTACGGGTGACGACCCTCTTAAACATCTAAACCAGTGTCACCATCAACTTGAGTGGGAAACAAAATATCTTCACAATAGGATATAATAAGATAATAGAAGCGGTACGATCAACAAGCATGGCTGGATAATAATATGATAATAATCATATAATTCACCTTGCAGCGAATTCAAATTTTTTGGAATTTCAGAATTACAGGAAACAAACTTGCGTTACAAGCTTTCCTCGTGTTCTCCCGACATCCCTCATCGGTTAATTACAGTTTAAAACCTGTAAAATGTGTTCTATTGCGTAGATAGAGGGACTGTGAAAAGACTATAAATATCGTAACTCAGATCACTTACAACAAATGAGCGAAATATTCACCGCCTGGCCTTATATCTTCTCTATGAATACTTTTGATGTAAATAACCTCAAAGGTACTGCATGGTATGTTGCATGTACGTTACCATCGTTAGCTATATCTAACCATGTTATCAGGATTCTTCTCCTTTATAAACGTCATTTTTGCTAGATTAGATTTTAACAAATGTTAAAAGTGAAGAAAAACTGGTACACTCGGTGACTAATTGGCAGACTAGACCAATATGCATTGAAGGAATATCATGGAAAAAAAGTATATTTCTGCATAAGTGTTAACTCAGTCAAAACACAACTGTAAAACAAAACGCATTTAGCCGTCCGTTTGAAATCTTTTTTCAATAAAAAGAATGCATTATATTAGTTTTGAATGACAGAAACTACAGAAGAAGTGGAATTATATATTTCTGCTTTCAGTTCACTATCAATATAAAGGAGATATCGTATGCTTTCGAGAAGAAATGGATTCCATATCGTTCTTGCCTGCCGCAAGTACAGAAAATTCATACTGATGAGGAAAAGTGTGGTTTAATTCTCCTTTCTTCATATAGAAAGAAATACGTGTGTGGTAAGGACTGATCAGTTAAAATACAGGGTATTCCCACAAGGAACCTCACGTAAATCTTTCGATAACACAATGATTTCTTTTTGGTGTCTCCGTTGCCTCGTTGATGGTAAAATACAGCTGCATCTTTTAATCTTATCTAAACAAGTCTTCAGTAGCCATTATTCCAAACAAACAAAGCAACATTATTCAGCTTAGTCTAAATATCGTGACGCAATTCTCTCGATATGGCCACCCCGGTTATGTAAAGGGATACGTCACTCGGTAGGCAGATGAATTGTGTGGGTCGATTCTTCAGGAATGTTTTAAGTTCCGCGGTAAACCAATAAATTTATCAATTCATTTAAGTATGTCAGTCGAGTTGCAGTACTTCCTTGTTATCATTAACAAGGCGGTAGTTTTTGAGGATTCATCTGAATCTACCAAAGTGGATCAGAAAACCAAATCGATAGCAGAATTGACATGCTAGTTAATAAAAATAATGACATGGGATCACAATTTAATAAGTGCTCATCTCAGTTTAATTTGATTAAAAGAAAAACAACTGAAAAAAAGCCGTGCTATAAGTAGTCACAGGAGGTGGTCAGATATTTCAGGCTCCTGCAATATCGCAACTCTTGAAGTTACCACAGTAACGTCGTAAAGAGTGTGGTCTGATTTCCTTCTTCTGCGACCGCAAAAGGAAGAGGCTTAACTTGCACACGGAAGATATCACAATATATTAAATTGTTTGGTGTATGATAAGTACAGGACATTTCCCAAAGTGTACTGGAATAGGAACCGAATGACCACCTCATTTCCACACTGTTATTGTAATTACATATTGTATTGTCGACGTGATAAACTATAAGAAGCAGCTTGACCACGAGAAGCATCAGTTTATAGCAGAAGTTTTCACCGGCAGGCAAACTTAAGCTGACTGAGAAGAAGGCAAAGAAGCATGAAGTGTCTGTGCTTCTTCCTGTTGGTGACCGCAGTCTTTGTTGCATCGGAAAATCCTGATGGTAAGGTTGTTTATAATTTCTTGTAATAATGCCATAGTAGATCATAGCTTTCGAAGCTAGGATACGGACTTTTGAATTGTTTTCCCTTATTTGAACTTTTCAGTAAGTGCCTGTTTTTCTGATTATTGATTTTCTAGCTATCACAGTTTTTAAGCAATAAAAATTGTTACGCCGGAAGAAACCCATGGATTTACTTTACCGCGCCAAAAAGAATTCTAAAAGTTCGATCGTTACAGAATAAATCAACACCTTAAAGGTTTAAATAATACAAAGTACACCTAATTTTGAGGGGAATAGCTTGAATTTTAATTTAAATTCGCTTCACACCGAATCCTTTTTTTTCCGCTTTAGTTATAAATGTAGCTGTCAGTTACAAGCCAATAGTTTTCCACTAAAACGTACCCATCAAAAAAGTTTGTAACTAATTATTAGTTGTGTCAAAGAGAATGGAAGTATATAAGGTTTCATAAATTTCTCTCGCTTATGTTTCATTTTGAATTGGGAAATTAATTGACTGCCTTACCAATCAGCAGAGTAATACTTACTGTTTGATTGGTTTCATAGGAGGATTGACTATACAACTGATTGGTTGATTGCATGAATGATAACTCTTTTATTGAATGAACAAGTGATCGACTAATCGATTGTATTCAATTTTATACCATAGAGAATTTAGGTGTGGATAATAAGGAATTGTTCGAGGGAGATATGATTCTTCCTCCCCATGTCATCTATGAAGCAGAGCACGGAATGGATGTTGATAGCTCCCGCAAAAGAGCATCCATCAGACGCGGACTATGGCCGAAAGGAGAAGTCCCTTTTGCCGTCTTTAATGGCCTTGGTAAGGGTGAATAAAACATGTCATTGTTAAAACTCTCTAAGGAATGCAATTATAATTCGTGGCTTTCCAATTAACCACAGATAAATATCGCATCTCCTGTACTGCGCTAGCTATAATGTCACACAATCGGCTTGACAGCGGGGTTTTGCATTACACTTTCAAAGATTAATACGGATATATTTAAACTGTATGTTTTACTCGGACATCAGTTTGTGCAAGTTTCTTTGCAGTTCGAAGTTAAATATATACGACACATAACTGGACTGGCATCCCTTTCAGAGGGAATTTCAGCACCCCTTATCGCTTCATACCACAAAAACCGGGAAAAGCTCTATGTGGATGGGACCCTTTTTTTCTTTTCAACTAAAATTTCGGAGCCCCTTTTTCATTAGTTGAAACGTCGCTGCAACAATTCGCTTCACCTGTATCACAATTCAAACGAGACAACTGATGGATAAATATCTTCGAAAAACTATACCTTTTCACTCGAGATGAGTCTTTGCTGCGTCATGTCTAGGATTTGAATTCTATATGCAAACAGAGCGGAATGAAACTACTTAGTACAAGAGATCGATATTAACTAGTCTTTGCTTTAAAAAAAACGCAGGTAGAAGTCCGGAGGTCAGGAATGCAATTAGGGCCATAATTGCAGGAATGAATGAATGGAGAAGAAAGACATGCATCCGTTTTAAGAGGCGAACAAATGAAAGAGACTACGTAATATTTGCTTTACGCAGGTTAGAGGCTGTTAGTGTAATTGCTCTAAATAAATCTTAGTAATCATAAGCATGTGTGTTTGAACGAATTCAAAAAAGATGTTAGCAAAATTAGAGATTCGAGCTATCTCAGAATGTTAGCATTTTTCTGGTGCTCAAAAAATTGGAAGGAAAGAACTAGAATATCTCAAAACTAATGTGCTGATGGATGGACGAGACGTAGCAATCAAGTTTTCTTGGCTTTAAAGGTTATTAACATAATAATTTCCCTCCGTGTGGGGCTACGTTGCACGCGCTCCGCTATTAGAGACCTTACAAGCAAGCAGATCGGCGACAGCAATCAGTACTTCGTAAACCAGAAAATTAAGGGAAAAGAAAAATGGTTATGAGCGTTCTTTTTATTTGTTATCCTCTACTGGCAGCTATAGGATTCACCAAAGGTTTCGTAGTTCAAGAATGAGAGCCCCGACATTGACAGAAAATTAAATACAAGTCTGCTCGAAACTTAACGTTGCCTTAACGTGTTATACTGAAGAGAATTTTCGACCCTGATAAAGACGGTTAAGACGTCAGGTCACTTGCAAATATAATCTCCTTTTTTGTGATCAGAGTTTCCTCGCTCGCGAAATCCCTTATGATCAACTTAATATAGAGCTACACCCTACTATGTTTTTTATTTTATTTATTTTTTTTTTAATGAAAGCGCATCACACCAGGTAAATCTATAGAAATAATTAATGCATCCTTCTGATATCAACCTACTTTTCAGTGGAGGGTGTTATTCAAATGTAGGCAGAATAGGAGGCCGTCAAATTATAAACCTTGGAAGTGGATGCCGGACTCTAGGAATTGTTGCTCATGAAATCGGTAAATAATTTGCTTTGGTGTGTCTGCTTATTTGTTTTTATTTATTTTACTTACTTTTTAGTATGGTCGGTTTGTTTGCTATTTTTTCTTCTGCTTTTCTCCCTGTATGTTTTTGCTTATGTATTTGTGCATATTTTTTAGAAGCTTTATTTCATATAAACGTTTAGGGACGATATTTTTAAAGCCGTTGAAAAAATTTTTAACCAATTTTTTTTATCCGAACTTAGGACCATTTCAAAAAATTCTCTTTATTAAATATTGAAAGAAGCAAAATGGATTATCATGTAACCGCATAATATCATAAGAGTGAACTGCAAAAAAAAAGCGTCTTACTGATTTTCCGCAGGCCATGCCATTGGATTCTATCATGAACAGTCTCGTCCCGATAGAGATCGGTTTGTCACAGTGCTGTTCCAAAATATACAAGCAGGTGAGGCAAATTGATTTTCAATTCATTTTTAAAAACCCTTTCAGCAAAAGTCTTCTTTCTTTAATTTTTTCCACTTTTTCTAAATTAGCTACTGAAAAATCATTCCCACGCACGCGCTATTTGCACCATGAATCTAAATTTGAGTTTCGTCATGAAATTATTGCAATTGGTTAACTGTCGATAGTTCGTGCTTTTTCGCTTACCAAAAGCGATTTTTTTGTTTTTTCTAAGGTCGTTTCTTATTTGTTACCCCTAATGACTCAATGCATATTATCAGTAATAAAGTATCACAAGTTGAAACAAACTGTACCGTAATCCAGAATAGTATCTGAGGTTATTTTTAACGTAGCCGTGTAGTTTTTGTCGTTTTGGCTTCACCCTCGAACTCTCCCTGATTTCAGCAGATTTGATCAGATTGTAGAGTGTGTGAAAAGAAACGCAGCAAACACCGTTTAATCCCACAATTCCGGTTATTTTGATCTCCAACACATGAAAACCCAAACCTTTCAAAAATTCTCTTTGATAGAGTTCTCGTCATTAGGATTGATAGAAATTTTTTTCCTTTCGTCTACCTTCAATATTACAGTAACTGACTTTCCCGACCAAAAATATTTCACCGCAATTTGTTGCAGGGAGAAGGAACAATTTTAACAAGTACCCAAGATCAGTCATTGATTCTCTCGGCACTCCTTATGATTACCGGAGCGTGATGCATTACGACGACAAAGCGTTCAGCAATAACCCCAGACTTCCAACCATAGTAACGAAAGACAGAAGGGTATGTTACTATTTCTCATAATAGTTTTTAATAATAATATAATTTTATAATAATATATATAATATTTATTTATAATATATATAATAATTTTTTTTCATTCTCTTTCTGTTTTCCGATATTTTAACTACTTCAATTTCAACAATTTCCAAAACCTCATCTTGTGTGAATTCATGGCAAACAAAAATAGGCTTATAGGGCCCGTTGAGTCACTGGGAGTTCCTGGATAACAACTTGCTTCCTTCTTAGCACCAAAAGGTTTGAATAAACATTTACAGAGTATTTGCAGATCGAGGGGGGGGGGGGGGTTGAAGGGAGGGAGGTATAGTGCGACATATAATACCAAAGGACAGCTGTGAAGAAAATAGAATCTACCGTTCATGTATCATATTTTCCAGTATCAAAATGTTATTGGCCAGAGGATTGGTTTAAGTTCAATTGACGCACGGCAAGCGAACCTTTTGTACCGAAGTGAATGTGCAAAGAGAGGGGGTGGAGGAGGTTTGTAACGCATCATACCATAGCATAACGGTCTTATTTTTGGTAATACAATTTCAATTTTGTTTTGTTCGCCATCTCTTTTTTTTACATTCGAAGCTTCTATTTAAATCATGTCCCTTTTTAAAAATTTAAAAACGCGCAGATGATGATTTCGAGTTGCTTAGTCCATATGAAAAGTGACCCAAAACGCAAGTCTTTGATTTCATCGTTCAAAAAGAAATGAAAAACGAGACGTTTACAAACCTTTTTTTACAAGTGTTCTTGTCCTGTCCTTTTTGCTCCATTTTCAACATTTTCGGTCTACATTCATTGTGTGAACCAAGATGTTACAATGTGTTGCGGTCTCATATCTCGCGCGTTAATTGGCGAAAAAAATTAATGAGAGTGAGTGAATGTTGTGAGTTGAGATATTTTTAAAATAGTTTTAACGAGCGGCAGCAACCATGAATAACTTAAGTCTTTTTCTTCATTTCCTACGTAGCGGTTTGTCGAGACAGATGGAGAAGTTGCCCAAGGCGGCCGATAAGCCACTGCAGGAACTCCATAGTTAAGAGATACTGCAGGAAGCGATGCAACCAATGCAGTTAGCCGAGAACGAGATTGCATTCCGTCCTAAGCTCTTGTGTATCAAGCGAGGTTATTAAAATTCTTTTACCTGTATACTTTTGTCCTTGTTGAATATTATTTTCTTTATTCCAAAGAGGCTCAAATCGGTTTCCTCATTCATTAATAATCTTTTGTTTGTTGGATCTATACGACCACAATTTTTTTTATGATTTAATTACGAGAAGTTAGCATCCATATCGCATTAGCCTATTGCTAAGAAGTACCCCCTCCACACCTCCACCAAGAGAAAAATACATATCTATATATATTGCAATTCTAGTGTTCTGATTGATTTAGTCGACTCCGGTTATCAGTTCACATTCCGAGTCACGTTATATAGAAATGTATTATGCCAACTGTTACGGAACTGAGAAAAGCTTCAAATACTCAAACATTGAGGATGAAATTTAATAAAAGAACTATTCCATTCACGCTTGTTGGATAAGATAGATTATAAGATAAGATTATAGCCCACTCAGTCATTTAACATGTCATATCTAACTACGCTCACGGAACAATTGTTGACAATCAAAATGGTATTAATCCATAGTTTTCATACAAACTCTGAAACTCATTTACTACCATCTTTCGATAAAACTCGAGTGATAATTCAGTACGATCGGTCTTATCTGCTCTCTGTTTTCTTTTCGTTTACTGTGCTTTTTATTTAGCCACCTATATCAAATACAATCACAATCTAGTGAATCACTCAAGCTCACATTAGTCAAAATCATCCGCTCTCTCTTTTTCTTGTCGTTTATTGTGCTCTTCTTTGAGGCAAATACAATCACAAATCTATTGAATCAATCAAGCCCACATTGGAGACACAGTTACATTCAGACTGATGCTGTTTTTCCTGGGTGGTGGCTGTCGTCCAATTTAATAGCAGAGTGGATTCTCACATCTCAACTTTGGGCAACCTATGTGAAGATGTATTTTTAACAAAACTAGATGCATCATATCATTTTTGAACGACAGAAACTATAGAGATATTGGAATTATACTTCTGCTTTCAGTTCATTACCAATATAAGGAAGATTTCGCACGATGGCGATAAGATCTGATATTAATCTTGCCACAAAATCGTAAAACTCATAACGTCGAGAAAACGTGTGGTTTTGCTTTCATTTCGTGGAAAATAAATGTCTGTGGTCGAGATTGAGCAGTTAAAAGACGGGGTATTGAGGCCGGGTTCGAGTCCTGGATGGGGCACTACGTTGTGGCCTTAAGCAAGTCGCTTCACTCACCTTGCTTCGTCTTCTCGGATAAGACGTTAAGCCGGAGGTCCCGTCTCCTGCAGGGTTTGGGGTAGGAGACGTTAATTTCCCACGCACGAGATTACTGTGTGATGGATGTCCTCCCCTGGGTTGGGTTGGGTGGGTTTGTAACTTGTAAGGCGCATCTGAATATATTCATATAGATATTTGCGCCGAATAAGTATTTATTAAATTATTTATTAAAATAAAAAAATTATAGTATTCCCAAAATGGCTACAAACGTGATACAAACGTGGAATACGTCACTCATGATCAGTTCCCAAATGTGATGATTGGGTCGATTCTACCGTAATGTATATATGCAGTTCTGGTAAAACATTCAAAACACACATCATAAAGTTATGTATTTACGTATTTTTATTTTGTCGCAGTACTTTCTTTTCATATATTATTTAGAGTAAAACAAGGCAATTATTATAGATTCTTCGACTAAAGAATATTAAGTAGTTTACAAAAAAGAAAACGAAAACGATCGTAAAGATTACATACTAGTAAAGGAAAAATAACATTACAAGAGCATAGTACAGTCTCTGCTTACATTACAAATATCCAAAAAAAAAGAGAAGTGAACATTACAATCAAAGTTTTACATGATGTAGCGTGCGCCTTTTTTATCTCTTCTTTACAACCAAAGGAAGACAAATTTAGATAAACACAGCGCTTTCTTAATCTTGGATGCCTTGAATGGCTATATAAGGTATGGTTTCGACTACGTAGTTTGATGCGGGTTATTTGAGGTGCGGTTAAAAATATAGTATACTTTATAAAGTGACGGAGATGACGTCAGTAAATTAATATGAGCCAAAACTGCTGATGCAGTTAGGTTGATGCAAGTCGATCGGTCAGTGAAACTGAGTGGCATGGAGAAGATCGTTTTATACTTCAAAGAACAGGTAATATAACGTCTTGAAATGACTCATATTTGGATATTTATTAAGACGGACGGACGGATCGCCATTGGTACAAATATAATCGATTGATAATTGTGGAAACATTGCTCATACAGCCCTTCTAATAGTAGTGAAAGGAGGAGGTGACATTTTATAAGCCCTTGCAATATTGCAACTCTTGACGTTACCAGAAGGAGTGCTTTCCCAACGATGGTGATCTGATTTCCTACTTACGCCAGCGCGGATGGAAGAGGCCCAACTTTCGTGGAAAATATCGCAATATTTTGCATGGTTTGGTGTATGATACGCACAGAAAATTTCCCTCAGTATACGGAGTGTACAGAAACTATGATGAAGTAAGTAAGTTTCCTTATGGTAACTTAAGGGTGAACATTAGAAATATTTAAGACATCTTTAGGTGACATACGAAAGTTCTGAAATGAATTTTTGATTAAAATTTCAGAAGTCAATTAAAGTCTCCTTATGAATCATTTCATGAACACTTTAAGACCACATGAAAGCAAACCTAAATAACCATTTAATTGACTTTAAGAATCCTCGTAATTCTCGTAAACTTGTCTTTAGTTAACCAAAACTTCTACTTGTAAAAACGTCTTAAAGGTTTCTTTTATCTTTTGTTTCCGTTTAAGTACTACTTAAAGTTGCAGGTTTTGTTGTAATTCATCTTTAGTTGTACTTTCGGGTTTTTTCAAATTTCAAGTTTTGTTAACATTCATCATTAAGTGACCTTTAAGTGCCTCTAAAAGTTGCAGGTTTCACCTTCAATTGACTTTTGATCTTATTACGATATTTTGGGCAACCTTTAAATTGTTAGAAAAAGGGACATCACACATACAAGTAAAGAGAATGTTTGAAATTGCATTGATGAAACAGTTTGGTTCAAAACTCAATTGCTCCCCTAGGAAACGCGATTTGAACTGATACTAACAATAAAAAATATAAGTTCAACCTATTAATCTAAAAAATCAGTATATTTTTCTTAATCAATTTAAATTTGCAATAACTCTATCAATTATTTGCCATGTTATTACATCTGTAATACTTATTAAATATGATCATATACCTTAATTTTTTTTAGTAAAGCAAACAGTTCTCTTATTCTGAATGCAGCTGAAACTTTGATATACAGAAATTACGTGTACATCCATATGGAAAAAAAGTATCTCGTGTGGAGGAAATTAAATATAAAATTGAAGAATTTACAATAACTTACTTTAGATAATGAGACCATAAAAATTGCTAAATTACACATTCAATGAATAAGAAGCCTCATGCAGGCATGTAAAAGACCTTTATTCTAGACTTGGCCAATTAATGCTTTATATATAATGATCTGAATATATTGTACATTTTCAAATTGATTAATTAGAAAAACAAATTTTTTTCTGTATTATTGGCCACTCTGGAAAATTTCAGTAGGTGGGCATCTAAGAGAAGGTTACCCAGCAACCCTGGGTAGGATTCTCTCTTTAGCTCTTGAGGTGAGCTTTTTCTTCTAAGCCTTGTCAAGTTTTTTTTTTAATTTTTTTCATTCTCCTACTCTCCCATTGAAGGCGATGGACGGAGTATTTTATCACTTTTGAGGTATTTCCACCATTGTCCTCATAGCAGCTTTCCTCACTGTTCATCGCCTCCATCACAAGAACCTCCACCGCTCTCCCCTTTTCATACTGGTCAGCCCAGTTGACCAGGGCCGTAGTTCTTCTCAATAACTTCTGAAAAAAACAAAATAATACAACGAGCATGAGAAGGGTATTATAAGACTTCAAATGGAAAATATGATCCAAATTACTAATTTCTCTTGATATACATCATATACAACAAGCATGAGAATTCTTAAGCATGTTATACCATGGAGTCTTTTTGTCCTTTATTTTTCATCAAATGGTCCATACAAACTATAATTTATCTCAAATCACATCTTAATATTTTTCATTCTTTTGCCTCAACTACAGATCCATATTTAAGATAATATTACACAATTGCCAAATTTACTTTACAAAGACTTTCTCGGAAGGCCCTAGATACCTACCAGAATACATAATTTATTTAACAATTGCTCTCATAAGCATAGAACAATTTTAAGAGGACACAGTCCCTTAAATGTGTCTATATGCAAAGCCATCCAATTTTGAAGTGCCAAAAAAAAACATTCAATGGGAAACATCTTCCCCCCTATTGATCAGGCCCCGCCATTTGTGAACAGCAGGGTATATGAAAAGTAAAATGTTAAAAATAGTATCCCAATAAATACCTCTATTTGGCGACCACTCTTTCTAGTTTTTCGTCTATGAGCCTCGTAGCGGTTACTGCTCTTCAATTTCTGTGTTTCCAGACCTGTTTTGAAATATCTTTGTAAAGCAGCTGTTCAAAGAAATAATTATCAAAATGCCATGAGAAGTTGATTGTAAAAAGATTCCCATATAAATAAATGACAATGCTCAAATTTATAATCATTTATGGATGGCCACATAAAAATATTTGCCAAGTTATGGCAAAAATTATGCCATTTGCAGAACTGAATGGCGACTGAAGCTTCCAGAGCTTAACTTGAGAGGGGCCACAAGAATTTGAGGAGACCACTCAACTCAAAAGTACGAGAAAACGCACTGAAGAAAAAACCGAAATGGCAAAGACGAGGGTAGAAAGCTAAACGACAGTTCTCTCTGAGGAAAACCCAACAAGCGTCGCGAAAGAAAACAAAACAGGTACCAATGCCGAAAAAAGTCAAGCATCTCTGCCGGAAAAGCAAATCATTGTAACCTATACAGGTGAGGAACTGGTCTCTTTTAAGGACAACATGGTTTCAAAGGACACTAAAAGAAAGTACAAGTACATCCGTACACCGTTTGCAGTCTTGTTTCCAGGAAAATCACGGCAAACAAACTAATTTCGATGCAATTTCAAAGCAAGAAGCACCGCCGCTTCTCAAGCACTTCTTTCTAGAAATAAGGCAGACGATAAAAGAAAACAAAGGTAAAGAATATGAACCAGAAACACTACAAACTTACCGCAATGGTTTACTAAGGTACTTTTTGGAGCGTCAATGTCCACCGGTAGTAGATAACTTCGACCTCGAAAAATCTATAGGGATTGAGTTCGAAGAAGTTTCAACGTTAATCGTTCCAAGCAACGTTGAATAGCAATTATGCTCCCTTGTAATAATAAAAAATGTATAGATATAATTTATATAAATATATTTTGTAACTTTTCTATATTCAAAGTAACTAACCTTCATCGTCAGATGAACTTGAAATTTCGTGGAACAAGTCACGGGAATTTTAAGTCGCCACGAAAGTATCTGTCAAGTTCTTCCCGTTACGTTTCCGCTCATGCCTTTCGAAAGTTGAGCGTGATAGGGAGTCATTAAGGTGAGCACAGAAAACATATGCTTTCTTGTCATCGCACTGCATGCACTCTTTAAAGGAGATACAAAAATGAAGACCGTCGCTTTCAATGCAGATGTTTCGACCCCATAAAGAATAGTGAGCACGACAAAGTTTGCCGTTGCACGTTGAACAAAATTTGTTCTTCTTGCTCATCAATGAATCTGTTGGCTAATTTGTAGTGAATTTTCTATTGACAGTGCAGATTACAATGAGACTATCTTTAATGCGCAATTAAAGATGTCAAAACAGCGAGACTCATTTAAATCTCACCATAAAGTCAAATTAAATGTATATTAATTAAACACCCTCTTTTGTGCCAAAAAAGAGACCACTTAAAGGATACCGAAAGATTTGCGTAATTAAAGTTAAACTTATGTGTAATTAAAGATTCATAAAAGGTTAGTGTTAGCTTTCGGATATTTCATTCGACAATTAAAAACGATTACAGCTTTACTCAACCAATAAGGATGCTTAAGATTCTGCCTAAAGGCAACGAAATAAACCATTCGTCCTGTGTAAGAGATTACTTTATTTCTACAAAAGTTTAGCTGCAATTTTAACGGGCCAAATTCAGCAAATATGTATTGAATCATCGAGCATTAAGCTATAAGAGGCAGCTTTCCCACGAGGAGCATAAGCTTACTGCTTAAGTCTTCACTAGAAACGAAACTCAAGAGAACAAGAATTAACAAAACAATGGTTGTTCGATGAGTCCTTGTAATAATGTCAAAGAAGATCATAGTTGTTTAAGCTAAGGCTCGGATTTTTGCATTTTCTTCCTTTTTTGAACTTTCCATGTAGCTTCTGTTGTTTTCTGTTCAACGATTTTTCTAGCTATCACAGTTTCTTTTAAGCAACTAAATTGGTACGCCCAAGGAAACTAAAAGATCTGCAGCTTGGTTATTTGGGCGCTTTGTGTGATAATCACTACATTGAAACACTTTCTAAGACTTCGATTGTCACAGAATAAAACAGAAGCTTTGATACTATTGTGATTCAAAGTTTATCTGATTCTATTGGTGATAGTCATGATTAGCGATTCGCATCACAATGAATCGTTTTTATGCGTTGAATAATATAGATTTAGCCAAGCCTAAAAGCAGAGCTCGCATTTTTTTTCCCGTACGTCTCAAGGGCACAACGCCTTGCCCCGGCCGGGACTAGAACCCGGGTCGTCCGACTCGGAGCCCAGTGCACTAACCACTGGACGTGCCCGCGTTACAGTTGACTATGCATGTTAAAAGTAGCACCTTGTACGGTCAGTCGTACGGTCGCACGGTCATAAGTCCAAATGTTTTCGGCTTGATGGGTTACTACTACTACCATTTTGTATTATTATGGGTCTACACTCTGCGAGCTCCGCTATAAATGTAGCTGTCATTTTAAAAAACAAAACTTGCCACTCATTTGTTTGCTATTGAAATGTAGCCACCACGAAAAGGTTGAATATAGAGGCCTTCTGTTCTTGTGACTAGTTAGTAGGATCAAGTAGAATGGAAGTTATTTGTTTTGCTGTTGTTGTTCTTTTGTTTAATAAAGAATTAGTTAATTAGTATAATGACACTTAATTTCTTCATTGCATGATTTATAATTTGACTGAAAGAAATAGAGATCGACTTACTGAATGACTAATTAAATTCAGTATTAAATGATTGATTTATCGTCTGTGTTCAATTTTTTTATCATAGAAAATTTGGGTGTCGACGATAAAGATTTATTCGAGAGAGATATGATCCTTCCTGCGGATGTCCTCTACAGACCCGAGCACGGAATGGATGTTGATAGCTCCCGCAAAAGAGGCTCGATCAGAAGCAGACTATGGCCGTGAGAAAGGTTAGCGAACGCCTTCAAATGCTAACCTTCGCTTACATCTTCCAGAGGTACACTCAGTCCTCGTATTCATGGCACACGTTATCAAACAACTCAAGACCATCATGCCAGATCTGAAGACAGTCAGTTAACGCCAAGACAACGCTGGCTGATACCATAGCGGGTCTACCATAGTCTGTGCAAACGTGGTAGGAAAAGAGTTAGGTGTAGCGATCAAACGATAGGATTTTTCAGATCCCCAGTGTAGAAAAGGAGCTAGTGATCGTTAGGCAGCCTTGATAAAGTTACAAATGCACATTCACTTAAACTCTGGCAACGATATCGAGACGCCTGCGCAGATGGTTGAGACTTCTTTCTTCCGGTGGAGGGGGTCTCTCGTAGTTCGATTATTGAACGTTGCTTCCTGAAAAAGAAGAAAGAAAAACATACGAGTAAAAGAGGTCGCAATGTTCACATTTGGGAAAACGTGTGTCGCTGTCTCAGTTTTTCATGCTTCTCACTTGCTGACTGCTGTACACCTTGTATGTTTATACAATACGAAGTTAACCTGATTTTGAGGGAAATAGATTGAGTTTTAATTTAAATTCGCTTCACGCCGAATCCTTTTTTTTTTTTCGCGTTAGTTATAAGAGCAGCTGTCAGTTACAAGCCATTAGTTTCCTATTGAAACATATCCATTTAAAGAGGTTATAACTAATTATTAGTAGTATCAAAGAGAATAGAAGTACATAAAGTTTCATAAATTTGTCACGCTTATGCTTCTTTTTTAATTGGGAAATTAATTGACTGCCCTACCGATCATTTGAGCAATACTTACTGTTTGGTTGGTTTCATTGGACGATTGACTGTACAATTGATTGGTTGATTGCATTAATGATGATTGTTTTATTGAATGAAAAAGTGATCGACTAATCGATTTTATTCAATTTTGTATCATAGAGAACTTAGGCGTGGATAATAAGGATTTGTTCGAGGGAGATATGATTCTTCCTCCCGATGTCCGTTATAAAGCCGAGCATGGAATGGATGTTGATATTTCCCGAAAAAGAGCAGCCGTCAAACCCAGAAACAGACTATGGCCGAAAGGAGAAGTCCCTTATGTCATCTCTAATGGCCTTAGTAAGGGCGAATAACTTCTGTATGCATGTTTTGTTTTGCATTATACTTTTCAGAGATTAATACGAATGTATTTAAACTCTATGTTAACTTGGACATATTTGTACAAGTTTCTTGCAGTTCGGAGTCAAATATTTGCAACACATGCAGTACAGTACATAACTGAAATGGAAAACGAAGTAACAGTTTATCAGCTGCATTCCGGGACGTTGGACTATCATATTTTTCAGAGAATTGCAGCACCCCTTATAGCTTCATACAACAACAACAAAAAAAAAAACGGGACAAGCTCTGTGTGGCTGGGACACTTGGGTCGAGAGTAGACTGACCCTTTTTTCTATTTCAACTTTAAGTTCGGAGATCCATTTGTATTAATTAAAAAGTCGCCCCAACAATTCGCTTCACCTGTATCACAATTCAAACAAGTATAAATGCTGGAAAGGATCCTAGAAAAACTAGCTTTTCACTTGAGATGAATCTTCGCTGCGTCATGTCTACGATTTGAATTCAATATGCAAACAGAGCGAAATGAAGCCCGCTTGGTGCAAGAGATCGATATTTACTAGTCTTTGCTTTTTAAAAAACACAGGTAAAAACAGAATGCCAGGAAAGCAAATAATGCCATAATTGCAGGAATGAATGAATGGACGGGAAAGACATGCATCCGCTTTAAGAGGCGAACAAATGAAAAAGACTACGTAGTGTTTGCTTTACACAGGTTAGAGGCTGTTAGCGTAATTTGCTATGAAATAATTCTTAGTAATCATGAGCTTGTGAGTTTGAACGAAATAAAAAAAAAAAAATAGTTGGAGAAATTAGAGAATTAAGCTATCCCAGTACGTTAGCATTTTTTTCTGGTGCTGAAAACATCAGAATATCTTAAATTAAACAAATGTACGGATGGATGGACGAGACGTAGCAAATAAGTTTTCTTGACTTTAAAGGTTAACTTAACAATTTTCTTCCGTATGGGGCTACGTTACGCGCGCTCCGCTATTGGAGACCTTACACGTAAACCAGGTCTGCGACAGCAATCAGTACGTCGCAAATCAGTACATCATAGATTTAAAACATTTTACATTTCTTTTTGGTCCTCTCCTTGCAGCCATAAGATTCACCAAAGGTTTTGTAGTTCGAGAATAAGAACCCCGACACTGACAGAAAATTAAATAAATGTCTGCTTGAAACTTAACGGTGCCTTATCATGTAAGATAATGCTTGACCCTGATAAAGACAGTAAAGACAACGGCTCACTTGCAAAGTTTTTATCACAAATATGATATCTTTTCTTGTGATCAGAGTTTACCTTAGCGTCGCAACTAGGTCTCGCCCGCGAGATCCCTAATGATCAACTTAAACAGAGTTACACTCTACTTTGCTTTTCTATTTTCGTGAAAGCGCAATAAACTATGTAAATCTATGTAAATAATCACTACATCCTTCTGATATCGCCTCACTTCTCAGAGGAGGGTGTTTATCGAATGTGGGAAGAGTTGGAGGCCGTCAAATTATTGACCTTGGAAACCGATGCTGGAATCTAGGAACTGTTGCCCATGAAATCGGTAAATAATTTGCTATGATGTGTTTGTTTGTTTATTTGTTTTTATTTATTTTCCTTACTTTTTTAGTATGGTCGGTTTGTTTGTTTCTTTTTCTTCTGCTTTTTTCCCTGTTTGCTTTGTCTTATTTTTGTTTTTTGCTTAATTATATGTACACATTTTAGAGGTTTTATTTTATATAAACGTCAAGGGACGATATTTTTAAAGCCGTTGGAAAATTTAAACCAACATTTTTTCTATCCGAACTTAGGACCATTTCAAAAATCCTCTTGATTGAATTTTGAAAGAAGCAACATGGATTATCAGGTAACGGTAGATATCATAAGAGTGAATCGCAAAAAAGCAAGCGTCTTACTGATTTTTCACAGGCCATGCCATTGGTTTCTTTCATGAACAGTCTCGTCCTGATAGAGATCAGTTTGTCACAGTGCTGTTAAAAAATGTAAAACCAGGTGAGGAAAATTTATTTTCAGTTCATTTTTAAAAACCCTTACAGCAAAAGTTTTCATTCTTGAATTTCTCCACTCAGTCTTTTTTTAAACTAGCTACTGTACAATCACTCTCAAGAACGTGCACGCACGTATCTTCCACCAAAAATCTAAACTTGAGTTTCGTCATAGAGTTATTGCAGTCAGTCAACTTTCGATAGCTCGTTCTTTTCGCTTACCAAAAGGGATATTTTGTTTCCTCGTAGGTCTTTTTTTATTTGTCACCCTAATGAACTCAATGCATATTATCAGTACTTCAAAAGTTTAAACAAACTGAACTGTAATCCAACATAGTATCAGGCTGAAGTTATTTTAAAGTAGCCGCGCAGTTTTTGCCGTTTTGGCTTGACCCTCGAACTCTCCCTGATTTTAGCAGATTTGATCAGATTGTAGAGTGTGAAAAGCAACGCAGAAAGCATCGTTTACTCAAATATATCCGGTCCAATTGATCTCCATCTCACGAGAACCCAAACCTTTCATAAATTTTCTTCTCAAGATCTCATCATCAGGATTAATAGCAATTTTTTCCTTACGTCTACCTCTTATCATCTTAGTGTCGCCGTGTAAATACTTTTCTGTCTGTACTTGTTAAGTTAAGTTAAGTTGATAATTTGTATGCTTTAGAATGTTCTGTGTGACTTAGATTATTTGAATTGTAGTTTAGTCGGATCAGGGAAGGGATCTTCTTTCGGGATATTTCTTTCCGGGATATTTTTTACGTGTGGGTGTATTAACCAAGTAAGGGACTTATGTCCTATTGTTATGCACCTGTACTTATACTTGTACGAATCCATTAAATAAAATAATTATATTACAGCAACTAACTTTCCCGACCAAAAAAATTCATCATAATTTATTGCAGGGATGAAGGGTAATTTTAAGAAGTACCGAAGGTCATTCGTTGATTCTCTCGGCATCCCTTATGATTACGAGAGCCTGATGCATTACGACGACAAAGCATTCAGCAAGAACCCGAAACTTGGACTTCAAACCATAATAACGAAAGACAAAAAGGTATGTTACTACGCCTCATAATCCAGTTCATTCTCTTTCTGTTTCCTGATATCTTAATTATTTCAATTACAACAGTTTCCATATTCCCATCTTATGCGAATTCATGGCAAACAAAAATAAGCTTACTGGGTCCGTCAAGTCATTGGGAGCCTCGACAAACAGAATCCTGGACACCAATTGCACAAGCAATCATTGGTGTAACCAATATGCTCCACTCTCTCCCTCAGACACTTTTTGATCGGCCGTTGTATTAGACTTTAATCCCTCGATGAAAAACTTGTTTTTTTCTCTGCACCAAAAGGTTTCAATGGGTGAATAGACTTTAGCAGCGTATTTGCGGATCTTTTGGGGGTGAGGGGTGTGATGGGGGAGGGGGGGGAATGGTGCAACATATAATACCAAAGAACAGCTACGAAGAAGAAAGAACCCCTCAACCCCCAATGGGTACCAGCCTCCTTCCTAAATGGGCTGCAGTAGTTAATTGACGTTCGTGTATCATATTTTTCAGTATCAAAATGTTATTGGCCAGAGGATTGGTTTAAGTTCAACTGATGCAGAGCAAGCAAACCTTATGTACCGAAGTGAATGTGCAAAGAGAGGAGGAGGTGGAGGTAGAGGTGGAGGTGGAGGTGGAGGTGGAGGCAGAGGTAGAGGTAGAGGTAGAGGTAGAGGTAGAGGTAGAGGTAGAGGTGGACGTGGACGTGGAGGTAGAGGTTGAGATGGAGGTAAAGGTAGAAGTGGAGGTGGAGGAGGTTTGTAACGCATCATAACAATAGCATAACGGTCTTATTTTTGGTAATATGATTTCAATTTTGTTTTTATCGCTATCTCTTTTTGTTATATTCTAAGCTTTTATTCGAGACATGTCCCTTTTTAAAAGGTTAAAAACGCGTAGGTAATAATCTCGAGTTGCTTAGTTCATGTGAAAAGTGGCCCAAAACATCGGTCTTTTATTTCATCATTTTAAAAGCAATGAAAATGAGACGTTTAAAAACCTTTTTTTATCAAGTGTTGTTGTCCTGTCCTGTCCGGTCGCTTTTGCTCCGTTTTCAACATTTTCAGTCTGCATTGTGTGAACTAAGATGTTACGATGTGCTGCGGCCTCATATCTCGCGCGTTATTTGGCGAAAAAATATTAATGTAAGTTGCGTTTTTACGATATGTTTAAAATAGTTTTACCGAGCTGCAGTAACAAAGTCTTAAGACTTAAGTCTTTGTCTTCATTTCCTACGTGGCGGTTTGTCGAGACAGAAGGAAAAGTTGCCAACAGCGGCCAGTACGCCAATGCAGGAGATTCATAGTTAGGGTAAACTGCATGAAGCGATGAAACCAATCCAGTTAGCCGAGAACGAGATTGCATTCCGTCCTAAGCTCTTGTGTATCAAGCGAGGTTATTAAAATTCTTTTACCTGTATGCTTTTGTCCTTGTTGAATGTTATTTTCTTTATTCCAAAGAGGCTCAAATCGGTTTCCTCATTCATTTACAATCCATTGTTTGTTGGATCTATAAGAACACAATCGTTTTTACAATTTCTTGCCTTAGCAAAAGTATTTGGTGCTATTTTTCTCCCTTACGAGAAGTTAGCATCCATATCATATTAGCCTATTGCTTAGAAGCACCCCCTCCTCACCTCCACCACGGGACAAACGCATATATCCTGATATTTCATAAAATTATTTACAACGTATCTTCATTGCATCATCAAAACAAATGTGCTCGCAAAATTTTACAGAAATACCACACAGCATGCATAACAAAATTTTTTCAAAGACTTACTATAACTCAAAGAAACTCCACACACTAATTTTAACTAATACGAGGCTCCACAAAAATACTGATTAACTTTCAAAATTCTACCACCAGGATACAGTTAATATTTGTAACATATTTCGTGCAATGTTGTTTTCCATTTCATCTTCAATGTTCTAATTACCTCATTTGAATCCCGAAATGTCATTTTTATCGACAAAAGTCCTCACCACAATATCTACACACCAAACCCATACTTTTATATACCAAATTCTGATATTCATACACCATTTTGAGGTCAAATGGTAGCAAATACTTTCTGACTATTCGCGTGAATCCCAAGATTTGAAAATAGTTTTCTGAATGAAATCGTTCCTTAAATTTACAATCATTAGATACATTACAGTTTAAACTCAGACGAACTCCGAATATTGCAATTCTAGTTATCTGATTGGTTTAGTTGACTCCGGTTATCAGCTCACATTCCGTGTCACCGCATATGGAAATGTATTATGCCAACTGTTACGGAACTAAGAAAAACTTCAAATATTCAAACATTCAGGATGAAGTTTAATACAGCAACTATTCCATTCACACTTGTTGGATAAGAGACTGGTTATAGCCCACTCGGTTATTTACTACGTCATATCCAACGCACGCTCATGGAACAATTGTTAACTATCAAAATGATATTAATCCATAATTTTCATACAAACTCCTCAATTCATTTACCATCATCTCTCCCCATAACTCGAGTGATAATTCAGTATGATCGGTCATTTATAAATGAAATGACTAACCGTCCAAGTCAAAATCATCTGCTCTCTCTTTTCTTGCCGTTTACTGTCCTCTTCATTTAGCCACCTATACCAAATACAATCACAAATCTATTGAATCACTCAAGTCCACTTTGGAGACACAGATACCTTCAGACTGATGCTGTCACTCAAGCCTACATTGGTCAAAATTATCCGCTCTCTCATTTCTTGTCATTTATTGTCATCTTCTCCTAGCCACCTACTCCAAATATAATCACAAATCTATTGAATCACTCAAGTCCACATTGGAGACACAGATACCTTCAGACTGATGCTGTCTAGTGACTGCCGTCTAATTTAATAGCAGAGTGGATTCTCACATCTCAACTTTGGGCAACCTTGAAAAACCTGAAGAGAAAAGCGAAACACAAACAGTTTAAACTCTGAAACTAGCATAGAGGGACTAGCTCTGGCTATCAGAAAACCACTTCACGTTAGAGTCTTTAAAGAGAGGCAAAAACGACTCCAGGGTGAATGAAATAGCTAACAGCTCCCCTCAGGCGGAACTTTTACCACAATCATCTACATCCCATAACTTGTGACATACCTGTTCATTGTTGACATCTAAGTGGGCACCACACCCTGTGGCGCTAACATCGGAATAAACTACGTAATTAGATGTTTTAGACGGACAATATGATAACCGAAGAATAAAAAGCTGTGAAGGTATAAGAAAAAAGCATACCGGTGGATAATTCATAGGCATTGAATGGAATGATATTTATATTGCATGCACGTTACCAATATATTCTTTTTTTCAGAGGGCACGGTAACGAATCCTGCAATCTGATCGGTTCTTTACCCGGTCAGTATTTTCCTATCTCTGCCCACGGGCAACGGTAACGCTTTCGTGAGTCGCCGAGTACATCCCTTCATTCGTTGCTATTTTTCATAAATATATCTCGTTTTACCGGCTGGGCAGTATTTTTAAGCAAAGAAGTCGGTCACTACCTCAAGCCGATAAATAACTTATGAATCCTCTCTTTTCTCTCTCTCAAGTCACTTTGGTCTACTGAAAATTTTCGTTTCAGTATGACTTTTTCGTATAAGCAATAATGTCATTACGTCGGTTGACAGGCGGCCTAAAAAACGTCTGCAATTAATTTATCTCGTTCACAAAAAGTACCTAGAGAGTTAAAACGTAAGATATTTGGCTACAGTTGAACTAATCGATGGAACTTTCATTCATTTAATATCTGGATTTTCTCAAACAATTTTGTTCGTAGTGAAAAGGCGAGTGAAGTTTTAATTTCAGTTCTGCAACAAATATACGCTATCGGTGAGTCTTTTCAAGTCCGTTCAATTTGGACATTTGTATCGTAAATTGTACAACAGAAACTTAAGGAATTAAATGAGAAAAGGCCACATGAAATCCCCTTGTGTCTCGTTGGAGTATATCATCCGAATTTAGTTTTTGCGAAGGAAAGACCAGATTTTCACACGCCATTGCAGCAAACAAACGAGCAAACTCTCACAACTTTCCTCGCCGATTACTTAATGAAGAAAGGTAAATCTTCGTACATAAATTTATCGTCGATGACAGTGAATAATACCTCCGTAAGATGATTGACTGTTTTTGAAGAAAACATCGTGGTGATAGTCCTTGCTAAACTAGTTTTGTTTTTTAAAAATCTACATGCGCTTTTTTCTTTTCTTACGCGCTCTCTAATTGACAGGTGTCAGATTGTGACAGATACTTGTATAATAACGTTTCAAAGTTTGTTTGGAAGTCTTTTAAATCACTTTTATCGTTACGCAAATGAAAATGTCCTCTTTAATTTGCGTCACCTCTATTTTAACTACCATTTTAACTACCATTTTAACTACCATTTTAACTACCATTTTAACTACCATTTTAACTACCATTTTAACTACCATTTACTTGCTCAAAAACTGTTCAGTTTATGGAAGATCTTACCATATTTACAGCCCTAAATCATTCGGGTTCTTTTTGGAATGAATTTCGTCAAGTTTTAATAAGATAAATATGTTATTTACTTGCTAAGGGTCGGTCCGTATGATGAAAAACTGTGACCTCGGCCTTGAAAATGCTGCCCTCGGCCTACGGGCCTCGGGCAGCATTTTCAAGACCTCGGTCACAGTTTTTCACCATACGGACCTCCCTGCCGGCAAATAACATATATATATTTAACCATGGTGTGATGATTCTTCTTCTTTGTAGTCGTCATTTTTGCTAAATTAAATTTAAAAAAATTAAAAGTTAAAAAAAACTGATGCACTGATTAATTATCTGGATCGAGACTGACCCTAAGATGCATATAAAGAATTCCATGCGTAAAAGTAGTGTCATTTAAAAAGGACAAACCCGGTCAGAACTCAACTCCAAAACAAAACCCATTAAGCCGCCTATGTGAAGATGTATTTTTGATAAAACTAAACGCATCATATCATTTTTGAACGAAAGAGACTATAGAGATATTGAAATTACATTTCTGCTTTCAGTGCATTACCATCATAAAGGAGATATCATACGATGGCGATAAGATCTGAGCTTGATATTAACTTCCGACAAAATCGTAAACTTTATACCGTCGAGAAAACGTGTGGTTTTGCTTTCATTACGTGGAAAATGAATGTTTGTGGTCAAGATTGAGCAGTTAAAATACAGGGTATTCCCAAAATAGCCACCCTTGATACATACGTAGAATATGTCACTTAGTTCCCAAATGTGTTCATTGGGTCGATTCTACCATAATGTACATACATAGTTCTGGTAAAACATTCAAAACAATTATCATAAAGGTAGTTATGTGGGTATTTTAATTTTGTCGTAGTACATTCTTAATATCATTTAGAGCAAAACAAGGTAATTATTGTAGGTTCGTCGACTAAAGAATATTGAGTAGATTAGAAAACCAAAACCAAAACGATCGCATAAATTACATTATAGTAAAGAAAAAATAACACTACGGGATCATAGTACAGTCTCTGCTTATAATTTTTAAAAAAATATTAAAAATAAAGGGAGAAATTAACAATATAGTCAAAGTTTTCCATGATGTAGTGTGCGCCTTTTTTTATCACTTCTTTACAACCAAAGGAAGACAAATTTAGGTAAAGACAGCGCTGCCTTAATCTTGGATGCCTTGTATGGCTATGTAAGGCATGGTTTCGACTAAGTAGTTTAATTTGGGTTATTTGAAGTGCGGCTAAAATGGAGTAAAGTGACGGAGATGACGTCGGTAAATTAATATGAGCCAAAACTGCTGGTGCAGTTGGATTGATGCGAGTCGATCGGTCAGTGACACTGAGTGGCGCGGAGATGATCGTTACTCCAAAGAACAGTTAATACAACGTCTTGAAATGACTCATATTTGCATAGTTATCAAAACAGACGGACGGATCGCCATTGGTACAAATATAGTCGATTGATAATTGTGGAAACATTGCTGATATAGCCCTTCTAATAGTAGTAACAACAAGAAGTGATATTTGACAAGGTCTTGCAATATTGCAACTCTTGACGTTACCAGAAGAGGTGTTTTCCCAAAGATGGTGATATGATTTCCTTCTTACGTCACCGCGGAAGGAAGAGGCCCAACTTACACAAGGAAAAAAACAATATTTTGCATGGTTTGGTGTATGATGCGCACAGAAAATTTCCCTCAGTATATTGGAATAGAAACTAAGAGATAACCTTAATTCTCCAAAAGTTCAGCTGCAATTTTAACAGACCAAATTCAGCAAATACATATTGGATCATCGAGCAATGAACTATAAGAGGCAGCTTTCCCACGTGGAGCATAAGCTTATTGCTTAAGTCTTCATTGGAAACGAAACTTAAGAGAACAAGAATTAAGAAAACAAGAACCATGAAGTGCTTGTGCTTCCTCCTGTTGATGACAACAGTCTTCGTTGCATCGGAAAATCCTGATGGTAAGGTTGTTCGATAATTCCTCGTAATAATGCCAAAGAAGATCATAGTTGTCTAAGCTAACACTCGGAGTTTTGCGCTTTCTTCCCTTTTTGAACTTTCCATTTAGCATCTGTTGTTTTCTGATCAACGATTTTCTTGCTACCACAGTTCTTTTTATGCAACTAAATTGGTACGCCGAAGGAAACTAATCGATTTGCAGCTTGATTATTTGGGCGCTTTGGGTGATAATCGCTAAGTGAGAGCACTTTCTAAGACTTCGATTGCCTTAGAATAAAACAGAATCTTTGAAACTATTAGGATTAAAAGTCTATCTGATTCTATTGGTGATAGCCGTGATTTTCGCTTTGCTTCACACCAAATCGCTTTTATGCGTTACATAGAAGTGTAGCTGTTATTTTATAAAACAGAACTTGCCACCCCTTTGTTTGCTATTAAAATGTAGCCCACCACGAAAAGGTTGGAAATATAGGCCTTCTGTTCCTGCGACTAGTTAGTAGGATCAAGCAGAATGGAAGTTATTTGTTTTGCTGTTGTTGTTCTTTTTCTTAACAATTAATTAGTTAATTAGTTAACTAGTATAATGACACTTAATTTCTTCATTGCATGATTTATTATTTGACCGAAAGAAATAGAGATCGACTTACTGAATGAATAATTAAGTTCAGTATTAATTGATTGATTCATCGTCTGTGTTCAATTTTTTATCATAGAAAATTTGGGTGTCGACGTGAACGATTTATTCGAGGGGGATATGATCCTTCCTACGGATGTCCTCTATAGAGCCGAGCACGGAATGGATGTTGATAGCTCCCGCAAAAGAGGTTCGATCAGAAGCAGACTATGGCCGTCAGGAGAAGTCCCATACGTAATCGATAATAGTCTTGGTAAGGGTGAATAAAATATGTTATCTTTAAAAATCTGCAAATAATCGCAATTTTTTGCTCTCTAATGCACCAAAGATCTGGTCCACGATTTGCAAAAAAAGGGATAGTTAAGTGTGCTTGTTTCAAGAGATTGAAACTAACCTCCTAGTCTGTGATTTTTTATACAGCTAGAGGGCGGGCCAGGGCTGCCATAAATGCAGGTATGAATGAATGGACAAAAAAGACATGCATCCGTTTTAAGAAGAGAACAAATGAAAGAGCTTACGTCAACTTTGCTAGCGGCAGGTAAGATACTATTAGCGTAATTTGTTCCAAAAAAAACCTTACTGATTCAAAGTTGAAAACAGTGTTTGAACAAAATTGAAAAAATTGGATAACGAAATTTGAGGTTAGAGTTACCTTTCGAATGCTTTAATTTTACCTGGCGGGCAAAAAAGTATGTATTCAACGGGCAGGACAGAAACAAACAATGGTACCGATGGATGGACAAGACATAGTAATCAAGTTTTCTTGTCGTTATGATCTACCTTAGTTATTATCCTGCTTATGGGGCTACGTTGCGCGCGCTCCGCTACTAGGAAATCTTATGCAAAGCAACGACGGCGACTGCAACGAGAACCAAAAACTTTTATGAGACGGAAAATAGCTCTGTGCGTGCGTTTTAAAACCTAATACATTTCTTGGTTGTTCTCCGCCAAACAACAACGTGAGAAATCCGACAAAAATTAGGTACATGTCATGATTGCGTAAGGTCCCCCCTTATAATCAACTGAAAGAGAGCGACATTCCGGTACTTTTTTCATAAAAAGAACATCATACTGTGTAAATTATTTAAAATGCCTTCTTGTAATGTCAATCTATTTTACAGCGCAGGGTGCTGGTCATATGTGGGTAGAACTGGAAACAGTCAAGTTATCAACCTTGGATCAGCCGGATGCTGGACTCAAGGAATTGTTGCCCATGAAATCGGTAAATTATTTGGTCTTGTGTCTGTTTATTCATTCTTTTTTTATTATTATTATTATTTTCCTTGTGTTTTAAGTTTATCGTTTTGTCTGCTCGGGGTGTTTACTGGTTGCTTCTCGTGCTGTTTTTCTTTTACATTTTTCCCTTTTTTTGTTAAGATCTGTTTTTATTTTTATTTGTATATATTTTAGAAATGTTATTTCATATAAGCGTTTAAGGACGTCGTCGACTGATATTTCTAAAGACTTGGGAAAAATTCTAGAACAACTCTTTATATCCGAACTTGGGACCATTTCATAAAATCTGAATATTGAAAATTTTCAATATCTTGATTTAAGTTTGGAAGAAGTAGCATGGATCATAAGCTACCGACATGATATCATGTGTGTGAATGGCAAAAAAACCAAGCGTCTTATTGATTTTTCGCAGGCCATGCCATTGGATTCTTTCATGAACAGTCTCGTCCCGATAGAGACCAGTTTGTCATTGTTCAGCTGCAAAATATAATACCAGGTGAGGCTTGGTGTGATTTTGTAGATCTAGTACAGTCCTGGTAGAATTACTCTTGTGTTTTCTTTCATCTCACATTTTGTACTTTCAAAACTGTACTAAACAGAGTAAATGCGATGAGAGTAAATTTATATTCAATGTATTTAAAAAAAAAAAAAAACTTTATGGGATAGCTCTTCATTCTTAAATTTCTCCTCTCAGTCTTGTTTTGAAACTCAAAAGAACTCGCACGAGCTATCTATTTCCCGTAGATTTTCGTAAAACAGTCATAGCTACACTTCTCGCTTATTGGAAGCAATCTTCGTTTCCTCTAAGGTCATTTTTTTTTAATATGTTACCCTTGACTAAGTGAATCCTATTATCAATACCGAGAAAGTTAAAACAAAAGTTAACTGTACTCTAATCCAAAATTCTAAATTTATTTTGAAGCATTTTTAAAGGTGTTATATGTTGTATAAACGCATTTTAGGAGCTTCGCCTTTGACATCTACAAGCTATCTACATGCTATTAAAATATTTTATTGGATAGCACATAGTGTGCAAAAAAATGGAAAAAAAACTTTTACTCCAATATTTACCGTCATTTCGTTCTCCAACTCACGAAATCTCGAACCTTTTTCAAGTTCCCCTGAATAGAGTTCTTGTTATCAGTCTTATCAGGATTGATAGCAGTTTCTTCCTTGTGTCCAACCGTTATGTGATCAGCCACTGAAAATATTTCAATTAAAAAATATAACTGCAATATTTAATTTTAATTTATTGCAGGCAGAGAGAGTAATTTTAACAAGTACCCAAGGTCAAGGATTGATTCTCTCGGCACCCCTTACGATTATGAAAGCGTGATGCACTACAGTGGCACAGCGTTCAGTAGGAACGGACTTCGAACCATAGTAACCAAAGACAGTAGGGTGTGTTATTGTGGCAACCAAAATCATGTTCTTTATTCATGTTTTTTTGCTTTTAAGCTAAAAAATGGGGCAAATTTTACGCAACTTTCCTGCCACTATACCTGGGGGAGACTCAGTCTGCGGTGTAATGAACCATTTTCAGTTCCCTATTGCCAGAGGGCTCGTTTCTCGAAGTCCCGTCATGCTCTTTAGACTAAGATTTATATCTAAATCTATGGAGTTTAAATAGACAGGGTCACACCTCATAAACTACTCCATTCTATTTCACTCCCCGATATTTCCATTGTTTCAATTCAAACCCGTTTTCATCTCGATCGTGAGTGAAAACATGGCAAACGATAAGCTCTTCGGGTCCTTAAGGTCATAGGGACTCTCGCCAGGAATGGCCCCAGGACGCCTATTGCCTAAAGCAATCCCTTATGTTATCAACTTCCTCCAATCTCACCGATATTTTCTGATTAGCCATTGTATTGGACCTGCATCTGTCGATGAGCAATTTGCGCAATTTGAGCAAAAAAATTGCAGTGGGAGAATATAATTTTGCAGTGCATTTTTATAGACTTTAATAGCGTTCATATTTATTGGGTTTTTCGTATAGTTTGATTTCTTCTGTAACTCTAGAGTTATTTTGAAAGCAAGTTGTTGTTTTCTTTGAATCTCATAGTACGTCTTCTTCGCAGCTCCATGGTCCTTAGGATATTTCACAACGCTTAAACTTCCATCATTTGTAACTCGGTGATTATTGTGACGTTTGTGTATCATATTTTCCAGTTTAACAATGTCATTGGCCAGAGGAACGGTTTAAGTTCAATTGATGCTCGGCAAGCGAACCTTTTGTACCGAAGTGAATGTGCAAAGAGAGCGGGTAAGGAGAAATGGAGAATGTTTGTGACGCATCATAGTTACTAGTTTATTATTTCTCTAATTACCGGTCATCAATCTCGTTGTTTGTGATTAAATTTCAGTTTCTTTGGAGGATTTCACCTTCTAGTTTTTGCCTGTTTTAAAATTCCATTCAAAACAGGTATCTTTGACAGTTAAAAAACACACGGATAATATTTTTCAAGTTGCTTAGGCCATCAGAAAAATAAACAATTACGCAGTCTTTGATTTCAGTTGATTAAAAGGAACGACAAGTGATAAGTGAATGGTATGCTGAAAACTACATTGACAACGTTTTGTTGTCCTGTCTGGCATCTGTTGCTCCGTTTCTGACAATTTCTGTCCCATTTTTACCAACACTAAGATGAACAACTTTTTTAGTGTATACCACACCGCAACCAAAAAATTACTTTACTTCTGTTGAAATAATGATTCATCAAAGTCGAATTTTAAACTCTTTTTTCGGCAACTAACCTCTTTGTCTTCATTTCCTGCATAGCGGTTTGTCAAGACAGATGGAGGTCTTGCCAGCGGTGGCCAGAACGCTTCTGCAGGTATAACGCGGTCAAGAGAAACTGCAGGAAACGATGTAACCAATGCAATTAGCCAAGAATGAGATTACCACTATGATGCATTTAGTCTTTAACTAAAGAAAATTAGTAATGGTAGTGTCTCGCCTCAGCAATCATACAATTAAGAATCCATTTCTACTAAGTTTGTATTATTTTTCTCCCTCGTGGAAGTTACAATCCACACATCGCCACAAATTATTGAAAACGCACCTTAAATTTTACTTCGCGTTTTTTTTAACTCAAAAGCAAGTTCAATTTCCTCTCCCCCTTTTGAAATTGTCATTTTCGAGTCGAATTCAGCATGCAAATTTATCTTTTCGTGAAAATTTTTACAGACCCTGTCGGGTAGATTAACTGTTCACACCACTGTTAGGAGGTGTAATTTTCTTAGCTTGCGTTTTGGGGGGGATTATTGGCTTAACCTAAATAACTATATTAACAAAACGTATTTTTTTGTTGCTGATAATGCCAAATATCAGCAAATTAAAGGGGTGGTACGGCCATTGGTAGTTACCATAGCCGGAAAATTGTTGACCTCGTGCTATTACTACGAGAATTTCCTGCATACAACATTTTTCAGTATTTTCTGTCGTTAAGAGCTGATGGTTTTATGCTAACTATTCGAGTTAACCTACTTCACGTTATAATTAACCTTTGAATCAGCACCCTACCCAAATTCAAATCACTTGTACTATAAACCACTACAAAACACATTTTTTTTTATTTCACTTTACCATTCAATCATATCACCATCAAATGTCACAAGGTTCAACATAAAATGTATCAAAAGCCAGACTGCAAATACAAGTAAACCAAGAGAACATCAACTGTTATACTCTTGCAACTTGCAAATTATTCATAACTACCTGATGGCTACTATAGGCAAAAAAAGAATGAAACTGATACTTTGCTGTTTGCCCTTCTATCGAAATTATCACCGACTTTTACTAATCTTTTGTGTTACGATTGTTTTGGCGGTGTACATGTTTCGGTAAATCAAACCCCACATTTCCGTTTTGCAATGATCATACCAGTGCGTTGTTTATGTTATTCCTGAATAAATGGAATGGAGTTTCTTGCATGTTGTGGTTTCTTGATCATTGGACCCCTGCACAATTATCTTTGACCAATTTCGTACTTGACTGAACTAACCGTTAGTAGCTTTAGGTCTTTCCGTTGACTCGTTTGGACACGTTTTTGTATCTGTTCCCATCATTTATTTTCGTTAGCTCTTAAGCATATTCACCAACTTTTTCCGAACGTGGCCTTTCCATATCGTTTTGAATGGGGAACGCAACTAAATTTTTTGTAGGACATTTGCCTCAGTGGCATTGCCCTGTGACCCAGTTTTTTTATGTGGTATTTCGGTGAATCAAATCCCCCTTGTGATTTTGCGGTGATCTTAATAATTCAATGTGTGTTTTTCACGTTGTTTGAGCTCTAGTGTCAAAAGATATGTGGCTGGTTTAAAAAAAAGTTGAGTGTTTTCACGCGCGCTTTACCGTTATTACGTTACACCGCTGTTCTTTCTTGTGTAACAGCGGGCTCGCGTTACGTGGCTAGAAAAATATGTGGCACTGAAAAAGACTTAAGCCGTAAAGATTCTTTGGAATCGCGGTTTTACTATGTTCTCATCGAGTAGTCATGTATTGACAAACAAGGTTTGAATTATCGAGGGCGAAATTACGGGAAATAAATAGAGCGAGTTAACGGGAATTTCGACCAATCGACGGTTGGGGGTTGCTGCGGGAAGTGGAGTTCTTGAGATTGGGCTGTAGTTGATAAAGCGAAGTGTTCATCTTCACGACACAATTATTCGAAGCTTGATGGGTCTTGATGCGTTGAAATTCTTTAAAACCTCAGTATGAGCGGGATCCAACTGAGCGACAAATTGATAACAGTTTTTAAAACATAATCTGCATAAGCTTAATTCAATTTCACAGCAGGCTTAAATTGGGAGTGAAATCTGTGCTGTTATTTGATTCAGTTGAAGGTTATCAGACTTTTAGGATATAGCAAAAATATGGACATCTCACTAATGTTTTCGGTGCGTGTCGTTGAATTATTAAATCTGATTCGTAAGTTATTCATCACTGATTTTCTGAGCTTTCTACGTTCAAAAATTGCATTACAAAAAGAGTTACCATAACTGATTAGAGCGGGTGGAAAAAGTCTTTTTGATCGGACAAATAAAGCAGAAATTTTTGTCGCAGGGCAAGCAAAAATTAAAGCTAGAATGCTTCTCTAGAAACAACGCGCTTCTCTGCAACGGAAATTATACGCCAACGAACCGGTTGTAAATCCTTTGTTACCGCGGAAAAAGATTGCGAAGTTTGTCAATTTATCGCCAAGAGAATTGAATTTGTTTGTTAAAAGGCTATTCAGCTTCATTTCCATTGATTTGTGTTGGACATGATTACTATTTGACATGTGGTGTACTTCTGTCACCTAATGCGTCTATTCAAGCTTCCTTTGATTGATTTCTCCTGAATTAGCATACCACCCCCGCTTCACTGAAGGAGTTTATTTGAGAGCACCGCACGAAAATCCTCAGTTGATCAACCATGGCTTGGCGGTGAACACGTAGGATATCCTTGGAACAAAATGAGCGATCCGAAAGAAAACGGGCAATGTTTAAAACCTGGCCTGGGCTGTTTCGTGATTGCGTGGATTTCCGTAGCCACGATCGCTCTGATTCTGTCGTATTTCATCGCACGCTCTAATGGAGACGTTTCGTTCGTTGTTCCGTCGATAAGTGACACAACATACAAAGACCCCGAAGGAGCAATTTTCGCCGAGTTCTTCAATGCCACGGCAATTCTAACTCTGGTCATGATGGCTGTTCGATATTTCCAGGTCAAAATGATCAATAGAGAAATAGAAGGCAGCAAATCGTCTCCTCTATCACAACTCAACTTACTGAGTAACGTCTTCGGTCTCGGAAGTGCCTTGGGAGTGTCTGTTGTCGCAAATTTCAGATCTCGTGAGGTAATACTATCTTAATAAGATCCTTACTAAAATCAGCCATAACGCTGAAGACATATTTTTTTTTCGTTAAGCTTCCTTTAATATGGTTTTTCCACAGTTGTTGATTTGTGCCTGTTCGAGCGCGCTTAATGTAAATCAGAGTCACTTGGCCGCGTTCTAACACATTACCACTTTCAATTTACGAATTTTCCTTCAGAAAGCAATTTTTTTCCCTCTACCACGATTCTCTTTATGGCTTTGAGATAATTAAATCCCTTACTTCATTCTTATCAGTAAAATCTTTCTGCAACTTAAGTTACGCTACAAAGATTGGTGTAATTACGAAAACCAAAGCGCCATCAGAAATCGAACATAATTATTCGTTTCGTCTCTTTGCGTTTGGCCGCGAATCGAGTCCAAAATGGCTAAGCATTTTCAGGGTCTACAACTATACTTTCGCCTCTTTAACATTGAACCTACCCAGTAAGCGCGAACAATATGACAAAATGAAAAAATATTCAAGTTCTGTTTATGTTAACACTTGTTAATCACTTTTGCATGAATTAAGTTTTCTATAGTGGTTTGTTTGGTAGTTCAGATCCTCTACATGTGTTACTCGCCACTCTACTAAGTATGAAAAAGTAAGGGTTTTTCTTCTAAGCTGTGGATTTTCTTCGCTATACTTTGTATATGTTCTATATGAGAAATTTAGACTGATTCTTTGAAGGACTAGACAAGAACAGGTTTCTGGTTTCTTTCTGACGTGTGCGTTTCAGCGCCAAATCGAGAAAGGGAAAATGCCTTCCAGCACTTTCATACTTTTTCAAAATTTTTTTTGTCTTCGCGTAGCCTAGAAACCGTACGTCGTTGCAAAGAATTTTTAGAGTACATAACTCAAAGAACAAATACATTCTAATTCCTTTATAATCGATTTAATGCCGAAAATGTTTCCTTCTCTTAGTGGATCGTATTCTAATAAGGTGGAATTCACACCTCAAACAGAGAAAAACAAAGAGCAAATTTGTCGTTGATTAGTGCTCAATTTTAATGGTTCGTTTTAAAGCATTTCACCGATCGAATCCCACTTTTTATTCATTTCACGTAGGTGCTAATGTATAAAATTTTAGGTTTTCCAAAGTTCATTATCTTTGAGACCGCTTCCAAGGTTTCTAATGGCTATAGTTGGTATAATTTCCGCACAGCCCCATCCTACATTATGCATTCAGTTCTTGAACAGAGAAAACAATGACAAAAATAATACATTTCCATTGGGAAAACAGATTTGATTTACAATAGTATGGGGCTATGCGGAAATTTTAACTATCGTTCTCCTCAAAACATTAGTTTCTGGTTTCTTTACACAATTGGTTCTAAAAATTGTAGAAATTTCATCTTGGCTGAGTGAAAAGCTTTCCTTTAACAATGTTTTGAATTTTTAGAATTTTTCAGCAATGTTCCTTCAAGTACGAAAAGCAATTAAAAGCGTGCCTTTCGTAGATTAACCCAACAAAGTTTAATCTTTTCCCACAACCCGAACCTTTTGGAAATTCTCACCACTCAATGAGAGAGATCTTGACTAAATTTCTCCCCTGTGACCTTTATAGTTGCAGTGCTTTAATTTCTTGAAGGAATTTTAATTGACGCATTAACAGTATCCTTCCGTCATTTAAAAAGCCCTCCAGTGAGAATCCGGTTCTCACCAACAAACAGGAAAGAATAAAACTCGACGAATCGCTGACCCGTGTTTACAAAATACCGCTCGGGATGCGGCAAAACAAGGCACAGCAGAATATATCTCACAATTAGATACTGAGAGCGAATAATTATATCACGCAGAGGAATCGAGAACGAGTAATTGAATTGTTTTCGTGTACATCTCCTAGGCCTCCAAATCTTTACTTTGAGACAAGCTCAACCTAGGAAGAGGTTTACGAGTACCGAAGCAAAGCAGATTGTAGCGTGTGTATAGAACACTAGAAGATTCCTATAAAACCGAAACAGAGTGGCCTCAAAGCAAAGAATATTAATTATTTTCGATTCTTTGTCTTAAGCATCTGTAGGGAAGCTTTTTGTCGGAACGAAAATAGCAGAAATCAGCGTGAATATCTCTGATGTAGACAATATACAATATCGACGGTCTAGTAGACGTTGTAAACAGAAATTGAACGAACCTCAACCGGCTGAATTAATGAGTGGGGGAGGGGTGGGAGGGAGCTAGCATGAAATATTTGAGATTCAAAATGCACAAAATAATTTCCTCCAATGAATGAAGCATATAATATGGCTTTCCATGGTTAAAACGCCTATCCCATTAAATTGACCAATTACAGCGCATGCACTAATTGGGAGATATGAGAGAGGATAATGACTGTAAATATTTGAAAATAGGTATGTGCCCTGCGGTGAAGAAACGAATATAAGCGATCCTCGTAGCAATGAACACTTCTGAACTAGTAGTTGAAATAAGACCTGAAAAAATTTTAGGCCCGTACCCGAATTTTTTTCAGGTCTTATTCCAACTACTAGTTAAGTAGTGTTCATAGCTGCGAGGATCGCTTATATTCGTTATAGTAGACGAATTTGGATACTGATATAACTTGTATTACAGTCCTTTGCATAATCATTAGCATACTATTTCAACATCAATATTTGGCAATTGGTTTGTATTTTCAAGTTTTTTTTCAGGGAAGGGGCGTTATATGCGCTGCAATACTCTCGTTTCTCCGTCCCCCGGGAGATTTGAGGCGAGTCGGGGAGAATTTTGCCGCGGGTCTGGCACCCATAAGGAGGTAATAAGACCTCGTGTCGTCCAATTCTGTCTGTAATCATACTCATGATTGACAAATCGGACTCCCGCTTCGCGGTCATCCGATTTTGTTAATCACTCCTATGATTACAGACGGAATTAGACTCCACTCGGTCCTGTTACCATTATTAACTAAAATTTAGTTTTTTATTAATTTTCGTGGTGCTTCTCATGATTTTTAGCGGGAAATGTTTCTATCTTCCAGGTTGATAATCCCTTGTCGGCTGTGCATATAATTGGAGCTGTGCTTCTTTTTGTCAGCGGTGCTGCCTACTGTTGGACCCAGACCTTTATCACCTATCAGCTTACCAAGTTTAATGTGAACACTAAAACTATGTTTTTGGTGCGCCTAGTCATTTCAAGTCTTCTTTCATTGAGTGTCTTAATATTCTTGGTCTGCGGTGGATTTGACAGCCGTACTTCAATAATTAAACCTATCGAGATCGCTGGGAATGTAGCCGAATGGATCGCTGCCTGGTGTTTTGGTGCGTTTGGAATTTCGTTCTGTAAAGAATTCCAAAAACTTTCCCTAAATATTCAATGTATTCCTAAGTGTAGCGGTAAGAATAGCGATGCACTTAAGTATTCTACCATTCCTGTCACTGGAGCAGATGAAAACACCACGGACAGTGAATGACGTCACGTGAGTTACGTGGTCTCGCCATCGGCGAGTCTCACTAGTCGGAAGTTAACAATTTCCAATGACATTTAGTCCTTAAAGACAGTTTAAATTTTCAGGAAAGAATTCAACTTAATTTCCTAGGATTAGCGTAATAGTATGTTTCAGGGGAAAATATTGCTATTTGCTTGTACAGTTCGACAGAAGAATAAGATGACAAAATTGGTCTAGAATTCAAAATCTAAGGCATCAGTAGGTAACCTGCTGGTTATAAATCCTTAAGTTATTTTATTATGTCGTCTTGAGAGTAGTTAATAAATTACATTATGTTCATTCACGGGAACAGCTTCACAAGCGAGAAAGAACTGGAAGGATCTTTATGATTGGTTACCGGAGAAAAATAAAGTTTGTTTTGAAATAACATTTTCTGAATCACCATAACATTTATACGATCATTGCTGTTGCAGGGAACAAAACCCCAAGGGTTCCTTGGACAATTACTTTCATTGTAACGACAGAATTCTTTGCTCTTCCAGATCTCAATCCAAAGTTAGGTTTGCTTGAGTCGTCTAAATTTGGATAGTAGCTTTTATTGTCAGCGAAGAAATATTTAATCATACTTTTGTTTTCATTTGGATCATATAAATGGAAGAGTTGAATTTTACTTTGCAAAATGCGTATTTTCTTTAATAGTGAGAATTTTAATTGATCAGCAAACATAATTTCCCGAAGAAAACATGAGAAATGATTCTTTTGTTTAATCGATTCAGATGCTTCGTATTTAGACGTACTTTTGTTTTCATTTGGATCATATAAATGGAAGAGTTGAATTTTACTTTGCAAAATGCGTATTTTCTTTAATAGTGAGAATTTTAATTGATCAGCAAACATAATTTCCCGAAGAAAACATGAGAAATGATTCTTCTGTTTAATCGATTCAGATGCTTCGTATTTAGACTCCTGAGAGAGATCTGCCAATCGATAGCTCAGCATACACTCTTGTCATCTCCTACTGCAAAATTTTTTTGGGGGGATATGATAAAGACTGTTTGATAGGAATAGATGTCTCTTTCAGTTGTTGTATCAGAAGAAGAGGGCCGTTTTTAAGAGCATAAGGATTACGTTGTAACGAGGTCACTCGTTCCAACTAATCATCTTCCCTTGTTCAGCCAACCCTGGATTAGAGGTCGCTTAATGGGAGGTGCGAGATAAAAAAGAAACAACCGCATGCTTGACATTCATCGCTATAATCCTAAAATCCCTGATCAGTGAATGAACCCAAAGATGACGGATTCCTTGATCAACTACGGGCGAAGTTGCGGAAACAAGAGCTTTAAAAACGTTCTAACTTTTTTTTTTTTTTTTTTTTTTTTTTTTTTTTTGCGTTTTCCAACGAGGAATCATAGAATATTGGCTTCTTACCAACACCGGCTACTTGACAAGACCATCGCATCTGTTTTCTTCTTAAAACAGAGACAAGAATATTTTACCTTCGTCTCCCAGTGAACTCGGAAATTTGTGTTCTATGAAAGCCGCTTGTAAGATATGTGTATTAACCATTTGCTGTCGATGTTAAGAGACAGCCTCTCCAACCTAACGAGCACGATGTGAACGCGCCCGCAGTACCATAGGCAGCGTTATTGTGCGGAGAAGATCGCTAAGTCCTGTTTGTTTCCAGAGTCGATTCCTCTCGAATGTAAGTTTGTTCCCTTGTGATAGTACTTATCAGGATTATAGATGTTTCGGTTGATGTTTCAAGAGGCTTCAAATGTCCCAATGGGCTCTTTTGTCGGCTGTTTTACGTAACCGAATGTTTCCAAAGGACCATGCAGAAAACAGTCGATGGCCACATATTCGAAAGTGTTCCAGCAAGTGCTCGTGTCGCTGATGCAGAGTCACTTTGAATAAACCTCGTAGCCACAAAAGGAGAGGATTTCAACTTGTAAGGTGATTTTTATTTTCCGAATTTCTGTGTTTTTCAGGAATCAGGGAAATAGGTAATTATAACATAATAGTATTGACTTCAAAGTCTGCAAATCGACGGCAGTCTGTTAGTTCAGAATTAGTTTTACGCACTACAATGTACTCGGAAGACTGGGATCACATTCGGTTTAATTTTTGTTAAGAAATATTGACCTTAATATGTCAGGGAGCATTTGGTTAGATTTTGATAAATTGTGAGGCAACGAGTTCAACGAAATAACCTTTTTTTAATTCAAATCTGACACTACATGTAAAGTTCGCCTTATTACGTCGAACAGTCAACCACACGTCACACCAAAAGCTTACCTGCCTAAACTTGACTTCTCAGCAGCATTTCACCCACTAAAAGTAATTACTAATGGTATTTTGAAGGTGTTCATAATTTTTTCTCTCAGTGATTTGATTTTTCTTCTTTTTCTTCAAGCGTAATAGTGGATATATCAAACAAATACGAAGAGTTGAAAAGAGCTGTGGCATTTTGACCCTAAACTTTTGCTTTCCGTTTTGCATTCGATCCAAAACTAATGAAAAAAAAAAAAAAGGGAATGGATGGCGAAGACCGAAAAAATTTTCAGTTCTTCCCATACCGGGAGTCGAACCCGGGCCGCCTGGGTGAAAGCCAGGAATCCTAACCGCTAGACCATATGGGAATTACATAGTACAAGAAGCGAAAAGTATTATAATTAAACTTTTTGTCACGGTCATTTTGACGGTATTATTACTTCAAACAAGATTTCGTTGGATTACGATTTTCTCTGAAGGACAATTTTACCTAAATCATAAATTTTCGCAAATTTATTGAAACTGCAACGAGGCCTAGATGTATTGTGCAATTATATTATATTCAGTGATGGAAATGATATCGAAAATTGGGCGAGATTTAGAAGGTCAGAGCCAGAATAATTTGATGTTATTTACGAATCTTTTCAAGTTCTTGTGGATTTCACCTAAGTTGAAAAGTTGAACACGAAAGGTAGGCTGGTTTTTTTCTAACAAGAGAACGACAAGTTTAGTGCCTTCTCGCTTCGAACGGTGTTGGTATCGGTTATGAATAATTAACAACCTTATATCTGCTTAACTGGCGTATATTACGCATAAATTACACGCATGAACAATCGAACTAAGAAGCCATCGAGAGGATATAAGCTGTTTTTACAAAACAATCGTAGTGCCTTTGAATTTCATTACATTGGCGTTATTACTACATGGAACCAGACGAAATTTTAAAGCCAATAAATCAAATTAATTTATAGCTTTTAATTACGATCAGTCGTCACAAATTTTTTAGACAGATCATGAATACAAAAGTTATAACATTTCCAAATGGTAAACGAATAACTGAATTTATAGGCGAAGTCGTGAAATGAGACAGAAAAAAATTATTCTTTCGGCACATATAACTTTATGTTGAACAAGGCCGTGTATCAGCGAAAAAAAATAGAAGGTCCGGAGCTCGATTCTTTATTTGGGTCTAACATTTTTTCTTTGTCTCACGCTCGTGAAAAAAAAAGGTTTAATTTTGTTTTTCTCTATTCGAAGACTGAGCACAACAGTTAACAGCTTTCTCTGTTAGTTACATAAATTATTTATTTATTACCATGGCATTTGGGCTTGATTCTTAAGATGCATTTTTGGGTGAATTTTATGGGGTTGCTTTTGCTTGAAACTCGGGAAGGAAAAATTTATCAGTGGCTAACAACGACTATTTATTGCAAACTTTCTCTCCAACCCTGAAAAAGATCCACGACAGAAAAGACCTCAAAATCTCCTTTTCATAAAAAACGCAAATAATTTACATTAAATTAGCGTTAACTTGGTTCAAAGCCGGTTTTACAGATGCTGAACTGCCGTAAAATGACCAGCTTGATGCAAGTTTTACATACCCAAACATAACCATGACGCCATCAGTGAGGTTTGATTGACAGGTAACAATCAAGCGTTCAGTAACAGGTGCTTTCCAGGTTCCTCTCGCCAGACCAGGGGCTGAAACATTTTCATTCCTCTTGCAAGCGAACACGAATCTGCTAAAGCAATTTTTATTACATGTAGTCTTTGCAAATAACATAGCAATGTGCTGCGGGAAGCTGTGGTTGGCTTTTAAGAGGTTTGTTGTTCGAATTTTGGCGAACAGAGGCGGGCTGCAGAAAAGTCATTTACTTTATTGCCGAAAATGCAGAGGTGAGGATTGTGTTTTTCATTTTACCTTCCGTGCTCAACGATACTAATGCATAGTCTCATTGAGTATTCTTATTTTAGCCAATACTTAGTACTGACTCAGTAATTTTTTGCGTACGTTGTTAGCCTTAAGCGTCCTTCTATCCAAAGGTACCTGCTACGTTGATTGTGATACCTGTTAGTTTTTCGTATAAATTGTTACCAACGCCTGAGTAAACTAGAGAAAAATTTAGAACCCATTTTATCTACATGCTCTCGTCAACATTCCAGCAGAACGCCTTTCAGTTCTTACCTTTTTTTTCGTACAAAAAAACTTGAACTGAAAAGTAAGCGGTTATTTGATGCGCTTGTCGCATTTTTCTTAAGTTTTATCATATTCGCATATAGTACTCGTCAAAAATACGTTATCCCAGTCATAAACACATTACAACGCTAGTTTCTTACAGAGGCTTTGAAAAGCAGAGCTCATTTTGTGAAACAGACCAGAGCTCTCAACTCGACGAGAGAAGTTTTAATCCATGACATAGAATATTAGCCCAGTTGAAATTATTAACTGGCATACTACGCCCTTACGTCCATACGTTTTTACAAGAATGTTTAAATTATATTCTTTCTGCGCACGCTGTTAATTCATAAGCAAAGTTGGTAGCAGAATCGGATGGGTTGAAAGACGAAATTTTCTCGCGGGTAATTTGTTCGCCATGAAAAACTGCGATGGCGTCGTTTTAATCGGCACAGAAATAAATAAATAATACTATGAAATAAACAGTACGTTATCAAATGATGACAGCGAAGTACTTCGATTAAACTACTTTTCAAGTGCTTTTTCTTCCAAAATGAGTCTTCTTTCAAAGTACATTTTACTTATCTGATCAAGCTTTAAAGAGGTAAGTGACCATAACGGAAGTAACACTAGCACAAAAGCAGGCCAACACCAGGCTTGAATCCTGCTCTTACCCAGGTTAAAGTACAAGCAGTGAAAATCTTAGAGGCGCTCGTTGGTTATTGCCTAATAATAAAAAAAATTGTTAAAATTCTCGGACGAGACGTGTACTTTGCCCTGTAGGCGTTGTAACCTAGTGTCAGTGGGCGCCTAGACGCGCGAGCCATTTCTCCTTTTCTCTTTATCCTTCCACGAAGGGGAATCTGTTCGCAGGCAACGCAAGTGATTTTCTTAATTCATTATTATTTTATCTGAATCCTCAGCGTGTTGTACCTCGTGTAACAAATGTTGCTGTATCTGCCTGTCACGTGTCCCTGTGGCATCTCTGGTCGCTTCTTTTATCCTGGCCATTGGTTTTACTGGGTTTGCTGTGGGACTCAGCGAAGGCGTCAACAATCTTAACAAATGGCTTAAAATGGATATTGTGTAAGTAAGAATAGTTAGATGAAGCATTTTCATAAGAGTAACTCACATACTTAGCTGTTCAATGTATATGAAACGACCATGGGAACGCTCGCCATTTCCCGCGCAACATTTCAAAGTAAAACAAAAGAAACAACCGCTGTCTCGAAAAATAAATGAAAGAAACTTGATTTGTTTGTAATTAGTCTGAGACAACTTGGTTCTGGCCGTCTGAAAGCACGTTACTTAGCCATTACAACGTCGTACATGCGCAGATATTTGACTACTGTGTTGATAAAGCTTCTCTTAAAAGGAGAAATAACAGACGTAACAATATTTAAGTCTGTCTAAGTGTCCTTATCAAAAGCAAAATGCACAATAACTGACCTTTCATCTTAAATCTTAGCACTAAGTAACACTTCCTTTAATTTCGTGAGTCAAGAGAAACAAAGATCCTTACGAATTTGAAAATGTCAAGGATAAAACAGCAGACGAAACCACGAAGGAAACGGAACTAAGGAAGCATATGCAAAGCGCATCTCTCAAGGATCCCCTTTTAGAGGAGTACACTTCAAGCTAGTATTAAACGAATTTCCTTTGGTCTTTAATTTTTCAGCGAACTGGCTTCATTGGGAATTATGGCGTTTGGAATATTTCTGGGTTCTTTATCAGGGATGGCGCTGCTTCATGGATTTGCTGCCACGGGACGGACGAGATTTACCTGCTGTGGCGGTTGGAAAAGACGCTTTGTAGCTCGGTGTTGTATTGGATTTGTGAGTATAGGATAAATAATCTGGGAATTCAAACACAAAAGGGTAAAAATTACAAAAAAGAAACAAGAGATTGGAAATAGATGATTTTGTCGTTTCCATTTGTAGAAGAAACACATGTAGAGTCAACAGTGCAAACACGCATGAACATTCCCGCCTCGGTTCCAGTCCCCGGTCAAGGCCGGGTGGATAACCCTATGTACTGGATAAATCTCTTCTCAGTGGGTAGTACAGTACGCTGTGTCAAAACTTATCCGCGGGATACTGGAATCAGGTCTTTTGCCTTCCTATTTCTTTAGGGGCATAACGAACGAATCATATAACCGACAAAACATTATTTGCCTTTTTTTTCTGTAGTTATTTGGTTGGCACTACTTCATGTTTTTCCTGTGGATGTTCATAGCTCCTCTGCTAATCATCCCAGTCATCTTTATGGGAATCTTCTTTGGTGTTTGTCAAGTAAAGGTTGTGAAGCAACTTGGGAAGACGTGTATAAAATTCAGTGATTATGGTTAGTGACCAGCTACTTAAACTTTAGAATAGGTGTCTTTTTCAGGGGGGGAGGGAGCTTACTTCAGTTTATTCCTATCCTTTTGGAGGAATGGTAATGTTGTTTTATTATCGTGAATTTTTAGTGTCTTGAGGACCAGATGGGTCATTTAGATTGTAGGGCCACAAGCCTCCTCCTCCCCCCCCTCCTTCCAACTGCTCAGAGGACACTGATGGACATTGAAGTTCAGGATTTTCAATGGAATACGCACGTAGCTCTCGACATTGTGGTCCTGCCTTCTTTCCAAAATTTCCAAAATTGGGAATACCTGCAGAATTTCCTTCCAATATTATATAAACTGTTCAATGTAGAGTGGTCAGGGTCTTCCACAAAGTCAGGGTTGTTAAGTGCATCAGGGCATAGAGTAGTATGGATAATGCGCTTTATAAAAATGCTTTATTATCGATGTACACTAACGAGTTTACCGTGACAGGACGGCCGCGTACTGTTCGTAAATTTAACTGAAACTCAAGAGTGTAATAAATGAAAGTAGTGTAAAAATTAAGAAGGGGCTGATCATAGTACCTGATCATAAAGACGCTGGCTTACAATTTTCTCTGTATTGTTTATAACAGGTTTGGATGACCTTGTTAGTACAGAGGAAGTGTGCGGTGATGAATTGCTTGTTTTCTGCGAAGCGGTAAGTTCTTTTCTTTTATGTAATCAAGTTCTTCGCTTGTTGTTTACTTGTTTTCTCGTTTGTTTACTCTCAGATGACGGGTGCCACACCTTTTTTCGCTGCTGCATTTGTTGGAGGCCTCTTTATAGTTGTTGGCGTGGTAAGTGAATGAGCACCCTTTCTTGAACCCTTGAATTCCTAGAAGTGACTAACATGTAACTTCTCCCTACAATATCCATACATTGTTCAGCAAACAGGTAATGAGAATACTCAAACTTATCGTGTAGAGGTTCGTCTTGTCACCAGCGTGGGACAAAGAGAAATCGATCGAAGTCCCCATAGTTCTGAGCCTTAGAGAACTCTATTGTGAGCTAGGCCACTTTTAGGTTCAGATGTGATATTCGCCTTTCGTCCCGCCATGACCAGTTATAGGAAGCGTCGCGTGAGACATTGTAAGAACTATGGTAGACTTTGAGCTCGGCAATAAAAAGCGACGTTGTTTTTCTTGTCATGTGACATGCGTGGGACATTGAAAAAAATATAAAAAGGATATGTGAAAGGTAACTTTGTAGGATGTAGTTGTGGTGACAAAATTGAGACATGTTACAGGAGTGAAGTTGGTTTATGAAAGCCACATGACGTGCACTTCGTGCGTTTCTTACATGTTAAACTCCTTCCACTGGCGTGCGTCTCTCACGAGTTTTGTCTTTATTATAGTTCCACATGATGTTCGTACTAACAGCAAACTACGCACACGTACATGACCACAGAAGGAGGCCCAAAGCCTCAGAATACTCTACCTGTCGGACATGTTGCACTGTGAAGGACCCGGACCGTTATGAGCAGTGCTTCCCTGAGCCCCCGGTAGAAGAGGTACAGCTAGCCTTGGAAGAGAAATTGAAGCTGAACGCAGGGGACCCTGAAGGGGGTGCACATCCCCACAACCACCCCCACTGGGAATATGTGTACGACTATGAGAAGACTCCAGCGATACTTGGCAAAAAGTATTAACTGTTTTCAGGCGGCTTTGTCGTGACTTTCTAGTGCGAGAGAAGACAAGAAAGGAACTCGGTAACATCGGCATTTGAAACACCGCGAATAGATTTTGGACAAGATGCGTATAGTAAGGGCAGCTTCACGCATCGACGTCATCTTTATTAACACCAGTTACAACAATGGCCATTTTGACGAATTGAATCAAAAACAATTACAAGCTTTTTCTAGGCACATCTCTGCTTTCCGCTCCATTTTATTTTAACTAAGGCGAGGAACTCAGACAACCAGTATTTCATTTTGATTTTGAGCAACGTTTGTGATGCTTTATTTATTTGCGACATTTAAATAAAATAACTGAAACATTCCACCTGTCTTAGGAGTCTTAATTGTGATTTGGACTTTTGAAAAAAAAATTGGGTAAATACTCAATTCAGTATCGAAGTTAATCCCTGGAGGCGTTATTTTTATTTTAGAACGCTCGGTGACTGGTCAGATGAACAACTTCTACGGTAAAGAATCTCTCGCTGCACAGGTCCCATTTTCTCGTGTCATAGAAAGTCCTCATAGTTTCCCTCTTTCATTTTGCTAGACTCCAGGCCCACTCGATCGCGAGCCATTAATGGCTTCATGGCCGTGAGCAGGCTGTGATAGAGACCTGGGAATAATATTTCCTGAGCAGCCAGTAACTGCTTTGTTCTATGGCGCTCCTGTGTAAAACAACAAACCGAGAGGTTGAATCACAAACTCAAACAAAAGAATGGAAAGAAAAGGAACATGTCCATACCTTTGGTGATTCGAAACAAGCAGGACAGTTCTCCGCAATCACTGGTAATTTTACCTGTAATGGAAAAACATGAAGTAAAGAAAAGTTGTCCTCTCAATTAGAAACTTAAATAATATATAAATATATAAAAACCTTGTGAATGTTTCGATTGAGTGCCGCAAAGTCAAAATCGAAGTAATCACAACATCCAATCATATCGAAGGGCCAATAACAACTCAAAGCTTCCTGAAGCGCGGGAAAACGCGAACAACCAAAAGCGCGAGTTTTGTCGGTTTTCTATCTCAGTGGTTGAAAGATTGGCGTGAGTTTTCTTGACCAATCATCGGGCAAAAAGAGGCAAATTGTTACAGCACACCGTTTCGGTCAGATAAAGCGAATTTTAGAACATGTTCGCTCACCTTTTCAGCAAAATTTCGAAGCTCCTTCTCACGAACATATACAAGAGGTCTAATAACTCTTAAATCGCCTTCCCTGAAAAGAAAGAAATTGTTCAAATGAAAGCGATGCATAGTTGGGGTTTTTCTTACGTAATACGAGTTAAAAATGTAACAAAAGTACGCACTTGAGTGACCATTGAGATGGAAACAAATGCTTACCTATACCTGAAGAGAGAATTCGCTACGAACGAAGACGATTTTAGCTCCAACCCAAAATAGACACTCTTTATTGTATCCAATATAATAAAAAAAAACTTACAGGACTGTGTAGTTTGCCTTCATTGTCCGCAAGAGACCGTTGTGAAATGCTGACATCAAAAAGCTGCAATTAAAACAAAAACGTTTAAGTAAAGGCTACTATACCAGAATTAACTAGCGACATCCACAAAAGAATCTGGGTCTTTAACAGCTTTTGCCTCCATCTACACGACAGCGCTTTGTTGTATAATTTACACCGTTATTTCCTAAGGCCTGAAACAAATTTTTAAACGCCCACTCAAACTCGCTCTCAGGATCTCTCCTCTTCCCAGGCTGGTTAAAGAGCCTGGGAGCGAAATTGACTTTACTTCTTCTCTTACGGAGCTAAGTCATCCTCACTAGGATAACTTTTTATAGCGCCGTTCAATCAAATCCTCATCTATAAACCAGACGACAAAATACAATTTTTGTAGGATGAACAGTCAAAGAATGAGAAATAGAAAAACAAAGAGACACAAGGATGATATAGGATGGCGAAGATTGAACCAGATTGCAAACAACGGACGAATCCAAAACTCTGACCCAGAAGTTTCAATAGTCACAAACCACGATTCTTCTTCACCCCGCCCCCCCCCCCATCGTTCCATCGTTATGTCACCCCCCCCCCCAACTAGCTACAAACCTCTCGGCCAAGTCATCCAGATGTTGACCCATGGCTAACACGTTGTAACCTCCTCGTCTTGCACATGCGTACAACCTGCCGCGCTTCATTCGTGAACAGAAACTACAGATGGATTCACAAACGGTAAGCTGGGCGGCCTGTTGAATGATACCTGATGAAAAAAAAAATTTCTAGACACTCACTCTTATCTAATGCATGTATTTTATAGTTTCGATGACTGTGAACTGCAGATTTAAAATGATTATGAAAGCGATCTTAGCAGTAATGAAAACTACTTAAGCAGTGCTGAAAATACGGGATTTAAATCCAGGACCTCTGCATGCGATACCGGTGCAGTGCTCTACCTACTGAGCTAACAAGCCAATTGGGAGCTGGTCATTGTGTTGGTTCGTAATAAACCCGAGAAGTGATGAATCAATGTCTTTGAATATATAAAAATCATGTATGCGAGCTGCGGTTCAAGAAATGATTATGAAAGCGATCTTCGCAGTAACGAACACCATTTAAGCACAGCACTACTTAAGCAATAGTGAATATAAGATCGCTTTCATAATCATTATTTTGTTGTTTCGCAACACATAAATTTTGCTAGTGAAATGATGCACATAGCCCCGTCACTTACCTTGCTCTTCAAAGAAGTAAGGAACACCAAGAGCTGCTAAATACTGAACCAAAGGTTTTGGATCATAGCCAGGTGACTGAGGATCTACGGTTGCGGCTCCAAGCTCGAAATTAATGCCCTAAAAATGACATAAAATCACACGCTAATAAACAACGAATCTCGGCTTCATTTTTAGAAGTTCCAAATTATCTCAGTAGAGATAATGAAAGTCACATTTGAGAAACCCAAGCTGTTATAGCCTGATTTAAGCCCTCAGTCTGTGGGGACGAGTGAAAGAACGTCACGAGCGAAAGAGCGTCACGAGCGAGTGAAATACATGGGGAACTATAGAAAGTATTTATTACTCCTTCCCAAAGACAGTCCCACCGATTTACGCTCGCCAATTAGCGCCCCTCTTTTCAGCCAAAATTTAAAAAGCGACCGGGCGCTTATTCGAGGAAATACGGTAAAGATATTCAAACATGATAGAACTTCGTGAGGGCAAACCTTAGATCTGCTGTAGAACTGATATTGGCGTAACGTGTGCAGTAAAGAGAGCGAGTCTTTGCCTCCTGACAGACACACCATCACCCGGTCTCCATCACGAATCATGTCGTACTCTTCTAGAGCCTGAAAAAGCAAAACTTCATGAACTCTTGGACCCCTAGGAGTGACTAGCATCTAATCTCTCCTTATAAAATCACCCCTGAATCACACATTTTGGTCATGAGAATGAAGGAAATGATCACCAACCAAAGAAGTTCGTGATTGTTAAGCAAATTCTCCTTATCAGCACCTCAGGAAATGTATAGAGAACAGAAGGGAGAATTTGCATACTGATGTTAGGGTGTAAAGGGTTAACGGAGCAAAGAAGTACACTAGCATCTAAAGAATTCAACAGATAATTCACTTCGAGTTTTGAAAATATGTTGCTCAGAACAGAAGGTCAGAGAAAAACTACTGATATATTTTATCGTTGTTTAAGTACTCATAGTAGTCAGGGGTACAACATAAGTTATACTGGATGTGCCCCGCTCCTCCTCAGTAACATTCGATTGCTAAGTGCTAAAGTGGAGAAAGTGTAAACAACAGAAATTCAAAAGCCTTCCAAAGGATAATTTTCCAACCTTCGGCTTGCTACATTTGAACAATTTCTCACCTCTAAAGTCGGCTTAAAAATGCTCTTTGGCGGATGATGGAACTGCGGTTTTCCAGTCACAACTTCTTTTTGTTTGTTCTTTCTCGGTTTTCTTTGGCAAACTGTTTTAAAACTCGCCGAGGCGTCCTCATTTCCGGAAATCAACTTACTTTCAGACGAAGACTTTGCTACTGATTTAAGACCGGCGTCGGCAAATATTGTTTTCGTTTCCTCGCTGTCAACAAGAGACTCGGCCGGTTTCTTGTGGAGTCTATTAGAGTTATTTGTTATACTACTTTCGGGTGATTCTTCCTTTTTGGAAATGGGAATGGAATCATTCTCAAAGGATTTTACTCCATAAGTTCTCTCTTCCAATACTGTGTTACCTCCATGTTTTGTATCTACACTGTCAGCCTCAAATTTCGTCGAATAACATTTGTCACCTTGGCCAGAATTAACGCGTAAACTTGCTGCTGAATCTAAAATTTCATCCATACATAGCAAGGTGGAAATATCCTTATCAGCCATGTTATCGTAGTTATCACTCATATTTGATGATAAATCGTCCATTTTGGCACCGTTAACTTGACCCATAACAGTTCTACAGTCTTCAGCACCTTTAATATCATTGCTATTTTCTTCGCGAAATACGTGACTTTCAGGTGACTCCAAGGTACAGTTTTCCATGGGGCTCACACAAGTCCCATTACAAGGCTCTAAGCACTTGGCACCACGGGAATCAGCTCCTTCAAGGACATGAGCACTATTATTCCACTGTGGCGGAGAAAATGGTGGCGTCATTGGAAAATGGGCGAGAGCTTTCCCACTCAACAGCTGCGCCGCTTCACTGGGGAGTAGAAACCAGCGGTGTCTTTCACCTTCTTCACCGAACAGTAATGTCTGATCGCCAACACTATTAATAAGCTGAAAAGAAAATGATCAATGAATATTTTCTACTTACTGTGTAAATGCACTGTCAAGCAGAAAGGAGATGAGGAAAAGAAAAATTAGAACAAAAGATACAGTTTGATTCGACACCACATTCTCAAAGCTGAAATCATAGGGATGATATGAGAGACAGTACGGAGAATTACTATTGAGACCTTGTGAGTTAAAAGGTCAATTTTCTTTAACCCTTGAACACCCATGAGTGGCCAAGACAGATTTCATCCCTACAATATTAAACAGACGAGTGATGGGATTAAAGAAACATGAAAAATTTGGGAGTTAATGAGTTGATCCATAACCAGGTTCTCCGAACTAACATCATAAGAATTGTATGGAAGACAGTGTGTAGAATTACTAATGAGATCTCAGGAGTGAAAGGGTTAAGGTATGAAAATCGCGATTACAGCTTCACCTACTGGACTGGTTTGCCCACTGCATTGAAACTGAAATTAAAATGTTTCTATAACAAAAGGTTGTGTTAATCTTCGTTCACAATGATGTCACAATGAAGAGTAAACTAAAAAGGAAACAATTTATTGACAGTACCCTGTCCGTGGTTGCTTTACGGAATATTTCTTCAGCTTGCGAGAGACATTCCTACACAGGAGTAGAGAAAGTACACGTTCACGTATTAGAACAAACCACTCGAACAATCATCTTTCCCGGTTACGATATCGATTCTGGAATTTGCCTAGCTGCTGTAATGATCGCTCCTGAAGTCCTTGGTCAATTTCAATTAAGGGTATACAACGATACATGATGGCATTGATTTTGCTTTAGTCCGCCCTAAGAAAACTGGCGTTATTCCCTAAGCCAATCAGATACAATGTTAATAAAATCCACCGCAACTTAGTTACAAGGCTTCCTAGCGCCATAGACAGTTTACAGTCGAAATGGTTTCTGTTAACTCAGTTTTGTCAATAATGTAAGTCAAACAGGCCGAAATGTGCAAAATCAACTGCAAACCAGAATATGTGCGCATCATCCAAGTGACCTACTAAGCAAATTGGCGACAAGGAGAACCGAACACACATTGCCATTGAACATTGCCAACAAAAAGCTCTTTAGTATTACCGAATAAGAACATGGAGGCTCTTTCCCGATCAGAGGATGATGGGTAAGTCATGTGACCTTCTAAATAAGAGATTGACCCAAGCCACTTCCGGTCGCGGAACACCTGTAATATTTTTGAAGAGCACTGTTAACAGGTGAACTACAGTACAACCACTATAATTCACAGTGGAAATCACAACGAACCATCAGGCACAAGCAGGTTTTGCACGTGCATTGTACTAGTATTATACAGGGGGAGGGTCGGAAAGCACTTTTTTGACGCAGGGAAGGGGAGGTCTCATGAACACTGTTATCCATTGGCTAAGCTCTTGCTGATTTGTAACTTAACCAATAAAACCACACTAACACGCATGCACATGAAACGTATGCACGTGTTACGCGCGATGTGACATGTGCATATCAACCGTACGTGGACCAATGGGTTTGATCAACCGCGTCAGAAATTCTTTTAAAACCCTTTGTAACAATAAAATAAAATTAAAAAAAAAAAATATGAAGCCAAATTATCAGTCCTTCCTTTGAGCGATACCTACAAAAAAAAAGGAAACAAACTAACAAGGTGGGATTTCTCACCTTTCATCCTACGTCAAAGCAAAAAGCTACAAGTGAGCAAGCAAACAAAAAAAACAAACAAATATCTAAATAACGGAGTCACCTGATGTTTCCTGTGTTTCCATTCTCCCGTCTCAGGGTTGAACATATACTAAACATAGGATAGAGACAGACAAGCGCTTTACTTTAATACAACACATCGCTACGTATAACAAGAATGTTATTTCTGATTGGGCGAGCACGAAATGTAATTAAGGGAACTGTGAAAGAGACACAAAAACAGGTGAATTGTCTAAAGTGCGGGTAAACGGGGGTTACCAAGTCACGAATGGTTTTTAAACTCACGCCACCCTCTCGACCAATCAGATGCAAAACTTAAACCATTCGCGCACTTGTCACTTGCATTTTCCCGCGCTTCAAGTGGTTTGCCCGTTTTTACTCCGAGCACTCATTGGCTGTCAATGGTTAAAACCTTTGTTTTGTTCGGCCGTTGTAATCAATTTGGTTTTGGCTTTCCGACACGCACTAATAAAAACTGTTATAACTGATGAGGCCCGTTACCTGCGGAAGAAGCGTCCAGCCGTGTTCGGCCACCATCTCCACCGCTTTGAGAACAAATTCAACAGCATCGTGCGACATAAAATACGGCAAATTGAGACGAACAAAACCTGGCCTAAAAAAAGTGAGAAAAAAACTCATAAGGTGGTGAGGTTGTATGCCAAGTTGTATTGAAGTTTCCATTGTCTCGTTGCTCCTTTGTTGATCCAAGAGAACATGATGGATAATTTCATTTGGTTCAAAAATTTCAAAGCGACGTTTGAGTAACCTTTAATTTCACGTGAACGCCTGACAACTCCATGACATAGTTCAGTTCCACGGGCATGACTGGTAAACTGCCCTATCACATGGGCCATTTCAAGCATGACGCGTAATAATGATAAATAGTGACGTTTAAAGCTCGTAGTCTCTATTACAAAAGAAAAACAAACAGGGAATAAAAACTAACCTTAAAATTTCTCGTTCGGAGTATTCGTGGTATCTTCGAAGGTGAACTCTGTCCAACCGACTGTTGACGAAGGAAAAAGACAGAAAAAAACTGGATTCTGCCCGCCGTAATTTTTATTTTTTGGGTGCCTCGATTTTTATTTCAATGCCTTTAAGTTTAAGGAACATTAATTCTAGAGTTTTCTTTAGAAAAACCCTGGAAGATTATTACACGTAATACCTATTGTAGGTTTAACAGTTTTTAACTTCGTGTATTTTTGTTTTAGTAGGTACTATCTTATATACATTTCAATAATTTCTTATTTCTTAGTTTTTAATTCTTAATCAGCGGGACCCCGTTGGTAACAGTACTCTTGTATTGAAGGGTTATCCTGGATAAATATTTCTACTATTATTATCATTATTATAGTTAACCATTTTGAGCAGGTAATATTTTCGAAAATATAGAGCTTTTAATAATAAGTAATTCGAACCCACTGAGTTAAGGATCATATCAATACAACACCACACCTGTCTTCCAAAAGAAGGTCTTCAATCTCTTTTGCCAGTTTCTCATCTATACCTAAAAGATTCTTTAAAAAAGATCAACACATGAGCATTAAACTAATTTTTTTATGGGCTAACCCCATTTCTCGAAGTTCAAGTCGTGAGTCTATTAGATAAGAATCACGAAAAACCAGATGAATTGGCTGGAGGGTAACTTTACCATGGACAAGCATCCCAAGGGAGAAGTAATAGAGAAGTAATAATGCTGGAGATTCCTACCCGGTCCTGTCCGATGTCCGGTATTTCATGCTAAGGAAACCGGTATAAGTTCAGGCTGGATGGGCCTTTTAAGCACAGACTAAACTTACCTACTTTCGAGACAAGAATCGTTTAGAAAAACGCTCACTTTTGAGTTACTGTCGTTAGCTTTAGCAAAGGCAAAATATGGCATCTTCCAGAGAAAATATGTAGAAAAGCGAAGCTCACTGTTGGTTATAAATTTCAAGCAATCTCTAACCATCATAAATTATTTCAAGTTAAAAAACAGCGGGCACCTGTGCATAAGGGCCCGCACAAGCACAGCCTCCACGGGCCTGTATTCCAAACACGTCATTGAGTAGGGCACACACGTAGTTGTGATGTAAGAACACTCCAGAATATGGATCCTTGATGAGGAATGAGAAAATGGGAAGTCGAGGGACTGATGTGTTTCCCAGAAGAACAATATTTCTGTTGTTACTCCAGATGGCCAGTGCTCTCCTATTCGGGTAAAAGCATAAATAAGCTTCATTCTTTTTAAATTTCTAAAATATTTTACATGTACTTTTCTTTGAGAGAGAGAAAAGTTGGGATTCAGAGCTTTTTGCATTTCCTAGTGATGAGCACAAATTTTGACATTTATCTTAATAAAATAATTCTTCTGTAGCTATTTCAATACTGAATGACGAACCTGCATAAATCTTCCTCGATGCCCATAATGCTCTCTGAACCGATGTCCTAACGGAGACATGAGACAGTCAAACGTGAATCAGTTAGTGTTTAAAGAATGTAGAAACAACTGACTAGTTTGTAAATAGATCTTGAAAACCAAATGCAAGAGTAAATTTCAGAACAGATTTTCATTAGACAAGAAAGATGGAACTGATAGCGGAGCTCGCAGAGCGTAGCCCCATAATTATACAAAATAGTAGTAACCCATCAAGCCGAAAAAATTTGGATGTACGACCGTACGACCGACCGTACAAGGTGCTATTTTTAGCATGCGCGGCCAACTGTACCACAGGCACTATCTTATAATCAGTCCTCTACACGGACACGGAGAAGTTGCGAATGAAAATCCATTAATATTACCACGCACTTTATCCATAGTAGGGGCTTTAGTTTTGTTGAAGAGACGTGCCGGAAAAAAAATGCGAGCTCCGCTTTTAGGCTTTCCTAAATCTATATTTTATTCGAGTACAAATAATCAGACTGTCATAGTTTAGTGCACTTACAATGCGTGATGCGTGGTGCGTGGTGCGTGGTGCGTGGTGCGTGGTACGTGATGCGTGTGCGTGTGCATGGAAAGGTGAGTTAAAAAAAGAGATGTGAGAGGGGAAATAATAAAAAACTTAATTTACGGCTTAGGGTTGATCCGTATGGTGAAATACAGTGATCCCACTCATGGTTTCTTTTACACACGGACCTGACAGTTGGCAAATGTTCATGATTGCCCATCGCCATTATTTCACTTTCGAGGATTAATTATTTCACTTTCGAGGATTAAATCGTGCTCTCGAATAATTACTAGAGTGTTTCGAAACTAGATACTAGATAAGCGGAACTTGAAAATCGAAACTCGAAACTCCACTCTCGATTCTCAACACTTTCAAGAATCTAGGACTGAGTTTCGAATCGAGATAGTCATCTACCTTTGAGAGTCAATGTATCTCGCTTTGAATGAATAGGCCTGGCCGACCACATGCGACTTATGGTGAGCGGCATTAGATTATAGCATTTGTAGAAGGGATTGTCGACTTAAAGGAGTCCTTCGTTAGCATCTAATTGGCACTTTTGTACCTGTTTCAGTTGAAAGGCAAGACCGGCTCGCACGGAACCTACAATGGCTGGAGTGCCAGCTTCTTCTCTCGTCTCAATCTCTTTCAGGTATCTGTGGCTGTTCTCTGTAACCTAAATATACAATACAAGCGGTAAAAACGCTTGGTCGCTATACGTTGAATAGTTCATAATTCTGATGCAAATTTAAAAAAACAACAACCACCACAAACTTCGAAGAGATAACAACATACTAGTTTAGTGGGGAAAAAACTTCATACACAAATTAATTACATAATATTTTGACCTTGTAAACAAATGATCCTCCCACGTGAAATACGATTACGCATTGTGTAATCGTATTTCACGCTTGGAGAGAATTCAAGCTTTGACATAGTTCATAAGTACATAAGCTACAGTACAGTACATAGTACATAAGTACAGTACATAAGCTTGGAAAGAATTCAAGCTTTGACAGAGTTCGAATCCCTGATAGACACGGTAGACTGACCTACCAGAGGCCATATGTTGTCGCGATGAAAATTTTTTAGTGAGGTTTCTATCCTCAAGATAAAGCGTGATTCGTTTCAATTATTTTTATTAGAATCATTTTTAGGGGGGAAAAAATTAGCTATAGCATTTTTAAAATGTGCAAAGTGTGGTTCTTTTCCACTTTTTAACTACACGTCAGCTTTATTAAGGATCAATTTTTTGCTCAAACCGGATAAAATTTAGGATCAGTGCCAGTATTTGAGCAACTAACCCACCTACCCCTCCCCTAATCCAACAAAAGTCAACTAATAACAAGTTAGAGTTAATGTTGGGTTAGGGGAGGGGTAGGGACACAGTTGCCCAGACACTGATTTTAACTAGAAACTTTTTGCACTTACAAAAAACACAGAGCCACCTCCACAACCTGATGGGACAGGGTTCACAAACAAATTCTTTTTTGCCACAAGGATACCTGTGAATAATAAGCACAAGAAATCAGGTGAGAAACTACAGACAGATCACACTATGGGTTTGTGATTAATAACTGTTGACATGAGACGAAAAAAATCTATGGAATTTTTTTTGTTACAAAATTACCTTTTTCCAGTCAAAAGTAGTTTTGTAAGTAGTAGATTCTTCAAACAGCCCATGAAGGTGAAAAAAATTCCACAAATGCTTGAATTAACATTTCATGTAGCTTTATTGAGATATTCAGACCAAGTTGTAAGAAGGATATGCAATTTTCAGAGCTTTATTCACAACCTTCCTAGATTCTGTTCGTCTCTGACAACAATTATTGACCACAAACACATGTGTGGTCTGCCTTTGGAGAAACTGCACATAACTTGTAGACTGGTGACATAGTGGTGTAAAAATCTGTCATAGTTCTTGTAATGATGTTTCAGTTTACAAATTTAACCCTTTAACTCCCAAGATCTGATTGATAATTATCCCCTCTAGCTGCTGCACATTTCTTTGTGAATTAGTTATGAGAATTTGGTGTTAGATCAAGAAAACAACTTCTACCTGATGCAATTGAATATTCTCATTACCTGTTTGCTAGATAGTGAATGGATGTTTTAAGGAGAAGTTATTTGTTAACCTTTTCTGGGAGTTTAAGGGTTAAGCAGAATCAATCCTCACCTGGACTCTCTACACCACCCACAAATTTGTGCACTGAAATGAAAATTGCATCCTTGTAGACAAGCCCTTGGTCATCACTGCATGAAATAAAAGTTGTTGGACAGGAAATTATATTAAGCATGGTTTAAAAATGCTTGAGGGCAGAAAGTAGAACATAACCTTTTTCAGTTAAAAATTGATTATCCTAGCCAACTGCTGAGTTGGTACAAATAAATGATGATTATTGACTTTTTACTAGCATAGCTGATAGCTTCAGAAAATAAATAGTTCATACAGTTACCATCGCAATTCTCAAATTGTAAAGTTTAGTATAAACCAATGAATGTCACCATAAGATTGAAAGAAAAAAATTCATTTTTTACTTGCTACCACAAATCTCCTACCTGCATTTATCACTTAAGGCTAATCTGCTTACGTGATTGATCATTGGCTAAAAGACTGGTGACTCAAAAGGGACATAAAACAGTACATAGAAACAAATTCACTCTTGCATTACCTGGTTACCAAAGGATTCATGTTGATTTCAGCATAGGGACCTGTCAAGCAAAACACAAAATACAAAATAAGCTTGTAAAAAAAGTGATGGTAAATTCTAGCCTTTGAACAGTATTGATCCTGTCAATATACTGGATTCATGCCACCTGAATTCATTCCACCTGAAATGGTCTGCAGCTGCTATAAACCACCAAAGAGGTTTCTATGACTCAGTAGTGAGCATTGGAGGGCAGAATCCCAAGGTCTGCAATTGGATTCCTCATGGGAATGCAATAATTTTTTCTTTGTCCCATGTTTGCAACAAGACAAAGAAACATCTGTCTCGAAATGTGGTTGTCAATCACTGATCATGCATCAGTGTCTGTAGTAATGATGGGCATTTTGACCAACTGAATGGAATTTATCACCAGCATGCATATGGAATGTAAATGTTGTATGTCAGATGCCAAAAGACTAGTCAGCTCAGCCATGATATTCTTGGCTGTAAGATTCATAAGGCATTTGTGAGCAGTCACTGATTAATTGCACACAACATCTTTCATTATTAATTACCTGCTGTAGCATAATCCCAAAAGGCCAGTGCACCATGTCTGTGCAGAGAGGCAGTTACAGCATTAGTGTCTGTTAGAATTCCTGTCACATTAGAGGCTGCTGAGAAACAACCAATCAACTGCCTGCTTTTAGAAGAGTGAACCTAAACAGAAAGACAAAAAAGATTGATTTGGCAATGACATAAAAACACATGTTTACAAAAATAAAATTTTGAATACAATCTACAACTTAAAATGAATTTAGGTAGTTCTAATTTATATTGTCTTGAAACAAATTTAAAAGATATATATCCAACCAAACAACTATGCAGAGAAAACATTATTCAGCTTTTCCCTTGGAGCTACTTAATTCTAGTTTCAGAAAAAGGTAAAACTATAAAAAAAAAACGTCAAAAGACAATCATCCATCAGTCATAAAAACTGAGTTTCCAGAGACATTCTTTCTAATAAAAATAGCTAAATTGAATTTTCTTTAAGCTTATGTTACCACATACCCTAAGTTTGAATTCCAAGTCTGACAGATCAACTAAGCCTTCTGAGTTCTGATGTATCCACACAACCTTGCAATCAAATATTGAACAGATTTTATGAAATCATGTCCTTAGGAATTTACAAATTTCTTGACCAAAAATAGAGGTATCAACAAACTTAATAAACAGTTATTGTTAGGAAAATAATTATTCCTTTAAGTATATACACAATTTGCAGCTATCAACACTGCCACAGGTTTTAAAGGGCTTTTTAAAACCTAACTGGAAAGGGACTCTTCACAGACTGTAGCTTCTCTAAACTTTAAGGTTCAACCCAAACCACTGGAACCAGAGTCCAGAGTACTCATGATTGGGTTATTATACCTTTTCTTTCCCACAAGTGATTAACATGTAACTTTTTCCTATAACATACAAACATTATCAAGCAAACAGGTAATGAGGATACTTAAATTTATCAGGAAGAAGTTGTTGAAATCTACCAGCAAAATTCTCAAAACTGATTTACAAGAAAATGTGTGACAGCAAGAGGGGAGAATTAATAATCAGATCTTAGGAGTTAAAGGCCTGGTTATTGTACTATCAGTCTATTGTACATCTCCCTAGTTGCAAGTGAAAGTTTGAATTTCTGTTATGCTCCTTCTCACCTCAGCTCCTAATTCTTTCCATGGAAGGAGGTTCGAATGATGCTCAAATGGTCCAACAAAGACTATCTGAAAAAAGAAAAATATTTGAGAAGAATGTTTCTCCCTTCAGCCTCTTATTTCACATTAACAGCATTTTTTTCCAGTTAACCCTTAGGCTTCAAGAAGTCATTCCTTAAGAAATCTCTATCCAGTAAACAGGTAATGACCATATTCTGAAACTTAGCTGGTACAAGTTGCTATCTTGATTTAACACCAAATTCTCTTTAGTAATTTATAATCATGGTAATAGGATCGAGTGGAGTCCAATTTGGTCTGTAATCATATGAGTGATTCACAAAATCAGACAACTGCAAAGTGGGAGTCTGATTTGTTAATCATGAGTATAATTACAGACAGAATTGGACAACACAAAGTACTGTTTCCAATTTATCAAAACTATGACAAAATTTGAAAAAGAAACTAGACATGGGTTGTGCGTTTTCAAAAAAAATCAACAGTTAATTGGTTGAAATGCAAGACAACAGTGCATGCTCATGATGCTTTCTGTCCACTTACATGGGTATGATGTCAGTTAGCTGTCTCTTTAACTGTCCTATTACACTGTCCAATTATAAGCATGACACATACACTGTACTATTAGTGCTCAAACCAGGCTGGTGATAACCAATCAAGTTTGAGAATTTTGTAATAGTTTTGATTAACATGGAAAATGATGGTAGCAGCTAGATGAGAGAATAAACAATCAGATCTTGGGAGTTAAGAGGTTAAAATGTTGAAACGAAAACTTATTGACAAGACGGGATTTACTTCAAATGTCATAAATTCTCTTATGTCTTATGTCCAAGAAAAATTCACCAAGTTAGATAAGAGCATCCAATCTTTGATGAAATTAAACACATTTAGTAACAACTCACTGGGGGTTGTTTGAAGTCTAAAGCATGGATCAACTTGTGAACAGCTGCTGTTGCACCACTCCCAACAAACACAACAGAATCATTCTCACTGGCATTCACGGCATTCCTGATAATATCCCTAACAATGAAATAATAACAATGTGACAATTAAATAATCTAGATTTCAAATTATTCAAATTTAAGAAATTTAATCAAAATACAACAGAAAAATGAAAGTATTTGAGGGAAAAGACAAACAAAACCAACAAAACAAAAAGATAACTAAGTCGCAATCGGTTTTAGTCTTAACCCTTTACACCCTTATATCAGTATGCACATTCTCCATACTGTTTTCTAGACATTTCTTAACCCTTTAACTCCCAAGATCTGATTGTTAATTCTCCCCTATAGCTGCTACACATTGCCTTGCAAATTAGTTAAGAGAAGTTGGTGTTCAATCAAGGTAATATCTTGTATCTAATGAGTTTGAGTATTCTCATTACCTGTTTGCTGAATAATATGTAGATACTATAGGGAGAAGTTACATGTTTATCACTTCTGGGGGTTACAGGGCTAAGGCACTGACAAGGAGACTTTGTATAACAATCAAGAGTTTCTTTGTCCCATGCTCACAACAAGACAGAAAACATCTTTCTCTATTTCTTTACCAAGCTAAAAACTTACCATGTCTCTTATTCCATTTACAAATCAAGAGCTTCTTTTGTTAGTTATCTTCTCCTTTATTTTCCAAGACTTAAACATTTGATTCTGGGACAATATTGGGATCAATATCAGTATCCAGGCAACTGCCCACCTGCCCCTCCCCTAACCCAACATTAACCCTAACTTGTTATCAATTGACTGTTGAAGGGTTAGGGGAAGGGTAGGTGGGCAGTTGCCTCAATACTGATATTGATCCCAATATCATAAGAAGAATTTAAACACTTGTCACTCTTATCAGAGGTCAGAAGGTTCAGAGAACAGCACAAATATTCTTGACAAATTATCAAACAGGGAAGTGAAACAAAACCAATGCAATCCTCAATCACTTTCAAGAGACTCAACTGAAAATCACTCCTCAATTCAAAATTGCCATTTACCTTGCTTCATGACGATACAAAGTGGTTTGTAACGAGGTCACAGTGGTCGTTGTGTGTGTGTTACCATAATGGGGCAAGACCTGCTCTCTGATATAATCCTCAATGAATGTCAGGGACCTAAAACAGGACAGAATGGTTCTCATTTGTTCCTTAACCATGGTTCTTCCTACCCTGTCATTTTGTGTTCAGCTTGGTTGATTCATACCCAGTCAGTTGAGTTGTTTTGTATCCAAACCAACAAAAAATGTTTTCCATGTTAACTATGTCTAAAGTAAGAATAATATTCTTATAATGAATAAATCAGAATAAACAAATTTATTATCATTAATAACAAAAGGAGAAAAAATTTCCACTTCCACTAGCTGTTATTGTTAAGAAAGTTACAGTATAAAGAATATCTTAAGACTGTTGTTTAAGACTGTTGTTAGTATTTTTAAGGTAAAATTTCCGCACAGCCCCATACTATTGTAAAACAAATCTGTTTTCCCAATGGCAATGTACTGTTTTGGTCATTGTTTTCTCTATCCAAGAACTGAATGCATAATGTAGTATGGGGCTGTGCGGAAATTTTACTTTTTAAAATATTACACCACTAATGAACCTTGAACTAGGCAATCATTTATTGCTTTTTTTAATAAGGTCACAAGTGTAAATAACAGAATTCTGCTTGTGTTTTACTCTCATGACTCTACTAACTTATCGTAAGTAAGAATCAACATCTGTTCATGCACACGTGCATGAGGACTATTGTAGAAATCAGGATACTAGGGTGGGTACAAATCAACCAGTAGTTTGGGTACGAACCAACTTAAACCTGGGTACAAAGCGACTGATGGAGTATGCCTCCTGAAGTGTATGCCTCCATAACCCCCACCATCACCACCAGATAGGTGATGCCGACGCCGTCAAAATCACCGCCTATGCGGTCGAAAATCTCACTCCTTGGCAGCGAGACAAATTGAGAGCTCTGGGTTTATGATGCAACATGACATATACTGTACGTGTACCTTGTCTTCTAAATGGGAAATGATCATTATCTGAGGGTTTTCAGATGCGTGTTCTCGCGAGCATACTGATTAGTGCACGATATCATACCTTCCCGATGCTGTGTAGTCACAATAAGTCACTGTAGATGATAAAAAAAATAAATCTTGTCTAAGGAACTAACAGAGCAATCTCGAATCCAAGTTACATTAGAAATTTACAAATTAGTACGAACGACATACACACCATTTCTTCGCCCGTATGGTCCAGAAAACGTCAAATCTTTTCCAATACAATTTTCTTCAATGTATCTTAAAAGCTTCCCGTTGTTTTCTTTCTTCTTTCGTTGAGATCTATGTCGCAAATTTGATAACTCTTCGCTAGGAATATCGTAGAATTTCCTCGATCCGTGTATCTGAGCCGCCATTTTGAATCAGGCTTGAACCCAGGCTTTTTGAGGCGCTGAAGTTGGAGAAGCTAACCGCTGAACAACCCTCCCTCCCAGTGTTCCGCAGTGCGCAGCTGACATTTTCAATCAGGTCACACTGGATGAGCGAGTGATCAATAGATGAAAGTAAGAAAAACACACACCGATCGTGACATGTTACCAACCATTTTTTTTTAACATTTTCAATTGGTCAAACCTTTCAGCAGTGCTCTTTTTCTCATGCCTTACAGGAATACTCCTTATGAAATAACAGTCTTCAAAAATGGCATTTATTTCCTCTTCATTAACCCGTCAACTGAAAGTGGCCGAAATGAACTTCCTCCTAATAACCTTACAAATAACTTAAAAAAGGTCACTTTTTCTCAATTAAAAAGAAGAAAATTATAATTTTCAGTTTGATAGGCATACAATAAGCGCAAAATTCTTGGCATTACGTGGCCAAGGCAATGATCACTTGCTGTTATCTACACATTCATGGCGTAAATTGGGAAAAATTTAAGATAAGTGATAAATACATAAATAGAACAACTTTTGCAGTAGTTTTAGTGTGCTTTTTAAGATATTCAGGTGGACGACACAAGCGTAAATACCAGTCTGCACAAGCTTAATGATAGCGGAGCTCGCAGAGCGTAGCCCCATAATTATACAAAATAGTGGTAACCCATCAAGCCGAAAAAATTTGGATGTACGACCCTACGACCGACCGTACAAGGTGCTACTTTTAGTATGCACGGCCAACTGTACCACGGGCACTATCTTATAATCAGTCCTCTACACGGACACGGAGAAGTTGCGAATGAAAATCCATTAATATTACAACGCACTTTATCCATAGTAGGGGCTTTAGTTTTGTTGAAGAGACGTGCGGGGAAAAAAAATGCGAGCTTTAGGCTTGCCTAAATCTATATATTAGGCAATATACACAGACACCAATACAACAGGAAATTCAGTGCAAACTTGCTAATAATAGACAAATCACCTGTTTCTATAAGACAAAACATAGATTGATCGGAAAGATCAAGCGATACGCTCCGCCTACAGTACATTTCAAGTGCGAACTGCATTTAACAATGCACTGAATACAAAAGCTCAGTTCACAGCTATATTTATCATTAAAAATTGAGAACGATTTTAATCGCTTTGTTACTTTGATCTAACGAAAAAAATTGCCTCTGGTCTCATGAATTAGTCTCGATCCGTGCGTTGTCATTCCAACTTTACTTTCTTTTGTAAAAAATTCAATTTCAAAAATATTTCTCAGTTATTTCGGTGGGCTTAGTAATTCTTCCTAAATATCAGTTGTTTGTTGTCAAAAGTGTCTCCGCCTGCACGACGTATATTTGCGTTCAAGTTATCGCCGTCTTGAGAGTAATGAAGAGGATTCTTTCCGAAATGCTTAAGAGCGAAGATTAAGAGCTTATATTTGGCTTAAAAGAGTTTATGACGTGTATTTTGACATAAAAAGCAATAAAAAAAAAGCAATCGCTATAGCAACTTAGCTTATATTTATGCACTGAGCGTCGAACTATCTGAACCAAAAGCTGGCAAGAATCAATGCATTATGTGTCCAATGACAAGCCATGTTCGTTGAAAAACTGAAAAGAACGGGAATTCGCGCGAAAGCCCTAAAAATCATTTCTTGCGCAAATTAGAACGAAAAAACATGTAATTTACCATTAGTCCCGAATTCGAGAAAATTTAGAGGTAGCAAATCTGAAAAAAAGGTTTGAAACCGAACTTATTACAAACAAAAATTAGGCCGAACGTTCAAATTAAATTTTTATTTTATTTTTATGATGTTGTAACACGTTACATTCAAATTTTATTGGCTTCAGCGAATAACCTAATATCATTCTGTTAGTGGCCAAATAAGTTTCATCGAGCAATTTTCCAGATTTAGTGGAAAAAAATACCGTAAAAAAAGGTGTTAATCACAACAAGAGGGTTTTTTTGGTTTGTGTACGTACTTATAAATGCATTTCTTAACATTCGTTCCACCGCTTCATGTTCCCACTACAAATGAAAATATACCACCCATCAGAAATTTAAATCACGATCATTCAGAACCGCAAACGTTTGCCCCAGCCAAACAAAAGAAAATCATTTAATTCGCAAAAGGAGACTCTTGCAAAAACAACGATTAAACGCGATATCATGTAAAGAACCTGTGAATTTCAAAACAGAAAGCCTCCAAAGATACATTAAACGCGCTTTCTCAAAATGGATGCTCACTGGTGATCTAACTTTGAACTTAGGCCTTCGGCCTGGAGATACCCCTAGCCCTCTGAAAGGTAAATTTCCAGGTAAAATATTTCTCCAGCTGAAATAAAACTAACACGTTTGAGTTAAAAGGTCTATACTAAAAATGCCTTGCTTTGTTTATATTTTTAGCAAAGGAATTACAAATTTAATCGTTCGAAAGCAGGTGAAGTTTGAGTCCAAAAATAGCATTTGAAAGGAAACGATTGCACCTTTCTGCTCGAAACTTAAATCCAACTATCGCCAAAAATATCCTTCCAAGGTGGTTGCAAACATATTCAGCGCGGCACTGATATTTAATTTGATTCTTGCACGTTTGAGTCCCGCTTGGCGTTAATTGCTTCGAAGAAAGGCACTAGTTTTTGAGATAAATTGTTACTAACGAGACTAAAATCTCTGAGGTTTCAATTGAATTTTTTTTTGTTAAGAAAAGGACGTTACAGGAATTAAATAGCTGCCCGTCTAATGCTTAGCGAAAAACGGAAGCGGTAAAACGCGTTTTAAACGCGATTTTAAGAGCTTTAAGAAATGATTCACGCACTTTTACTGTTATCTCACTATTATTGGTCTTTCTCAGTGTTCTTAAGTGCTCTTTCAGTTCCGTGAACAAATAGCCATTAATCTACAGAACAAATTTGCTTAAAAGTGTTCATATATGTAAATTTGCCACCCTTAAAGCTCGTTGACAGCTGAAATTACCGCTCAGAACATAATTCAATGGGCGCACTGACTGTTTAAAACCAACAAATCTTTCTATTAGTTACAGATATTAAAACATACTCGGTACCACGCAAAGGAACACACAGAAAAAGTCAACTTTATGTAGAAATAAATTTTGTTAAGTACAAAAACCTCCCGTCGTGAAATGGCGGAGTCGCTACTGATCTCACTGGCCTGAGAAATTTAGCTTCACATATGCAAAAACAGAGGAGGAGAAGTAAAGAGCGAATTTACTTTCGCCTTCATCAGTTTAAGTGTTTCAAACTTGCAGAGAAATTCTATAATGAATTTGAATGAGTGTTTTCACTTCAGAAGTCTCAGGGACACTTTTTAGTGACCTTTGAGGCTGCAAAAGCTTTCTCGTTGGGAGGGATTGCGTGTTTGTTGTATCAGCTTTTGGCAGTAAAGTCGGAACTTGAATACTGATTTCTTCTCCAACATTGCCTTCAATGTCTCCACTCATGTTCTCGCTACTATTCCTTTGCTCAAGCTCATTCATAACAGTTAATATTTCTTCTAAGCTGTAAAGACCCTTTTCGGAATCGCTTCTGGAAAGAACCGGCGTGCGCGCCCCTCTTCACCTTGCGCAGAGATCTTATCGTTGACGCTCGAAAGCCTTCTTCGCAATGGAGATTCTTCTGTGTTCAAAAGCGAGAGAAACTCGCCAAGGTCATATAGAGAAAGGCTCCCGCCGGAATCCTGGCGTGGGAACAGTTGTGGTCTCGCGGAATTTTCCCTGCCATGACTCGGACCGGCTGGTTTTAACGGGCCAGTAGTTTTGGCAGAATTTGATTCCCATTCACTTTCGCTGGATTTAGACGATGCAGATGACACGCTAGATAATCGTCTTCTCAAGGGAGATTCGTCTGCATTTAAAATGCTCAAGAACTCGCGGAGATCGTAAATAGAGCTTCTTTTACGCGATGGATCAGACGCACCGCTAGGTTCTGTACTTGGTACTGGAAGAAAAACATCTTCGTAAAATTCGCTGTCGATGCTTCTGTTGGATTCGTCAGTGACGAGTATACTCACACCGCTTTGTGAAACTCCGGAAAATTTTCGCCTCAACGAAACTGCTGATGAAAGCTGTTGCTGATGAGTTGCCGACGGGTTTTGTTGAGCGGCATAAATTGAAAGGAACTCTCTAAGATCATACACAGACATGTGCCGACTGTTCTCAGTTACATCCATATTTTTGGGTGCGTCTGTTGATGCTGCTTGATCACTACCGGTCGAGTAGCCACTGTTCTCTATAGTTGGAGTTACGGGAGAGGAACCGACAGTATATTTGGCGGGTAAATTAGTTGATTGCGTAAGTGAAGATTGACCGGTTTTTTCGGCTTCACGTTGAAAATGAAACAGCATCTGGCGTAAATTAGACGCAGACTCATGCCTTTTCTCATTTTCCTGTTGTAACACGCTCAGGATTTCACTTAGGTCATACACTGACCCTCTCGGCTGTTGCAAATCTCTTTTGGCACCTTCTTCAGAATCCGAAACAGTTTTGCTACTATTTGTTTTTTGCTCTTCTTCCCAAGGTGTGACTCGCACAAGCGGTGGTATATCAGATGTCATGGACAGGAATTCTTCCAGATCGTACATAGATAGACTTCGTTTCTCTTTAAACTTTTCGGTAACTGAATCGCTCATTTTGCTTTCTGCTGCGCTAGAGCCTTCCTCGTGAAGAGCTGGGCTGCTAGGACCTGAATCAGGGCGCGAATTACCCCCAGAACGCGGCAGAGATAGAAACTCCATGAGGTCGTAGGTAGACGCTCTCCTGCTTTCCTCACCATTGTTGGCAACTGAGACGGATAGCAAGTTATTTGAGCTAGAGCTGGCATGCGGTGATGATAAAATTCGCGGTGAAGTCGAACGGCTCGAGTTTTCACTTGTGGATCCAGAACCCGTTTCACTGCTATTTCCAAGAGTGAGAAACTCCATTAAGTCGTAAACTGAGCCTTTTCTACCGTCTTTCTCTCTCCCAGGAGGTGCGAGATGCGACGACGAACTCGTCTGTGAGTTATTGGCGCTTAATTTGTTCGTTTGTGTCTTTTTAAGTTGCCCTGCGCTCGAAGCTTCGGCCGCCGCCATTAACAAGAACTCCCTTAAGTCATAAACGGACTCACTGGGTTCCCTTCCGCTTGCATTAGAGGTGGCGCTTGCATTTCGAGATGATGAAGCTGTGTTGGAAGCCTGTCGCTTTAAATCCTCTTTCTGTAGCAAGGTTAATATTTGTTGCAAGTCGTACAATGAATGCCTCTTTTCCTCATTTCTTGGTAGGTCTAACATTTCGACGTTGCATTCTGTCAGAGCATCTCCTCTTTGCAATTTTCTCTCACTCTGAGAGCAGCTCTTTCCTTCAATTTTCAATACATCGACATCGGCATCATAAACTAGATTTTGCTTTTTCAATGAGGGTCTTCTTCTGTCAACAAACTGCTCCGCGTCCGTTATATCGTTTAATGACTTTCGACCTTTTTGCTTGATCTCTGAGTTAGCAGATTCACTGCAAACCGGTGAACTCGGGGTGCTCTGTGGTAAATTTGCAACATCAATCTTCCACCGTTGATTACTGTGATTTCTGCGTTTCCCGCCGTACTCTTTTGCTTTTTCCTCAATCTTAGCGTAATTCTGTACTTGAGAGAGCTTTGATCCGTCGATGTCCTGAACCGCGAGCTGTGGACGGCTTGAGGGGTCGGATCGGACAACCGGCATAGAACCTGCTGCGAGAGAAGATAACGAATGCTCGCTGATATTTCCGTCGGCGAGCAGCCGCATATTTTTCTTTCTATTAGATAACTCGGGCGAAGATTTTGCCAGCCTGCGCGATCTCGTCAATTTCTTCGTAGTTTGAAAAGTGCTGCTTCCCCGGCGGGACAAGATTGAATCTTTGTGTGCAGGGAGAAGTTCTCCATTACCAGTCAATGATAACAAAGCGGAGCTAGAACCTAACCGTTGGCAACCTGCCCTCTCTTTTTCGTGTGAAACATTTTCGCTGTCGAAAAACTTGTTTCGTCTTCATTGGTTTCCTTGACAGCTGCTTCCATAATTAATTTCATTTCATCCTCGCTCTTGTTGTCGTATTTTTTTAGTTTTTCGAACGTCCTTGGAGTCTCAAGCCCCCCATTTTGTCTGTTATTTTCATTGGTGATCTTGACATCGCAACTTCGGTCTTTTCGCTTGAAGCTGCGGTTGACGTTTCGTTCCGAAACCTTTGAGCGGTTGATGTGGAGCGAAGTGAATCCAATCGCACGATAGGAGGAAGTCGCACAAGGCCATGTTTATCGCGGACGATCCCCAAATTTCTCTTGGAGTCTTCGCCGTCGATTTCAACGGAACCTTCTTGGCTTATTGGTGGAAGCTTCAAGTAAGAATCTCCAAACGCGAAAGCCATAAAGACACCTCCAAGCAACGGTAATTTGAACCGCGAGAATAGCGTTGAAGTTGGTAAACAGTTGTAAACTCGTGCAAAAGCGACACCTTGTTACCGCTACACTGTGTTTCTGTCGAGTATCGACTTGGGATGATATCTAAACAGCAAACATCGCAGGAAATTGCCCATCCATGGCGCGCTTCAGCTAATGATTGATGTTTTGAGACTGGAAACAGAGCAACTGACGGAAGGGGCATTGAAAATGACGTCGACTACAATAACTGAGACTTTTAGTGCATAAATTAGCAGGGGAGCCTATTTTTGGTCTCAATGTTTTTCTTCAGTCGATAGCAGCCGGATGCGAGTTAAATCTACCAATGGGCTGCAAGCCACTGACTCAAAGCGCTTAAATAAATGGAGTTCACTTGAACCATTAAGATCACTTTTACGTCAAAAACGACGAAAAGAATAGTTAGCGCTCAATCGTGACAGATCTGGCTCGATAGATTTTATTTGAACAATTAACCGTAACCCTAAAAGGTTTTTTAACGTAAACTCTGACTTCGCAAGGTGCATCTGAACGAGAAAATATCATTAATTGTTTAATTTCAACAGTAAACTCTGACACCTCCTAAATGAGCCACATTTTAATTAAACCTTTCGTACTCAGGGAGAAATGCTAAATTATGTCGTAAATGTTAGTCTTACAGTCTTCGCTCGGTAAACAAAATTCAAACAGCAGGTGTTGTCGGTACTAAGTGCGATCGAGTTTCGCAAATTCGCATAGGACTCAATTGTCCGAGTAACAAACGAACGAGCTGTCTTCCAATTGAATTCAAATACGCATCACTTTTATACTCCATAGAGTTACACTTGGTTATTGTCTGCAAAGTACTTGACTATGTTCTGATCGATCAAGTTTTCGTTCAGACCTTCCAGCTGACTGAAACTCTAAAATCTCAAATTTTTAATGCCACTAAGGAAAACAAGTGAAAATATTAGCCTAGATCTGTGATTGACGTGAAAATTATGCCGAAATGAGAAATTATTTTAAAATGTTAGTCTGAAATTTAATATTGAGTTTCCTCATTTTTGGCAAATTACCGCAGCGATCTTCATAAGAGTTTCGCGATCTTCCTTTTCATTTTACTGAAGTTCCACATTTCTTACTGCTTGCCTATTGTTTGCTTTTTAACACAAATGGCTCCATTACAAAGCGCAGTCCTCGCTAAAAGCAAATTAGTGATTCTCTCCGAAGGAAATTGCGACTTCACAGCTTACTGAAAAATTTGCATAAATTTACGTGGGCGAGAATTACACCACAAATTTTAAGGAAAAAACAGAAAATGGAAAACACTTGATATCGTTTAGGCTACTGACATTTCTCATTACTACGTCATCGGCTCCAAAAAGAACTGACAAATTTGTCTTTAAGCGAGTGGGAGGAACTTTGTACCAATTTCAGCCACAATGGAAATATTTTTTTTTTTTATGGTTGGAAATTCGGCCTCTTTCAAAGAAAGAAACGCTGAGTCGCTCATATCGTCCAAGTTTCAGCGTGTAAATATTAGTGTTGTTGTGCAGCAAAACATATTACCATATTCGTTTTTTTGAATAAATGGTGTTTTCTATGCAAACATCTTTCTTCCCTTTGGCCTTTAAGCAAGATAACAAAATATTCTGTACATTAAATGGCTTTGGTAAGTTAATTGGCGAAAATTTTCAGAAAGTGCAATTAGATAGAGTACCTTGGGCTCTATCTACGTGTTTTTTTCCTATCCCCTCTATTCTTCAATTACATTTTTTCCTTTTAAGCCTAGGCTAAGAGGCATGATCTTTTTTCATTAGTTATTGAAAAACGCCAACTGGTCATCAATTAGTAATCCGATGTCTATGTTGGAGTTTCTCTGAATCTGTATACAGCTTTGCATGACTCCTTAGATATAAATCGAACTGATATGCACTTTTGACCGATCACAATATCCTAAACATGATAACAGGAAAACGATAAAAAAAAAACCTCTGTTTTTTCCTACATCATTCTCGAAAACTCTCGACTATATTTTTTTTTCTTCGCAGAACAGAAAACTCAAGGGAGTCAAAATCCGCGTGGTAAATCTCAAGACAAAAGCTCCTGCCTTTCGAACCGGTATGGAAATAAAAAAGCTGGGGTTCTGTCGTATGATTGATTACCACAGCTTCCAATATTCCCGGACAAAAATGAATGAGAATATAAACAAAAAACAGACAACGATTTAGAAGTCCAGCTCATTTAAAAATCGTAGGCGAGTTGCGTGCATTATTTTTCTGCAGGGGAGCTCCACACGTACGACTTTGTTATCGACAGTTAGGCTGCACGCGGCCTGTGATCGATTTCTGCATATATCCACGAAAAGAAGCATTTCGGGAACTTTATAAAAACATCAGCCTCTGTTGGGTGCGTAGATATGCCTAGTTCCTTAATTGATTATGGACATTGTTAGAGCTTTTAAGATCCGAGAAGAGAACAGTTTTTTGCTAAGCAAAGCTCGAGGAGGATCATGACATGTTGTTCGCTTCAATGATTAGTTAATGTCCATGAAAAAAGATTTAAATTTATTTTCATGCCAAATGAGGGCCTCTTTCTTGGCCATAATTCAGTCGACTTCAGTAAGAGATTTTTTGGGTGCGCTGGGCGAAATTTCTTGGAAAAGTTGCCCAAAAATAATTTACTCTTTTCAGTGTCGACCGTATAGAACTGGTGTAATTTTATGATCAAAATATGTTTCACTTGATCAATTATTTAGGAAGACTTTCATCGGACTAAAGTCAGGGATAATGCGGCTGAAATCTATTCGGTCACGAGTCAATTACACGTGAATTTTAAGGCCAGTTTTTCAACTATCGGTGTTGTTATCCGATTTTACAGAAATCGAAAACGGTTTTTTCCCCAACCTTTTTGTTACTTCCTAAAATCGTGCACTTGCGTAAAGACACTGTTTGCAGATGGTGGAACATAAAAGTTTACAGATGGCGGAACATTAAAAAAACCAGTTAACAGTGATGTCTTGATTTGATAGGCTTCTCATTTACATACTTTACCTCTGGCCTGCAGAACACGGGTCACCGTTTTCAATAATTTTAATTTATCATTTGCGCTCTATTTTATTGTTATCAAATTTTTCATCTTTTTCAGATGAGCGCACGTGCGACCGCGGGAGGAAGAACGCGAAGAGAATGATTCTCGCTTCGCGCACCTGAGAAAAAAAAAACATGAAAAAAATTAGTATAGGTAATCACATGATTTCGAGTGCAATTTGGAATAAATAAGCACGAGTAAATCTTTTCGAAGACTAACAAAATTGCACGAGCCCGTAGGGCGAGTGTAATTTGTAGTATTTGAAAAAATTCACAAGTGCTTATTTATTCCAAAAATCACGAGAAAAATCATGTGATTACGTATTAGCAATATACATGACAAATACGAGATAGCTTGTAATAAGTGTGCAGAAGCAAAGCGCGCATCAAATGCGAAAATAATTTATTCAATCCCTGTAAGTGACATTGTGTTTTCGGTCAAAACAACCCAACACGATAAAAACAACGATAGACAATAATATTTTCACATCTTTAAGGCGCAAAAAAGTTCAAAGTCCTGCTAAACAGTTCAAGGAATTGTTCAGTCTGTGTGCGAATCACTTTCGTTGAAATGGAATCGTCGTTTTCGAGGTTTAATCATGTTTGTTTTTAATTTCGGCGTAGAATCGCTCGAGCAAAGTGTTAAGCTGAGTCGGCTTGTACTTTCGATTTCCTTAGCAATTCCCTTCTCTAAACACCACTTTTTCCAAACCGACAACCAAAAAGCAATGCTTTTTTCATCGCTTTCGTTGTTAGAGCTGTTTTTCAGCTGCTGTATTGTTGTTTCGGTGGCGAAAGAAACCCTACTTAAAACGCCGGCCATTGTTTCGCCCGTAAATTTTCAGCGTATCCAAATGTACCGACATCCGAGGCTCGCATTTGATTGGCTATCTGTGAATTTCTTTAATTATTGACTAATCAAAATCTCTGGTTTGTTACTTCTTTGCACTGAATCAACCCTCTTCTGCATAAAAGTACCTGAAAACCGCATTTATCTTAACCAATCAGAACTGAGTAATTTTTGCATGTATATTATTAGGCCTGTCGATATCCATATCTAATTTTTTTTCTTGTCGTTGTACTAATCGGACAGACCTCAAATCGTACAAGATTTAGTCTGTAATGATTAAAATTACAAGAGGGAGTGAGCTAATTTTCAAAATTACTCAGGTCTTAAAGTTCACATTCGAAATACTAGAAAAGATTAAACAAAAAGAAAAACAAAAGAGAATGGAATGAAAGTAGATTGCATGATTATCCGTATTTGGCGATTGATCGTTCCATGCGGCTCTGATTGGCTAATGTTAATTATACGCGGGAAAACTGGGGAACTTGAATCCTCTTTCGGCGCCAAAATTGAATCACTTACCTCACTTCGCCTCCAGATCAAGTTCGTTTGGAATTGTGCAGTAGATATTTCGCTTTTTGGTTGCCTTTTTCAGGAGAATTTTCTTTGCACTATGGCCGACAACTCAAAGCAAGAGAAGAAAATCAAGAAGCCTTCCTCTTACGTCCTCAAACGAAGTAGGATTTTTGTTTTTCTTGTACGAACTGCGCCGGTATTGGCCGCCATCTTGTTCATGTACATTTTACTTTAATTGGTCTTTCTTTTCAGATGGAAAAGAGGAGGAAATCAATCTAAACAAAGTTACTGCCAGGATTAAAAAGCTTGGTTATGAGCTCTCTGATTTTGTCGACACGGTAAGATTACCTTTGCGTGCAAATCAGTGAACGTCAACTAACCGAATTGAACAATGACTTATCTTTTGGCGCCAAAAGGCAAAACGAAATCTACCATTTATCGTTAGATTGATGGCAAATGCGTATGTTTCTTCGATGAAATTACATATTAAGGACTAGTTAAATTCGTGGAACCCCTTAGTATACCATTTTCCTTGTCGTCTTCAGGTCAATTTCAAAGATCTTGGCGCGCAATTTACAACTGCCTCTCTACCGTACACTCTTCCACAACAAAAGCGACGCTGTATAAGCTCGTCAGAAATCCGTACAGTGATCGTAGTTTACAGATTTATTCCTATTTTCTCCATTTTTAACATGGATTTACCAATTTGTATCACGAATGGCGTTGGTACGAAATTTATATTGTTCTCGGAAAAACTCACGATATTCATAATTTGCTATTGGAAACAATTTAAGCCTAAACTGGTTGTGCATTAAGTATTACTGAACATTTGTAGGCACAGTTTGCTAAGATGGGCTACTAGTTTTAAGATTTTTGAAAGGATAGTTGATACGTCATTGAGGATAGCGCGAAATCCAAACCACATGCGTTTCAAAGAAAGTCAAGAAACGCGCTGATAATAGATTGTAGAGTGTACTTTTAACTCTACACGTACACTGCTATGGAAAGCTATTGTGCAGTCAGTGCAATAATGAAACAAATATATGTACTTGGGTTGTTATTAAGCATGTGTGTAAAATTATCATGTATTTATGAGGCACGTCACACTATTAATACTAACGAGGATAAGATAAGAACTCTATTATTGTGTCGAAGTCGCCAGCAAACAGTGTGCGCTAATGAGGGACACTTAACTACAATTAAATATCTAATAAGTACTGAAAATATGACGTATATGTACATGTGTAAGTTTTGAAAAATATATAAAATTATCAATGAGTCGTGCATTAAAATCGAGAGTCAGTAGTCCAGTAGGCTCGTGAAATAGACCATTTTGATGCGTTTGTGTCCAATAGTTCCGATAGTCGGATAGATTTGTCCAGTTTGGTCCAAATGACAGGGCCTGAAGAACTCGGACTATGTTTGCCATAAGCAACAGTACAAAATCTGGGTACCAAGTTGCAGATTGTCTCTCAGATATTGCAGTAACCATTCAGTTTACCCTCAATCCTTTAACTCCCTAGATATGATAAAAAATTCTATCCTCAAGTTGCTACACATTTCCTTGTCAATTAGTTGAAAGAATTTGGTGTTAGATCAAGATAACAATTAAACTGACAAGTCTAGTATCTGTTAGATAATGTATGGATATTATGGGAAGAAATTAACGGTTACAACTTGATTTTCTTTTGCATGATTCAGTTTGAGATTGTCAAGAAGGTAATTGATGGCATCTACCCTGGTGTAGCCACAACTCAGCTGGATATACTTGCTGCTGAGATTGCTGCCTCCATGACAACCATACATCCTGACTATGCTGTCCTTGCAGCCAGGATTGAGGTTTCTAATCTTCACAAAGAAACAAAGAAGATTTTCAGTGGTAAGTGGATAGGTTGTAATCACAACCACATGCCTTATGTCTTTCTGCTCTACCTCTTCTACTCACCTTTATTCCTACAAGATCTGGCAAGTACTGTAGTATGGAAACCAAGAAATCTCTTTGACCACAGATTTCCACCTATAATCAATTTTAGTCCCCAAAACAAGTGGAAGAAATTTTAGAAATTGTTTTGCATTCAACCTTATACCCTTACGAGTGAGTAGCCCCTAACTTTTTGTCACAGTATCATCCCTGAATTATACTTAAAGGTCACATTCCAAATGGATTCATTTTGCATGGTTGTGCATCCTTCTCTTATTTTCTTGTATTTAATAATTTTTTCCCATAGAGGTAATGACAGATCTCTATAACTATGTCAACCCAAAGAATGGTAAACATTCTCCACTGATCTCCAAGGAAACTTATGACCTCATAATGGAGAATGCCGATGTAAGTTTTTAAACCAAGCACAAGCTTGTTATCTATGTTAGAACACTATTACCCTAATTATTAGAACTGACACCTAGTCCTTCATTAAAGCAAATAGATACCTTTGTTCTGACAAAGGGGGTAGCACTGGGAATGTCAGCTTATGGAACTCTTTATTTTGGCTAATTTACGTCTTGAAAGCCAAGTAATCGTGGTTACATAGTTTATATCTGAGATGTTAATTTAATATTTCCTAGAACGCAGCTGGTTTGAGTTATAACAATATGATATGGAATATTTGTATTGGGGTTATCTGTGACTATTATTAGAACAGTTGGGTGGATTTGAATTTTAGAGAGTTTTGCAACAGATGCGAGTACCTTTTTTACGACCCTGTTTGTTCAACTGATTCACTTTAAGAATATAAGACCTAATTTTTATAACCTGTGTTCTTTAATATCTTTGCCACCTGTTTGTGAGAATTTGAAGTCATATCAGAGCTCTCCTTGGTTAGATCAGTATATTATCAAGGCAATGTTATTTAATAAATATGATAATTTGCCAGTTCGTTCACTAATCAGAGTGAAAATAATATTATCAGATTGGGCCCAAACGTAGTTGAGTTTTGATTTGACACTGCATGTGGGCACAGTCACGTGTGTTGCTTTTAAGGGAGTGTTATTTCATCAGGAAAAGGTGTAAAAAGTTGAAAGAAAACCTCTTGATTGTGACTTCAGGGTACTAAACTTTTATTGCCTTAGAGGCATTCCTGAAAATACAAGCAATCTTGTTTTGTTTACCAATATTTAAGCCTGAGATTAAAACTAAAATCCTCAATTTTTGCCTTTTTTTTTTCTTTCTCAGAGAATTGACTCAGAGATCATTTATGATCGTGACTACCAATACAACTACTTTGGTGTTAAGGTATGTGTGTGGACTCTTCTTGTCCAAGTGAAGTTAAACCATTCTTTCCTACTCAATCAGGTTTAAAATCTTCAAAATGACTCTTTCCAGACAATGATGAGGTCTTACCTGCTCAAAATCAATGGCAAAGTTGCTGAACGACCACAGCACATGTTGATGAGAGTTGCACTTGGAATTCATCAGAATGACATTGAAGCAGCAATTGAAACATACAAACTGTTATCAGAGAAGTGGTTTACGCACGCATCACCGACCCTGTTCAATGCTGGTACATGTAAACCTCAACTGTCCAGTTGTTTTCTTGTGACCATGACAGATGACAGCATTGATGGTATTTATGACACACTGACACTTTGTGCTAAGATATCCAAGGCTGCAGGTGGAATTGGAATCAATGTGCATAACATCCGGGCTTCTGGAAGCTACATTGCTGGGGTAAGAAATCACCCTGACAAGGCTGTGCTCTAACGGCGCCCGGTCGCCTGAGGCGACTAACATTTGGCCTCGGGCGACTGAAAATATTTTCTTAGTCACCCGGCCGGGCGACTGGCTGGTGTTGGTTTCTTGATTTACAGTCAAAACAAAAAAAGAAAATGTTGTTCAATCAGGCGCGCGTTGATATTCAAAGGTCGTTCCACGTGAATTTACGTGTGACATAATCATCGACTTTGATCGTGACAAGCTGCACAGTTTTCGATTTTAACCGCTTTTCCAAATAGTATTATAATTTTTCCTTTAAATTAGGATAGCTCGTTAGTTAGTTTTTGAAAAGCAATTGTTACTTCTGCTCTGACAGGCGTAAAGTACGGTCGACGATTAATAAATCGCTAAATGAACACGGGAGTCGTTCTTTTAAAAGAAAATGTTGTTCCATCGGGCGCGCATTGATGTTCAAAGGTCGTTCCACGTGAATTCACATGTAGCATAATCCTTGACTTTGAACTTGACTAGCTGCACAGTTTTCGATTTTAACGGCTTTTCCAATAGCATTAAAATTTTTCCTTGAAATTGGGATGGCTCATCAGCTAGTTTTTCAAAAGAAGTTGTTACTTCTGCTCTGATAGGCGTAAAGTACGGTCGGCGATTAATAAATCGCTGAATAAACAGGGGAGTCCCTCTTCTATGCTAATTTAATATTTTAAATAGTGTTTTGCTAAGCTTACATAATGCTTTGAATTGAACTTCAATGAGACAGTTTTAGGTTTATCAGATTATCTTTGGTATATGTATACTATTCATTTTTCAAAAAATAGTTTTGCACTGCTTCTGTAAGTGTGAATTAAATAATTATTTGACTATAAGTGATGATAGGTTTTCAGGAGGTCAAAGGATACGATGTTTCATGAACATAAAAACAATTAATAAATGCACATAGTTCTATTTGACTCGTTACGAAAACAGTTTGTTTAATTTTTAATAATTAACTGACTGATTTATTAATTTGGGCGACCAACTAGGAGGCCTGGGCACCTCAGCTAAAATGTTTGGGAGCCCGAAGGGCTCCCCGAAATTTTGATTTGGGCGACCATCTTTTAGGCCTGGGCACCCAAGCTAAAACACTTGGGAGCCCAAAGGGCTCCCTGAAATTTTCCTTAGAGCACAGCCTTGCCTGAAGATGGTAAACATATCATTGCTGTTATCAGAGGAGTATTGTGAACTGCTGTTCATGCTTTTTGTCCTGCAATGCATGCTTTCATACAGGGTGGGTTGTTAGGAACAATTCTAGCATGGCCAGTAAGTTTTTATCATCAAATTCTAAAGAGCAGGCCTTCTACAGCTCTAGATTCTCATTGTGATGCCAATAATGTGTGGATATGTTTTAAAACTTAGCAGACCTTACTCAGGGTGGGTGTTTATTCAAGGTTGGAAAATTAATAATAGAATAAATATAGTACCATTATTCTGACTGGCCATAGGGATAACTAAATGTGATTTTGACACTGATAAAATACAATGAAAAGCCCTTTTCCATGCTGTGAAATTATCAAATTTTTTGTTGGAGGGATTTGCCAATTTTTATTTCTTTTTTAACTAGACCAATGGAATCTCAAATGGTCTTGTTCCAATGTTGCGTGTGTACAATGCCACAGCCAGGTATGTTGATCAAGGAGGCAACAAGAGGCCTGGTGCCTTTGCCATATATCTGGAGCCTTGGCACAGCGATGTTTATGATTTCTTGGAACTGAGAAAGAACACTGGCAAAGAGGAGCAGGTAAAAAAAATTGGATGATTTTTATAATTAATTTTCTGTTTAGCTCAAAATTTATTGTAGAGGTGAACTGAGTTCTCAGCATGACGTTGAGAAATTTCAAGCAGATTTAGGGTTGTTGTAAGCAAATTTAATAGAGGTACAGTCTTAACTGAGTAGGTGGATGAAAAGATTGTTTCTCTCTACTGTGTTTCTCTGCTGTATTTCATTCAAGATTACAGTAATGCAATTTATAGAATTATATATCTCAAAAGGAAACAAATATAGAGGTTTTGGAGTGAACACCTGGACTATATTTCCTTAGGATTAGAATTGAAAATATTATTTTGGGTCTTTAAAGTTAACAACAGGGTTTGTATGGGTCCTGGAAAACCTGAATAGTCCTGGAATTTTATTTTGACATTTTCCAGAACTGGAAAGACCTGGAAATCTGCTCAACTTAAGCAAGAAAGTTTTCATAATTTACTTTACAAGAAATGTATGTAGACTGTAAGGAGAACTGATTTTGAAATCTTAGGAATGAAAGAGTTTTAGTCCCTGGAATTTGTTTCTGTAAAAGGGTATGAATTAGGAAGGAAAGATGTATTAGTTACTTTATGCTAAATGGTTATCTTTGATTCCCTAGCGTGCTCGTGATCTTTTTTTTGCATTGTGGATCCCTGACTTGTTCATGAGGCGTGTTGAGAAGGATGAGATGTGGTCACTAATGTGTCCTAATGAGTGTCCTGGATTACAGGACTGTTGGGGTGAGAAATTTGAAGAGCTCTATGTCAGGTATGTGTTAAGTGCAGAGTGTGCTCATTTTGTATAAAAGATTATAGTCACTTATCAGCCTGGCAGGCCATTATTTTCTCTGTATGTCAGTTCATAAAGCATCTGGCCATAAGTCAAGAACTTGCCTGGGTGAGAATCCCCTCCTGAAAACCAAGAAAAAGGACTCAAATTTAACTAGGGATGATTCTTTTTAAGCAGCCATTGGACACAACCAGTAAAACTCTAATTTGAAATATTAATGGCGGGCTGGAACCATGAGGGTAGCATTAGGAAGGGGCAGAAATGTTGCAAGAAGGAACCATGGCAACTGTGTTACAACCAACCTCCAGGAATCTGTCAACATAACACTGACAAAGAGCTGTATGGAATGAGTACTAATCAAAAATCTGAAAGGGAGAGGGAAAGGAGCTGCCACATTGAGCAAAAGCATGTGGCAATTGCCCTGAAAACTCCCTTGGAGCCCAAACCCAAACAATAAAATTTCATAAAAATAGGCACCTGTTAGGAAAGGGCCAAACATTCCAAAGGTTGAATGGTTTGGCACCAAATACTATCAGTATAGATCATGTTTATTTCTTCCTTTTAACTCTCTTTGTAAATAGGTATGAGGAACAAGGAAAGTTTCGGAGACAAGTCAAAGCACAGAATCTTTGGCAGGCAATCTGTCAATCACAGATTGAGACAGGCACACCTTACATGCTGTACAAAGATGCATGCAACAGGAAAAGCAATCAGCAGGTACTCAAGTGGGTTAACCCTTTACACCCAAACATCAGTATGCATATTCTCCATACTGTTCTCTATACATTTCCTAAGGTGCTGACAAGGAGAATTTGTTTAACAATCAAGAACTTCTTTAGTTTGAGATCATTTCCATTATTTGCATGATTTTGATGTGTGATTGAGGGGTTATACAATGAAAAAATTACATGCCAGTCACTTTTAGGGATAAAAAGGTTCCTTTAAGTTATTTATTTATTCTTGACTCACATCACTTTGCTCTGACAAAGGGCTAACACTTGAAATGGCAACTTTAAAAGTCTTTTACAGTGGCCAATTTAGTTGTCAACTCAGTTGATGATACTAAACTACCTTGTTATACTCTCCCACTAATGCAACACCACAGTTTCTTTAGAAACCTATCCCCTTTGTTCATTTATCCTTATCTACCTGGTACTAGATATAACTATCAAAATGTACTGATATTGAAAACAAATTATACCATTTTTTTTTTTTAATCAAACTGCATTTCCTTCCAGAATGTTGGGACAATCAAATGCAGCAATCTGTGCACTGAAATTGTTGAGTACAGCTCTCCAGATGAGGTGAGCTTTAACATTAACATTGAGTAAATCCTTGTTTTGTTCTTTTGTCTCTTGTGTTTGGTCTCAAGTATAAAGAGTCATTCTCATACTGTCTTGGGGACTGAAAAAGTTTGGAAATATTTCATGTTCATTACATGAATGGTAAACAAACTTAATCACTTTGGGAGGTCTATTGACAGTTCAAAGTGAAATTACAAACACTATTGATCAAAAGGACACTTTCTGCTATAAATTTTTGCCTTGTGAAGAAAATTCAGCAAAAAAAGCGCTCTTTGTTCAAACAAAATGTTAATTTGATAGAGCAAAAACTGAAATTTGCTGTATTTTGTTTGTATTACTTTTGCACAATACTGTACCTCTTGCTTGAAAAAAAAAGTTTTGCTCCAGTGTTCTCTTCAGAAGGCATCAGGAGGCATTCCTATTTGACTGTCATGGAAACTTTGTGATGATTGACACACATCCAAACATGCTTATAACTGCATGAAATGTTATCATTAAAATTAAGTGATGACATACTGGTTTGAGGGAATCCTTCAGAAAGAAAGCCTAAATAAATCCTCACAAGAACCTTACATATTATTAAGCAACAAAGTATCTTTCCATTCATCTCTCAGGTTGCTGTCTGTAACTTAGCATCTCTGGCACTTAACAAGTTTGTTGTAACCAATGGAGGGGGCCGACCCACATACAATTTCCAAAAACTTTTTGAGGTTACCCAGGTTAGTACATAGATTAGGAAAATGATCACTGTGTCAATATCAAATAATTTACTCCTTGTTAATTTCCTGTATAAAATTTTTAGGTGGTAACACGCAACCTGAACAAGATTATTGACATCAACTATTACCCAGTGAAGGAGGTTTGTGTTTAAGAGGCATCTTATTTTGTTTCATTCTTTGTTTGTCTGTTTTATATTGATATATATATGTATCTCACCTTTTTGTCTATGGACTGTTATGTTACTCAGAGAGGGTGAGAAATTTTGCTGTGCTCAAATTCTTTTGTTCAGTCTTTTTGGTAATTTTTTTTCTCTCGCTCTGTAAAATTTGCATTAAGTTTTGTGTAGAGTCAATTTTGTTACATTTTGTTCTTTTAATCTTTTAATCCTTTAACTCCCACATCAAATTTGTAATTCTCCTAACTATTAGTCAAACAATTCCTAGAATGTTAGTTCAGAGAATGTAGGATTGGATCAACTAATTATCACCAAATTGATATTTTTCTTGATTCTCACCACTTATCTGGTTGATGTTGTATTGATACTGTAAGGAGAAATTCTGCCTTGATCACTCATGAAAGTTAAAGGGTTAATCTAATGCAAATTCCTGCTCCAGATGGTGTATTATTACTTTGCCAACTTTTATTTACATCATTTCCATTAAATTGTGGCATCTACTCACTTAACTTTTTCTTTTTTTTTTGGTTTGAATTTCCAGGCTGAAAAATCCAACAAGAGACACAGGCCCATTGGTATCGGAGTTCAGGTAAAAATAAAGTTTTAATTTTTGGGTGACTCTCCACAATTTTTTTTAAAGTACAATTCCACCAGAGGCTCACTGTGTGAGTAAAAAAATTTCATTGCCGATTAATTCTTTACTGTTCTTTCAGGGATTGGCTGATGCCTTCATTCTAATGAGATATCCATTTGAAAGTGAAGAGGCCAGAGATATGAACAGGAAAATATTTGAGACAATCTACTATGGGGCTCTGACAGTAAGTGCTTTTCATTTATAGGTTTATGAGATTATTTTGGACATGCATTGTTTGAGAGTTGCAAGGCTAGAGGCTCTGCAAGAAAAAACTCAGTGTTCCCCAAACAGAAATTTTTCATATCTCTTCCTACTCTGAGTTGGAACTCGTAAACCTAACCTTGAAAATCTTGTATTGGTAGTTCAATTGTTAAAGAATAACTACTTTGCTTTCATCTATAGATCTAGTTGTTCAGCATTCATAAGAAGATGATGAATATCTAATACTTTTTACTCTATTACAGGCTTCCTGCAAACTGGCTAAAGAAAAAGGGACGTACGAGACCTACCAAGGGTCGCCTGCAAGCCAAGGGGTAAAGATGTTCTTTAGACTGAATTGCATCTTTTATTAGGTGGTGATAAGAGATTGTTATCAAAAAGTAAAGATTCACCATATCAAGAGGTGAAAAATAAGGATAATTTTTTAAGTGGATTGTACATCTAATATCAACACCCCAAGTTGCAACCAATTTGGTTGCCATGGCAAGTAAAATTTTGACCAAAGGCACCAATTGGTGACCAAAAGATTTGAAAAAAAAAAACATGAAAACATTCATTGATCCTTGGTAAAATTATCAAAGGGTGACCAAAATTTTTTTTACAGCGACCATTTTACAATTGAAGGTTGCCAAAAGGTGACTTTTTGAAAAATTGAACTTGGCCACCGTGTCAATGTGGAAACATCGACAGAGATGTACCAAAGTAACAAGTCACTACTGGGAATGAAGTGGGATGAAAATTTGTTTAACCCTTTAACTCCCAAGGATCTGATTGTTAAATCTCCCCTCTAGCTGCTACACATTTCCATGTGTAATAGCTGCAAGAATTTAGCGTTAGATCAAGATAACAACTTTAACCTGATAAGTTTGAGTATTCTCATTACCTGCTTGCTGGTCAATGTATGGATATAATAGGGAGAAGACACATGTTAATCACTTCTGGGAGTTAAAGGGTTAACAACCCAGAACTTCTTTAGTTGGTCACCATTTTCTTCTTTCTCAAGACCTTAATATTTGATTCAGGGGTGATACTGTGAGGAGAAATTAGATGCTTATCACTTTTGGGGAATAAAGGATAAAGGCACCCACTCTGACTTCCTTCACTTATTAACCCTCCCACTCCCAAGATTTCATTTGTAATTCTCCTCACTTTGTGCTATACATTTCTGATGATGTTATTTTATGAGAACTTGATATTAGATCAACTTATATTTGCCTAGTTTGTATTTTTCTTTGTTCTCATCTCTTGTCTACCTGATTTTGTTTTAATATTGTGAGGAGAAATTCTGTCTTGATCACTCATGGCAGTCAAGGCGTTAACATTCTTAATCTTTTTCACTTCTAAAGAAACTTCAGTATGATCTTTGGAATGTCACTCCATCTGATATGTGGGATTGGGCAGCTCTCAAGGCAGAAATAAAAAAGTAAGATTTTCATTTTTTTAGTTAATGAAATATGGCTGTCAAAATCTTTTAATTCTTAAAGTTTTGTTGCCTGACTAAGACTATCAGTGTAGCAGTCAAAACACCATGATCAATTCATTTGATAGGTAATTTTAGTATTAACAACTGAGTTGAAAATGTAAATTGACCACTTTTAAGAGTTTAAAGGCTGACATTTTGAGTGCTAACCCTCAGCAATCACTCTGACAAAGGGCCAACGCTTGAAACGACAGCCTTTAAACTCTCTATGGTAGTCAATTTATGTTTTCAACTCAGTTGCTAACACTTAATTACCTGTTATACTCTCCCACCAACACAGCACCGCAGTTTTTTGACAAACTAACCCCCTTAATGCATTTGATAGCCCGACTCCACACTGGGAGACAAAGTATTTAACATTTCACTTATCTGAAAAACCACAATGAACAACAACATTTTCTATAACAGGGTGTCTGTTAATCATATAATTTGATAAGAACATTCCATTTGACAACTTGATGGATTATTACTTTTTGTTGTTTATTTAGGTATGGATTAAGGAATAGTTTGTTGATTGCACCAATGCCAACAGCTTCCACTGCACAGATCCTTGGAAACAATGAGTCTTTTGAGCCTTACACAAGTAACATCTACACTCGACGCGTTCTCTCAGGAGAGTTTCAGGTACATTTTTGATTGTTGTAGAAAAACAATGATATACACAGTATTCTCCCTTATTTTAAGCATGACAGGTAAAATAAATTTTCAAACCAGTAAAGCAATCCTTTTACAAGATTTCCAAGCAGTTTTAAATGGTACTACAGGCGGTAAATGTTACCGGTTACTGCCTGAAAAGGAGAACACTGTATACAGTATTAGTAGTGAAAATAAAGGCTCATTGCAGTTAATGTCTTTTTATCTTGTAGATTGTAAACCATCATCTGTTGAAGGACTTGACTGAAAGAGGACTCTGGAATGAGACTTTGAAGCACAAAATCATAGCTGCAAATGGATCCATTCAGGTATTTGTGAAATGGTACAGGTCATGAACAACCTCCAAAGAAGATTCCTAATTGACTGACTGATTCCTTAGTACCCAATGACAACAAATGGGCTTTCTTGATCAACAGTTGTTAGGTGTATATTAGGCAGTGGAGGTTGGAGAATTCTCTAGCCAAATTTCAATGCCTTGCATTTATTTTTTTCAAAGTCTCATCTTACTACATACTTTTTTCCTGTAACTACATTCCTTATTGAAAACCTTGCATTTGAGATGTGCAGTTTTTAAACTGCATATACAAGCCACTAACAAAGTCAGATTGTCCCTATTTGGCACTCATTATTTAATTGATTTACTTATTTTCTTTGGAGTCATCAAAGAATTTTATGACACTAATTAAAAAGGTGTCCTTTGTTCTTCACTACAGCACATTGATGAGATCCCTGATGACCTAAAGCCTTTGTACAAGACAGTTTGGGAAATTTCTCAGAGAACTCTTGTGGACATGGCAGCAGACAGAGGAGCTTTCATTGACCAGAGCCAGTCCTTCAATGTGTTCTTTGCTGAACCCAGTTATGGCAAGCTAACAAGCATGCATTTTTATGGCTGGAAAAAGGTAAATGTTTTTTTTATGAATGGTGTTGTCACATTAGACATGTGCCATATTAAAGTGATTAGTTTTTGTTCATTTTCCAGAGCATGAATATTTTGTTGAGTTAGTTGAGCATGGAGTGTTGTAACTCCTGGAAGCCTCTTGGATAGAATGCTAATTGAACTGGCTTTCAATGTGTTTTCTTCTAGCAGACTTTGCTTGGTGCATTTAGACGGCCTCTACCTAATCATAGGGGCTCCTAATTGTTAAATAAGGAGCCAGCCATTATTTATCACCTGACGGTGGGGGGTGGGGGGTTGCATGGATTTCAGGGGGAACAGTCGTCTCCAATATAGTATAGAAAAATGATTGCCAATCAATTGCCAGTGAGGGGGGAGGATTAAGAGTATATTACAGAGCGGTATAGAGGGACGAGTCAACCCCTTGACAACTTGGCAGTTTTATTTAAATATTCTCTCATGGAGAGAAGCATTCTGAGGGTTGTCTCTTAACTTTTAACTCCCATTAGTGATAAACATGTAACTTCTCACAATATCCATATATTATCCAGCAAACAGGTGATAAGAGAACTCTAGGTTATACAATAGAAGTTGTTCTATCAACCAAACTCAAAATTCTTGTTACCAATTGACATGGAAATGTGTAGCAGCATGAGGGAATAATTTATATTCAGAGTTAAAGGATTTGAAATAAAAATGGAACACCACATGATAACATAGCTAGAGTGACTTTAGTAGGTGTCTTTAATACAACCCAATGAATAATGGGCTGCTTGTTACATCTTGCAGGGCCTGAAGACTGGAATGTACTACTTGCGTTCACGCCCTGCTGCTAATGCAATCCAGTTTACAGTTGATCAAGAAACCCTCAAGAAGACAGCTAAAACCAAAAAGGAGAACACAGAAGTCTTGGCATGCTCTCGGGACAATCCTGATTGCTTAAGCTGCAGTGGATAAATGAAAAACTGCTTTGTGCTTCTCACTAACTTAACAAACCACCCCACGATATCCTAGCTTGCATGTACTATGGCAACCTTTTTTAAAAAAATAATGCACTTTCTGTTAAATTGCCACAACTGTAGTAAGCAACAATTCTATTTCCTAAAAACTCTCGTCATAAGTATATCATGGTTCTACTTTCACCTAGTTGCAATAACATCAAAGAGAAAGTAATTAAAAAAAAAGGAAAAAATCCAAATGGGAATTGATCAGAATAAAAAATTTCCTTACTTTAAATTACAAGTCAAGTTGATTTAAGTTAACCGAGACAGATCTCCTAGATTTATTTGTTAAATGTAGTAATTTCCAGACTACACCCTATATAAGATGAATGATATGAATTTGTAAAATCAATTCCTGTGTGGGTTTTTCCTTGTTTGCGTTTAGCTTTTTTTCCCATGAAAATGTCTCTGCATTTAGGGGTAGATCAGTAAACCTAAGATCATGTAACTTTGCAAAAGAATATCTTAATTTATTTTTCTATTACTGTACAATCAGCAGACAACTGATTTAATGAGCAAAGTGAGGTAAAGTCGCAGAAAAAAATGACTATTTCTGTGTTTTGTAATGTATATTAGGAATGGACTGTACTAAAGACATGCTGACCTTGCAGGCCTGCAATGTAATTTAAGTAATTTTTGTGATTGCACAATAATACTCAAACACAGAGTGTACATATCATTGTAACTTTTTTACATGATCATTGTCTTCCCCAAATCTCACCAAAAACCCTTATAGTAAATATTATACCCAGGGAATGTCAAAAATAAACAGTTAAAAGCTTTGCATTCTGTTCTTGAAAGCTTTTGAAATTATGTTGTTAAGAACTGAATAATAACTTCTTTCTGACCGAGCGCGAGGGCCGCACTGGGAATTATTGGTCCGATGTCGAGGCAGCAAGGGCCGAGTACAGCGTGGTTCGCGGGCCAATATTCCTCAGTTCGGCTCAAGCAAATGAGGTTAGTGGGTAGTGTATTAATGGTACTCGGACCAAACTTGGTTAGTTTGAATTTTTCGGCTTTCGAGAAAATAAACGGTTTGGGACCATTCCCCGGAAACGGCCTACATGGCAAAATTCTGACCTGGTAAGAAGAAATCAGAGTGTTCGGATTCACCCCGAGATTATCTTGCTATAAATTAATTTTGTGTTACTGAGGCTAGGAGCACTTGTTTCTACTAGAGTCAAACTTTTGGAAACATTTCTCGACCGTTAATACCTTTTCATTCTTGGTGGGTGTCTATTGCTAGGAAATTAATCCATATCAGTCACTTTTGACATCAAAGTCCACCCGCTAACCGTACCAAAAACAAACAGGGTGAGAAGGTTTGTTTCAGTCTCTCTGAAACAAACTTTTCAATTAAGTACTGCGCACGTGCTAAAAGAGAGATATAATAAATCATGTTATTCTCACAACCATCTCAAGGTCTCATCTTACACCCAAAGATCCTTTCACAGAAATTCTTCTGATGGTCGTGTGACTTACATACGATTTGCTAGTGATTAGAATGGGATTTTTCAGCAGTGAGGTTTATTCCGACCTTGTATAAGACATTTTAGCTGTTAAAACGTTGCTGTAAGGAGCTACGGTATTTCTTGCAAGAATGAAGTTTCTTTTCGGGTACTTAACCTTCTTGGGACTTACTTTAGCTATCGGAAGTTCTGCCGCTAAAGATTTCCAGACCTGCTACAGCTCAAGTTTTGACGAAGGCATAGAGGAAGTCATGTACGGTAACTTTCTGATGCGCACTTTTTCGTTTCCTCATGCAGTTTAGATGAAAAGAAGGTTACTTTCTTTCAGTTAAAATCAAACTGTTTAACTGAAGCAGTTTAAACGTGCACCTGATTTTGTCCCCTCGATGGTCATCATCTTGACTGTGTTTGGACTTTTTAAACCTTGATTACTCATCAAAAAGGATACCTTGAAATCGAAAGTAAGAGACAAATGCGTAAGGATGTGGTTGAAAATGGATATACGGGACACTTTAATTTAATTGCTGATTCTAGAGGGGGAAACGCCTTTTAATATCGCTTTTTGATAACTCAACGGAAAACTGAATAAATTTCAACTCATGAAATTTTCGCGAATCGCTCATTAAGCCGGCAACACACTTGGCAATTTTATGCGTCGATCGCCAAAATCGCCAGGTGTACTCGGTGCAGCGATTGCGATATTCGCAAATCGCCGCGATCGGCGTATAAAATCTCCAATATCTGGCATACAAGATATCGGCGATTTCGTTGGCGATCACATGCGCCGCGATCGGTGAGAAAAAGTCGTCAAGTGCATCAAAGTACGTTACGCGATTTTGAGGGTGTGCACTTCTGGCCACTCAGATTTTTCAAAAATTGGTTACACGCTTCATACCACCCTTTAGGCAGTTTGCTCGTTCATACTTTGCGTTCCAGTTTTCCCTTCGGGATAGTTTCCCCTCTCTGAATGGTCGTTGCGTACTCTCTAGTCTCGGTCCTACAAACGTCAATCAAAATGGATTCGGTTTTTTATTTTACCAGCAAGACTCCCCGGCCACATGAGTACCTTACTGCCGATTCAATTCCAAAACAGTGGGATTTGAGAGACATTCCCGGGAAAGGTAACCTGGCCAGTGTGACACGGAATCAACACATTCCCCAATATTGTGGCTCCTGTTGGGCTTTTGGATCAACCAGTTCAATATCAGACAGAATCAACATCCTACGCAAGGGAAAGTGGCCAAGTAACCTCCTGTCAGTCCAGAATGTCATAGATTGCGGTAAGCAAGTTGTGGTCAATATATGGGCCTAATCTCATACCCAGATCCTACCGTTGAACTGTAATTAAAATGTTGGATCCTCATAACCGCTTGGCCGTGGAAGGTCTGAGTACGCGACTAATTTGGGTCCAAAAGAAATTTGTATGATAACCACATAGCCGTTTATTTTCTGGTCATATTTTATTTTGTTTGTTGATTTGATTTTCACTTTTCATATCTTTTTGTGCAAGTACATCATTATTATATTATTTTTTTATTTTTTTTTTTATAGAACTATGCTGCTTAGACTCAAATGCATGCTTGAAAATTTAGCCAATCAGAATTAAGAAAGTGACACCCCTCGATAGTTAACGACCATTCACTGGAGTGGAGGTGGCTCGTGGTGGATGTTTATCGAGGCGCGAATCTGCGAGGTAAATATATCCACCACCTGCCACCGATACTGAGGTGAATAGTTATTCTAGTATATACTAAAACAGTGGCATAATATAGCTAAAAGATTATTTTAACTCATTTATTCCTGCAACGACTACAACGTTTTCGGGCGCAAATCCTACGTGAGTCGCTGAGAGGTGAATAGCGAAGGATATTCAAAGTATGGGTGGCCAACCAGAGCGCGCCTCAAACGCTATCTCGTACCCAGATCTACTCCACTGTTTAAGTGTATACTATGTGGCATTAATATACACCACTCAAGTGAATAGTACTTTTCGTGCGCGCTGATTGGCTCGTTCGGAAGTGAATGGAAAGTATCACTCACCTCCTCTTCCACTCCACTTGTTAGAATAATTTTCTGGTTAGTGTCGCAAAACCAAATCCGAAGTAATCACAACAGCAAATCAAAAGGAATATATCACTTACAGTCAATGAGAACTAAAAAACAAAACAAACAAACAAACAAGCAAGCAAACTGATTTAAGTGTGCGAAAACACGAGTGAGAGGCCGTGATTGGTTTGCTCGGAATCTGGTTGGTTCACAAAAAGGCATTAGTTTTTTTGCATCAATTTCATGGCAAATTAATGAAATTTTCAATTGAGCTTAAAAAGTAATTTGGCATTCCTTTGGTTTTGCTGTACCTCGCTCTGCGATTAGTCCATAAAATTCGCACTATCCTTTCAATCAATGAGATGCAAACTAGCTAAAACAAAACACAACTTGGTCGCCCGCGTTTTCCCGCGCTTTAAGCAGTTTGCTTGTTTTCTTTTGAGTTCTGATTGGCTCTTAAAGGTATTTTCCTTTCTTCTGATTGGTCCATGTCAACAATTTGGCTTTGGCTCTATGGCACCCATAATAGAAAAGTGCTCGAAACCAAAACCGAAACAATTTCGGATTATTTCCACCACTTATTTGACGGTTGCTTTATTAACAATGAATTAAAAAATAATGATACAACAGGGAAAGCTGGCAGCTGCAGAGGTGGCGGTTCACTGAGTGTGTATCGTTACGCTCATGAACATGGTATACCAGATGAAACGTGTAACAATTATCAAGCCAAAGACCAGATATGCACGCCATTCAATCAGTGTGGAACCTGTACCCCAAAAATGCTATGCTATAAAAACTACACCTTATGGAGAGTCAGTGAATACGGTAAGTGGATGATTTGAAGGTGATGACCGATAATTAAGCAAATGACCTCACTTTCTATCGGTGTACCGGTGTAATAACCCTACGTGGGATGTCGGGAGAACACGAAAAACGTTTGTAAATCACGCGGCTCTGGCAAACGTTTCAAATTAAGATAGAAAGTGCAAACTATTGCTTTTATAAAATAAACTTAAAATGTTTCAATTTCTGTGGGTTAACCAGTTCAATAAACGATAGATTTTGACCAATCAGGGAGGCGCCTGTAATATCTCAGTTTTTTTATAAAGTAATTAACATATTTGATAACTTTTAACGTGATAATAACAAATCCTCTCCGTACAAATTCTCCCAATGCTGTTGTAGGAGTTGTAAGAGGACGTGAGGAGATGAAGGCCGAAATTTACGCTCGGGGCCCTATTTCCTGTGCTATCATGGCGACTAAAACCTTTGAAAATAAGTATCAAGGAGGGATCTACAAAGAATACAATAAATTCCTAAAGTTAAACCACTGTGTGTCAGTCGCTGGCTGGGGTGTTGAAAATGGTACAGAATACTGGATTGTGCGCAATTCCTGGGGCGTACCCTGGGGAGAGAGAGGCTGGTTTAGAATCGTAACATCCAGTTACCAAGGTGGATGCCGGGGAGACTACAACCTGGGCATCGAAACAGAATGTGCATTCGCCGTTCCGATTGTGGAAGAGTACGACATATAAGAAGATATCACAGTTCTCTTGTAGATTTTGCATTAGGCTGGATTAGTTTCAAGCAATCTTTTTTTTCATTAAATATATTCCAGTCATACATCTGCTTGTTCGGTTGCAAATAAATTCATCTTTGTCATATGAGGAACTCTTCAGTTTCTAGATTCAGGTTTATCGGTGCGCCAGAGTGTATGGCAGTGAAGCTGCGAGCGGCTTGAGAAGGAAGACCATTTTCAATTAGGTGTTTCGCCAATCACCGCTTAGCCAATATGAAACCGCAAAGCGGTATCGCATTAATCTCGTATCCAGATCCTACCGTTTAACTTAAACTAAATTCTTGCGACCACTTCACCGTGGAAGGTCTAAGTACGAGACTAGGTTTGTATTTAAGTAACCAGAAGAAACAGTAATGAAAGTATCAGACTCTGAAAAGATTTACATCACGTGTGTTTGGATTTGCGCACTATTGGGAACTTGAATTTTTAGGTTTGTTTGTTATTGACTCTAGGTGATTCCTCGATAATGCTATGCGCATCCTGTATTGCGCATACAAATCACGTAATCAAACTAATAAGGGTGCACGCATTCCAAAATTAACGAATTGTTTTTCAATCAATGGGCGAGGTATACCGGTACGATGGTCTTTTCCTCTTGAACGAGCACAGTGAGTGTTTCGTTTATCAAATAGGCGTTGCCTCTTGTTGATAGATTTACTTAATGACAAGATTCGCGATTGACATAAATTCTATAGATTGATTTAAAAGCGTTAGATTATTATGTTTTAAGTCAGTTTTTCACCGGAATCGAAGTGAGAGAGAAGTTATTTTGTTATCATTTTTTCTGTCTCTAAATCCACTTACCTGGAGAATCTGCTAACCTGTAAAGTGAGACTGTTGTAACGACCCGCGACAGAAGTAAGTTTACATTGAAGTTTTTTAACTTAGCTGCGAGATTAAGACTTGATTTGCGTTTGTTCTGATTGCGAATTATAAATGTATTTCTTTTAGATCGAATAATTATTAAAGCTTGGCTTAATATTATACGGTTTGTGGTGGTCATTTGATCTAACCAGTTCCGAGTAAGGAAACAGTGAGCTATATTTTTTATAGCATAATCCTGGTGTACAAATTACCACGAAGGCCGCTGCTCGAGGATACAGCAATCGCTCTGACGAAGGGCTAACGCTCGAAACGTCAGCTTTTAAACTCTTTACAATGGCCAATTTACGTTATCAACTCTGTTGATAATTCTAAACTACCCTGCTATATTCTCCCACCGACGCAGCATCACAGTTTCTTTAGAAACTTACCCCCTTGATACAACTCATGCGCCTGATTTAACGACTCGAGGAACGTTGTGAGTCGATGCTGTTTAAAACTGCGCGATCTTGTTTACAATTCATTTTTCAATACTCTCGAAACGTTTTACCCAACAAGTATTTTTTTGAAAACCCTTGCTTCCCGCTACCGCAAAATGTACCGTGAACCGATGAAATGACGTGCGTAGTTAGTACCAGTGCATAGAAGGGGTAAGATTGGCTTAACATACCTATTTAGCAAGCTCGGTGAACTATCTGTTTTCTTGCAGTTTTCAAAACAGACATCATGGTGTAGGAATTATTTAAGGAAAGACTGATTGTTATAGAACTCTTTTTCTCTGAGAAATTACGCTCTAAACAGAATAGGGAAAATCATCCTGAAAAGGGTTTTGATCAAAGGAATAAAGAAATCTGGATTGAAATTTAACCTTGGGTGAGCGCTGTTAACAGCTATTGTTTTGGTTTTGTGATTGTTGAACTTTTCATCTATTTATGACTCGTGATACAGTTTACTATGTATTTACCTGTTGATAATGCGTCTATAAATTCGAAACTTCATCATACTCCCCCTCCCCACCCCTCTCCCCCGGCTTACTCCCCGGGCATTTGAAGATTTGTTTGTTCAAATTCCCGCCTCTGGGGTAAAAACTGTGTTCGAATGCCATACCAAAAATTTTTGCAAAAGGCAAATCCTCAACTTGCCTTTCTACACATTAACTAAACTTTAAAACCTAAGCCTCGTAGATCTTTTCTTCTGAATCATTCGCACACGAAAGTGGACTATTTACATTAAATGCCTCCATGTTGAAAGATGTAACTCTTGTTGTATTCTGCTGGAAAGACTTAGTACTTCTGTATCAAATTTCCCACCCCAGCCAGGCAAGGTTAAAATTCCCCACCTCATGGGCATGTACGACGGTAAAATACCCGTGGGTTGCCGGGGAGGAGGGGGGGGATGTAGTCTCGAGTTGATCGGCGCATTATGAAATAAATAATCTCTAATCAGGCACCTGTTGTTAAAGGATATTCTTAGTTCGAACAAGACTACTGGGATTTGAATTAGGGTTGAACTGCTTTTACAATCGAATAAACTTTCAGCATATCCAAAAGTGTGGCTATAACAAGTATGTGATAAAAAATTTAGTACCGCGCGCCACTTTACTGCGTGAATGGAATAGGACTTTTCAATGGGACTTTCTGGATTTTCGGCAATTTTTTTAGCAATTTTCAGACATTTCCAGCATTTTACGGCCACAATCGGGACAAGCCTAGTAGTTGGGGGAAGGGTGTTAGGTTCTGGGCCAGGTTTCATTAAGTTGAAAGTAGCAAAAATTTGATATATAAAGGGAAAAGAACTAAATATACTAAAGGCACGTTTTTTTCTTGTTCGTGTCAGTCGAAAAATAATATCCGCGCCTACTTATCAGCGGTTATTGTCGCAAAGTAATGCGCACCGAGATCCGAAGAGTCGGAAGGAAAAGATTCAAGATGGACGCCTTGGAGCAGGTATTTAGCAGAAAACGACTGTCGTCCTTAGTGACTTTGTTTGATTGACCCTTTTCTAAATTAAATCCTCACTTATACTTTTACTCGTAGAATGAGTACGACGTTTTCAGACGAGACCTTTACAGGGTTGCAGTCTCAAAAGAATTTGAGGTAAAGTCTTCCGTGCGTGTCTGGTGCAAATTCGGTTTGAAGTTTTTGTTTCGCGGTATCTAGATGCTTGTCGTTTATTCCATTTGTTTGTTAAGTGTTGCATTTCCAACGCGATAAATTAGGTTGGGTACGCTACTTGAATCCTTTGTACCACAGATTTTTATTGCAATTTCTAATCAAATTCATTATCTTAATTTTAAAATTAGGCCGCTTGTTTATACTGCCGTGTAATAGTACAAGGTAAAACCGACAGGGGAAAGAAATGTAACCGGAGGATGTAGGAGTATTATGCGCTGCAGCGCGTGTTACCTTTCCTTTTTCTAGTGAAAAGTTTTTAAATTGTCTTCACAGTAGTCAACAATTAAGACAGGGTGAAATTAAACCATTTTATTGCTACCAGTCTAAGCTTAAGTGGAGCCGCTGAGATTAATAATGGTATTAGGACCGAGTAGAGTCCAATTCGGTCTGTAATCATACGAGTGCTAAACAAAATTAGATGACCACGAAGCGGGAGTCCAATTTGTTAGTCACAAGTATGATTACAGACAGAATTGGACAACGCAAAGAACTGTAACCAATTAATCAAAACTATGACAAAATTTGAGAAAGAAACTAGAAATCAGTTGTACATTTTCTTAAAAAAATCAACTGTTAACTTAGCAAAATGTGAGACAACAGCGCGCGCTCATGACACGTTCTGTCCACTTACATAGGCATGACGTGTTAACTGTCCCTTTAACTGTCCTATTACACTGTCCAATTACAAGCATGATGTGTACTCTGTCCTATTAATGCTCAAATCAGGCTGGTGATGACCAATCACATTCAAGAATTTTGTTATAGTTTTGATTAGCTCAGTTATACTTTAAAAGAAACCATAACTCGAAAAATGTTTTAAAAAGGGTATTTTTCCATGAAAGTTTCTCTCAACCCTTTTATTTGACCCTCTAGAGTGACCAGCATTGATTTTTTCTGTATATTATCACTCCTGAGTCAAACATTTGCGGTCAGGAGAATGAAGGAAATGATCACCAATTAAAGAGGCCTCTTGATTGTTTATCATATTCTCCTTGTCAGCACTATAGGAAATGTATAGGAAATGTAGGGGGAATATGCATACTGTTGGTAAGGTGTGTAAGGTTAAACTTGCAAAACTCTTGTAGACGAGAGTTGCAGTGTAAGGGAAATATAGAACCTCTGTTCTGACTTGGATGTCTTTTTACTATTGTAGCCCAACAGAAGGATTGTCAAAAGCATTGATGAAGATGATGATGATGATGATGTTGAGGACTTTGATGACCTGGAAACATTGCGGCTTGCTGCCTTAAAGAGCCTGGGCACAAAGGTGAGAAAAGGACTGCTAATTTCAAATTTATAGATGTGTTATCAGCTCATCAGCAAACTTCCTGCAAATCTGTTTACTTGTCACATTAAGGACAAACTTGCTCTTTTATTACTGTCCTTATAAATGTCTGTTTTTGAGCAAGTTCAGCTTCAAACTGTATGTTATTGACTGAGCAAAACAGACATAAGGTTCTGTAACTTACAATACTTACTGAGAAAAAAAATAATAAGATATTTATTTTATCCCTAAGTTCAATTACAGGGAGAAGATTTCAGTTGAAATAAACTTTTCAATTTAGTGGGCTGTACAGCCAAATACGCCCACTAAATTGACCAATCATAGCTCACATGCTATCTGAGACATATAATGAAATGAATTATTTGCCAGTATAATATTTATTTCCTGGCACAGTCATTCTGCAAGGTAACAGCGCTGTCATGTCAATGAGTAGACATACCGAAGTAGTATCACTAGTCTTACTGCATAATAAAACATATTAACCCTTTAAACCTTAAAAGTGATTGGTATCTAATTTCTCCTAACGCAGTCTTTCATTAAGAACCTGTGAATAAAAGGAAATGATTACCAACCTAAGAAGCTTTGATTGTTTAACAAGTTATCCTTGTTAGTACCAAATGAATCATATGAAGAAGAGTATGGAGGATTAAGATGTTGATGCTAGGGTGTAAATGG